CAAAATGGGACCGTAAAGGATCATTCTCACACTTAACTGGATAACTTCTTGTGAAGTGGTTGGACAACAGCACCAAAGCACACTCAAAATTTGCTCACTGGGTTTTGTTCAATCTACCAGGTCATAAAATTTGAACACATAAACAAAGTGAGTCCGACTTCATTATTTTCTTCTGTCTTGTCTTTTTTTTTTTTATTTTATATATATACTGAGAAGCAACTCATCAAGGGCTTGATGAGTTGTGTTAGGCGAGTCTAATGCTATTTCTTGTAGAGTAGCAACTCGTCTTCCTTTTCAAAAAAAACTCTTCTGTCTTGTCTTGTTGCCTTGGTTCAGTTGCAGATGGACTCAAATCAAGCAGTCACACAAATTCACAAATTAATGAAGAGTCCAATTACTCCTTTTGCAATCAACATCCTGCCGAGAAGCAAGAAAGTCAGACTTTAACCAATGGGAAGTAGAAAATTAGGCGAGATGACAACCAACCAGCTGATTCGTTGGCAAAATTAGGCCCAACTCGTAATCCGGGCTGTATGTTTTGTCCACTCCCCAGCCCTGACTCTACAAAAAAAAATCATTCTAGATTGGCCAAGCTCAACTCCACATTAAGAGTTTGCTTTTTTACATTAAATTTTGACTTCTTCAGTATATATATTTTATTCCTCTGTGATCATAATACTAAATCGATTGTTTCATATGAATTCGATACAGCTTTCATTCACCGGAACAAAGAGGAGGATTTAGGGTTAGACAGGTTAGATGGTAAAGGTGACAGAAGATACAAAAAATGAAGAAGAAAATTCTTTGTTTTTTGTTTTTCACATTGTTTTGATGTTATTATTGTTTAATAATTAATTAATTCATATGTAACAATGGAAAAGTCTCAAAATCTGAGATTTCGCAAGTTTTTATGGTGTTTTTGGAACCTCATTTCACTTGGCATGTTTGCGTCTGCATTATGTGTATTGCGATGCATATTGTTACGGGTAATTGTCTTGTGCTCGTGAATTACTATAATTCTCGTATCATTTGTTTATGTCGCATTACAATTAAATCATCATCCCGCATGATTCCATTTATCCATAATATGATTCAGGAACTTAAAATATTTTGGGATAGCTTATCTTGTCTGATTTTGTCTCGCTACATTTAAGTATATGCCCTGGCTTTTTCTTTCTACACACGAAAAAAAAAAAAAAAAATCGACAAACTTTTGCGAAGGTTGGATAAATACCCAATTATATTAATGCTGGGATGAGGTGACATGTTCCATTGACTAGGGAGTGGAATGTTAGAGTGGAAACATATATTATGCCTTTGGCAATCCTTGCCACACACCTATGCATAAATAGTGAATTTGGGATACACATCAAAATGCAGATCGATCAACATATAAGTTTATTAATTGTATCCTTTTTAAAATGTGGCCAACAATTCAATAAAAAAGGACTAGGTGTTAGATCCGTCCGATAGACGGGGAAGGCATACACATTTAGACATTTTTACATAAATTTTGTATTTTTATAAAATATGTAATGATTTCAGTTTTAAACATGATTACCTCTGGATTTACAGGAATTTGTTTTTTTTTTAAATTCATTGGTGATAAGGTTTATGCAGATCTCTCTAAAATTTGTTAGGATTTGGTACTCTCTCCAATCAATCTTTGTGTTAGGATTTGGTTATGAAAATAAGGGTTCGGTTTTTATTATTTTGTTTTTTTTAAAATTATTTTAGTTGCTTTTTTTTTGTTTTATTATTTTGTTTTGTGTATTTTTAAGTTTAAGAAATTAAGAAAATGCCACATAGGATTAAATCCTATGTGGCATGTGTTCCATGTCTTTAGTTTTCTCTCTCTGGTTTTTTACTTAGTATAGTATATAGAATAGGTATAGATTACCTGTGTCTGCTACATTGAAATTGCGCACAAAAGATGGTCAATCTCAGATCCGAAGTTGTTGATTTGAAAACTTTTTCTCATAATACAATGATGTTGATGTCTGAAATCACTAACCCGATTAATATGAGATGTGAACTTCAAAATTTATTACTCCTATTTAAAAGCACAAGAAAACGAACGAGCAATCTGATTGTGCTGATCGATCACATATGATACAGTATATGCTTTACTGGAATTCCATTTCTTGCGGCATTCGCATGTTGTCAAATTAAGCCAAGCGCACTTGACATTTTTATATATATTTTTGCGTGGTTGAAAATCGTTCTTGATTCAGATGCGACTTGAGATTGTTTAGGCCAATTTTTTTTCCCTGTCCATTTTTATTATGTATATAAAATATAACACAGGGAAAAAATGATCATTTCATTAGGAAAATTATGTTATCCTCAATATAAATTCAAATTGAAAATTAGTATCAAAATACCACGCGTAAATGGGCAAAGAAACTCCAATTATTATTACTCGTGCAGTAATGCTTTTTATGATGATAATATATACGAATGTATATGTTTCAAATCTTTTCAGTGTCAAATTAAATTTCTTTTTCCAAGTAAAATTTATATGATCTCCTTATAACATAGTGCATACAATTAAGGCCACTGCTTATGAGCCACAACAAAATTAAACTCGTTCAAATTGCTTCTTTATTTATGATGTAGAAACGGGAGAAAAGAACAATTTTATTTTTATCACACTTTTCCTACATAATTAATAATTTGGTACGTGTTTTTGTAATTTTTATATATTACTAAATTAAGAAGGCGCAAATCGGCCAAAGTTGAAGATATAAGGGCATTTAATAGGGGCACAGAAGATCGAATTGCCAATAGATGTTTGATCATTGAATGCACACACCAAATATATAATCCATTTTATGTCTCTAACTTTCACTAATGTCCCGTCTAGTTATTTCTATAAAAGTTAACTATATATATATTTATTTTATAACTAAAATTTGATCAAAATTTTTATCTCAAAAAAAATATTGACTATAGATCTTGATGGAAAGATTTCATTACGTAGATTAATTTAATATATAACAGATTTTTTAATTATTCATGTATTAAAAGATATAATCATTTAAAAAACGGGAAAAACTAAAAAACTGAAAATCAAAGGGAGTGGACCTTGTTTTAATTACCACTACTCTTTTGGATATTTAAGTCATTTTAATTCAATTAATTTTGACTTTTGTGAAACTGAACTATTTTTTTTGGACAAATTTTTTTATTAAACCGGACTATTTTTGTAGAACGGAGGGAGTAAAAAAAATTAAGGTTTTGAAGTGGAAGCATCTATGCCGATGATGCTGGGTTTGAGGCAGGAATTGAAGCTTTGAAAAGAGATAGAATAATTTATAAGGATTTATTGAGAAACGCATATAATCCCATCATAATTCAATATTGAGTTTTCACTGTCATCCCCAAAATTCTCCATTAACAATCAAAATGGAATCAAGGTGATCGATTAAGACTTTATTAGAGAGTTTACGTACGTGTGCATGGCATACTCCTATTTGTCTATCTTCTGATTATTTTGTTGTTTTATACTCTCTCTGTCCCAAAATTATTGTCCAGTTTGAGATTTCACTTTTAGTACAATTTGAACTAAAAATGAAAACTCAAACTGGACAATAATTATGAGACGGAGGGAGTAATTAAAACCACTTGCCATGATTGCATGGTGAATCGGCAGCAGCGGAATTCTATTTACAGTAGTGGTTTTCTTTCAAAACTAAATAAATAAAATGTGAACTTGCAAGCAGAATCCACTGATTCCAGGGGTTAATTTTTCTCTCTTCATGCATGATTCTATAGCTCCCTTTTATATGCCCAAGCGAGGGACATTTCTCCGTTTCTAAACCGTGGCCTATTTAACGGTATAAAACAAGATCATATCCGTAGATGAAATTGTAAAATTAAATTAACTGTAATTTCAATTAGGACAAATTTTGGTTATTCGATTTCCACATTAATAGTAGAAATTATGATTCCATGGGTAGAGTGTTGAATTATTGACGGCATCAATTTTTACTCCCATGGTTTCGAGCTAATGCATCCAAAAGAAGTAATTCGTGGAAGTCCATTGACATCTCCACTCAAAAGTACGATAGAACCACAAACATTTGCCGCTATCCAACTAAGAGCAGCAACATTAATTTTAGAATTTGCTTCAAACACAAATATCAATCCCAATGCGCATAACTTTCCACTCATAAACTAAAAAATTAAAAAAAAATAAAAAAATTCTGTTAATTTCCACTAAACCTCTCCCGTGACTTTTTCGTTACTATATGTTAATTTCGTTACTTTTTCGTAACACCAAAACAAGTACTCTCTCTGTCCCAAAATTAGTGTCCAGTTTGAGATTTTATTTTTAGTACAATTTGAACTAAAAATAAAAATTCAAAGTGCACAATAATTATGGGACGAAGGGAGTACAAAAATTAGAAAATCTGAGATGGAGTGAAATATGTATTGGTCAAACTCGCAAGATGTCTACACTAGTCGCGCACACACATAATCCAAGTTATTTTGGGACTCGGTGGACCACATTTGCACTCACACAAGTGGGTAATGTAATACTCACTCCGTCTCATAATTATTCTCCAGTTTTACTAAAATAAAAGATTTTATTTTTAGTCAAATTTAACTATATTTTACCTTAAATAACCGGATATACCCCTACATAAGTAATTGTTTAACCACTAAGATTTTATAGATAATGTTTTTTACTAAGGACAAATGTGTAACTTGATCCATAAAAAGTTAAATTGGACAATAATTTTGGGACAAAATTTTTTGGGCAAAGTGGAATAATTATGGGACGGAGGGAGTATTTAATATATTGCTAGACAATTTAACTCTCCAGGAATGTTCAGTACTCACACTTACATCGTGAATTCTAGCCTTTCACATTTCTTGTGTGGGACAAGGTCTCAATAATTTAAACTTACTTTTAGAATTTACGAGAAAGCCATTCTTATTTAACTTCATAGCTCATTTCCAACATTATATATATGTACCTCCCTGGTAGCAATATTTTCTCCAATCCTCACACATTTAACGCGACCAATCAGCTGGTCAGCTTCATCTATTCTTCCATCCTTGAATTCTTCTTCTCTTACACATCACAAAGATTTCACATAAGATGTGGCTTCGTTTGGCCGTGGGAGTAATGGGTACATTCAAATTCAAATAATATAACGCACTCATAATAATTTTATTAATTTGTTTCATTTTTGTTTTATTGTATTGTCAGACTAATAATATTTGGATCGATCAATATTCACTTGCTCTGCAGGAAATGTCGCCTCTATGTTGCTTTATGCAGCCCCAATGTAATCTTCCCTTCAACTTATTACATTCATGAACTCAATTCTATGAAATTTGTTATAGATATTGAATTTTGGTTTCTCTGGCTTGGGTTGGTAGATTGACTTTTACAAGAGTGGTAAGAAACAAGAGTACGGAAGAGTTCTCCTGCGTTCCCTACGTAATTGCATTATTGAACTGTTTGATATATACCTGGTACGGCTTACCGGTTGTTAGTTATGGTTGGGAGAACTTCCCTCTGGTCACCATCAACGGGTTAGGCATCTTTCTGGAGCTCTCCTTCATCATTGTATACTTCTGTTATGCTCCAACATCTCAAAAGGCAAGTGTTCTCTATATACATGGTCCTTAATTAATTCATTTTGTGATTTATTCATTAACTCAATTATAATGATGATGTTACAATTAATTATGCATGCAGAAAAAAGTTGTTATGGTGACGGTGTTAGTCATCGTTGCGTTCAGTTCCTCTGCTTTGTTGTCAGCGTATGCATTTCACGGTCATTCCCAGCGGAAGACGTTTGTTGGCAGTATTGGATTGATAGCTTCGGTGGCAATGTACGGTTCTCCTCTGGTTGCCATGGTAAGCAAAAACGTAATTATCTGCTAATCAAAAGGTTAATAACACTTAAAGTCCATTTCAAAGGAAATGATTTTAATTTCGGTGATACATTAATTTGATGCTTTCATGGTGACAGAGACAAGTCGTTCAAACTAAGAGTGTGGAATTTATGCCATTCTACTTGTCGCTGTTCTCGTTTCTCGCCAGTTCGCTTTGGATGGCGTACGGATTGCTTGGCCGTGATCTTTTCCTCGCGGTTTGTCACCATATCTGCATATCATAGCTAAAGGCCATGATCTTCACCTTTCAATTGAGTTAATCGTGATAGATGTAGTTAACTTAAATTTGTTCTCTTTTTGTTTTTTTTTTTTGCAGTCCCCTAATGTGGTTGGATGCCCTTTAGGCATATTTCAGCTTTTGCTCTATTGCAAGTACAGAAACAATGGATTGGTTGAAAAGCCATCAGCAGTTTGGGACATTGAAAAAGATGGTGATGAGAAAATCACAGCACAGATGCATTTCCATGAGAAAGTTGTAAATTCAAATCAGATGCAGCTTGAGCAAGAAAAAGAAGTGAGCATGGCTTAATCAACAATTGATAAACTCCCATGATCTCCAGAAGACAGTAAAGGCTTGATTTTGTAATTATTCCGCCACCCCCCCCCCCCCCCCAGAGAGTGTTTGGAAGAGATAACTGAGTGAGTGAATGCAACGTTCGAGTACTATTTGAACTTTGTCCCTTCTCCGTCTCCATGTATTGGTGACAGCTTATATTTTCAATCTCAAGCATTTGGTATCGGTGACATCTTCCATCTCTTTCAGTTTAATTTTGCATCAAACTTTACGCTTGTAAAGATCTCGAAAAATGGAGAATTTAAGAACAGTGGAGAAGATTGCAGTGAAAACAAATGCAGCTATACCATATCAGGCTGTTAAAAGTGAACAGAGTAGTTTCTATTCTGCCAAAACCAGAATATTGAATTTAAGCAAATGATTCTATATTTTCGGTAAGTTGACTGAGAGTTGCATAAATCATGTTTCACCGTGGATGGGATCTATCATTTACATGAAATGTATGGATTTGACTATTTAAATCAATCCAGCTACAACCAGGATCTTTTCTGGCTTCCATCTCTACCAACAGTTTCTGGGCTTTAATCTTCTCTTCCCATTTTCCCAATGCAGCATATATGTTAGACATCAACACACATGTCGATACAGGCTTAGGGTTCAAAGTGAACATCTTTTCGGCTACTTCCTCACCCACATTTATGTCCATCCAAGACCAACAAGAATTTAGCAATGTAATCAAGAGAATTTCATCAGCATCGAATGGCACCTCCTTCAAAAGCTCATTGGCTTCCACCAGCAAGCCAGATCGACAGAGAAGATCCACCACACAAGTGAAATGCTCCAATGTGGGGGCTATACTATAATCGCGTTTCATGAAGCTAAAAATTCTGGTTCCTTCTCTGACCAAACCGGCACCATTGCAAGCAGATAAAACAGCAGTAAAAGTTGCAGAGTTTGGGTTCACTCCTTGTCCCAACATTCGCTCAAAGAGTAAGATAGCCTCAGAACCGAGACCATGATGGGCGAACCCACAAATCAGAGATGTCCAAGCTGCCACATTAGGACAAGCAATGCAGGTAAATGATGCCTGAGCATCGCCAATGCTTCCGCATTTTGAATACATGTCCACCAAAGCTGTACCAACATAAACAATAGACTCAAATGGAGTTTTAATCAAATGACCATGGATCTGTTGCCCTTGTAATAGAGAACCCAGACAAGAGCATGCACGAAGCAGAGCAGAAAATGTCGATCTACTGCGGGGTATTGACAGCCTACACATGTCTATATATAGTTTGATTGCAATTTCGTGTTGATCATTTTCAATATATCCAGAAATCATTGAGTTCCATGTCACGGGACTTCCCTCTGCTTTGATTTCCTCAAAAAGATGTAAAGCATTATGAACTTCCCCGGACTTGGAAAGCACATGAATCATAATATTCATGCAATTTAAGCATCTATCTGGCATTCCAAGAAATAAGGTCTTTGCATCCTCCAGTCGACCATGCAATGCATATCCCTTGATCATCAAACTACATGAAACTGAATTCCTATCAACTAGTCCACTAAAAATGATCTCTGCTTCCTTAATCCTACCCAAAGTTATAAGAGCTCTTATCAAATTGTTTGAGATGTTCAAACACGGATTATCCAGTGTATCATAAACTTGTTTGGCTTCATCAACAACTCCACTACTACAGTAGAAGTCCACAAGGGCACCACTACGCGAAAGTTCATATTCATAACCAAACTTAATGATAAGCGCGTGCATAGATTTTCCATCCGGCAAAGCGCCCAGTCTTCCACATGCCCTGATACCAGAATCTAGGGTTAACTCATTAGGGACTGCTTCATCACTAACTTGCATCCTTTGAAACAATTCCAGAGCCATCTTACACCCCTCATCACTCCTTGAATATCCCGAGATCAACGTAGTCCATTCGACAACACCCCGGCGCGGCATCTTGCTAAAGAAACTCAACGCATCACTCATGAGATTGCATTGGACATATGCCATAAGCATAGTGCTCCATAACAATCCATTGTTCTCGTGTAACTCATCAAATACTCGCCTAGCATCTCCGATACGGTAACAATTAGCATAGAAGCTCAACAGCGAACTCCCCACACACTCAAAATCCTCAAAACCAGATTTGATAACCAAACAATGAATTTGGTGACCTCCCCGGGATAATCTTACACCGGCACAAACACGCAGTGCTGACGAACAAGTAATATTGTTCACCTCCACTCTGGAGTGATGCATCAGAGAGAGCAACGAAAGAGCTTGGTTATACTGTCTCCATTTGAAGTAGGCAGAGACCATAATGTTCCATGAGACAGCTGTTCGGTCACGCATTTCATCGAACAGCTTCCGGGCCTGTTCCACTTGGCCGTTCTTGACGTACAAAGTCATAGTAATGTTGGTGGATTTGATGGCATTATAATGGGTCGGAGAAGGGGATACCTGAGGTGTTTCCGATTGAGCGTAACATAATCTCGAAATGCTTTTCCAGCGCCGATGTTTCCAGCTGCTACACAGAGAAGAGGACTTGAGAACCATATTGTCTCATGTATGCTTTAGCTGAATGCGTCACGAAGTTGTCTTCCTCCGGGGAATCTGAAGCCAATTCAGGTTATTTTGAGCCATTTTCGGTTACATAACAAGAAGGCGTCGCCGCGTCGAGTGGTGGCGCGCTATATAGAATTTGGCTTAACGACTCATAACTCATATGACATGGAAAAGGCGTTGAAATTGGATATTTAAATGGTACAAGAATCAACGGTAAACTAGTTCGTAGTTTGTAATGGGGGCCTTTTACTCATTTAGCACTTGTGATTGGGAGTTCAAAAAGGAGCGGTCTGCACAGTAGTTTGTCTTCAAAGTGAAATTGACGTCATCCTAATTGGATTTACTTGTGTCATTTTGATTTTAATAACAATACGACGAATACATATTGAGTACTATAAACTAAGGTTAAAAACTAAAAAGAACATGGTATGCAATTTTATAGTGGAAATAATCCAGCTATATTTTAGATACAATAGAGGAAATCAATACATCTAGTAATTTGTGACATAATATTTCGAAAATAAGCAACTTTTATAATATACTTGGTTCAATCCAGCTCACCGCATTTTTTAAAAAAATTAATGAATATCTACATATGAAACTTTTTAACTGCATGTCTTTGAAGCCAAATTCATTAGGCAGCCCGTTACCACATTTTGCCTCTCGAAAGGATTGTTGAACGTGCGCTGCTTATTCTTTCCCTGGCCCTAGATAGTCCGCCGTGAATCCAAGTTTATAACTTTAAAAGTATCAATATTTTCTGCTTTACCTTTATTTTCTAAAATGATAGGCCACCAAGTGTACTAAAAAGGCAAATATTATACTGAAATAGTGATTTGGAAGTGGATTTGATTGGAGTTGTCAAAAATCCACCATTATCAGATCAAAATATGGAACATTACAAACTTTCATCACAGAAAAACAAAAGGATTTTTTTATTTCTTTTCGGTACAATGGAAAAACAAAAGGATTTTAAGAAAGGAAATTCTATGGTCCAGTCATTAGATTTTGACTGAACTATTCACTTAAAATTTATCCAAGTAATCTTAAATACTTTGGTCAGTTGTCCCATTCTTTGAGGTGCCTACAATTCAATGAGAGGGATTAGTCACGGTTACCGACAATGAATACCTTGCAAATAGGAAAAAAAAATTATCCAAAAAAAATGAGATACACCATACATTATCATGGGGTGTGCAACACCATAACAATGCTAGATTATAATTAATAATTGACAAATTAGATAAGATATAATTAATTTTTAAAAAAGAAAATAAGTTACAGTTACATAATTTTTTTTACCATTACTAAGATAAAATATAATTAATCTTAATAAAGATATGTGAATTGAGACTAATTTGATTAGTTTTTTATAACGATGAGTTTTTCCATTTACTTTTACTTTATTTCATATTAGAATTTTTGAAAAGTCCATCCTCCATCGCTGGCTTTTTCTTATAAAGATATACTCCAATTATTGTACTCCAATCTCAAATGAATCAATCCTCTGGAGCTCTGTATATTTTTCTGTTCCCATTAAATCATTACAACAAAACGAATTATGTTCGGAGTAATGAAAAATTCAGCAAAAACAATGACTAGTAAATTCTAATTCATAGCACTCAATGCATTGATTAAGTTCCATTGCCCAATAAAAAATGTGAACAAACTTTGGTCTTTGGTTCCTCACGAATCCAAGGATAGGCCACCAAGGACAGCTTCCCTTGATCATATCTCGGCAATAAAGCCACCCATAGTATGCTTAAGGCTAAGTTGATTTCCAAGATTGCTGAGAAAAAAATCAGGGAGACTTGCCGTGCTGTGTCTTAGTTCGTTTCCCTGTGGCTTTTATTTTTGTTACAACCAAAAACTATTGTTTGGATCATTGCCAAAAAGCTCTCAAGGAAACGACGGAACCTTCATCTTTAATAAGGAATATTGGATGTTCGAGTTTTGATTCGATGGAAACTTTATCTCTAATAAGGTGTAAGTACTTTGATTGGATGGACAAATTAAACATTGCAAAAAAACGATGGACAAGGGTTTCCATTTACTTTGATTTGATGCCGTCATCTTGATTTTCATTGTTTTAATAAAACCTTTATGGAGGATGAATATTTTAATGATTTTTCTTAGCCAAACAAAGAAGGAAAAAACTCAAATATGGCTTGAGGCCGGGTGAAAATTATGATTGATGAAATAATTTTTGATAGCAATGTTATTATCAAGTGTGTTAGGGAGTATTTTAGTTTTAAGGACACCTAACATTAATTTAATAGTTGTTATTAATTATAATGATCTAACGGTTATTAATATTAACTGAGTCGATTAGAACGCAATCGCTACTTTTTAATAAACACAAGAATTACATGTTTAAACACGATATCAACTTAGAAGATTATTACGTGTACATTGTGTTTACGCTCCAAGTCAAACTTGAGAGTTTAGACTCTAGAGGGAATACTTGATGTAAGCCGTGGAAGTATTTGCGTCCCTGATGAGTGTCCCAAGCACCGGCAATCGCAAGCACTTCTTAATATCTTGCTTGTAAACAAATCCTTTGCATTCACAATCTTTGTTACATTTGTCCCGGCACGCTTCCACCGTGATCGGACCTTCCCCATTTCCGGTGGACTCCCTGTTCAAGAAATGCTCTACCCCAACAATCTTATAGTAATCCACCTTACCGGCGGCGGAGCAAGGCTTCAACGTCGGCGGCGCGCAAACATCGCTCCACCCGAGAAGACCCTTTGGGCTAGGACACGCCACGCACATTCCCTTTTGGCATAATCCAAAAGCTCCGCATTTTTCAGGCTGCCCGCATTCTCTAACGTAATAGCTCGAGAAGAACGCCCAAGTTTCCGACCATTTCAAGTACGGGACTTTGTCGAAGTAAGTAAAGACTCTAACGTTGCCGTCAGATCCAAGCCTGAAGAATGAAATCGACGCGTTGTAATTGACCTTACGGAGAATGATTGTGGAATCTCTGCCCACCGGAAAGGATTGGAGGAGCGACCTTCTGGGCGGCGGCGGCGGTTTCGCCTCGTTGAATTGTTCAAGAAGTAGCTCCCAACCGGCGGATTTGGGATCTTGATCAATGGGTTCTGCGTTGAATCTGATAGAAGTGAGACGATTTGAGGGATCTTGACCCCAGCCATTGTAAGCAATAAGCTTGCCGGAGTTGTTTAAGTACAAATTGAACCCATTGTTTTCAAGCACCAGGCTGTATTTTCCGTCACGGCCGTCAACGTCGGAAGTCCGGCTGACTAGTTTGTTAATGCCGTTTCTCCGAACAGACATTCCCACCAACAAAGTATCAACCGGGTAATCAAAGCTCTGCCAAATAAACTTCCCCTTTTTGTCATGGAGAACCATATTTCCGTTGCTCAGCAGCTTGAATCCAGTGACACCTTTGTTTGCCGTATTGGTTTGCCACACAATTCGGCCGTCCGGGTTGGCTAGGACTAAGTTTCCATCCCGGCCTAATGAAAAGGTGGCGTTTTCTTTGACCGGGTGATTCCGGTTGGCATCCCAAACCCAACGCATTAAGTCCTCGTCGTTGGGAACGCCTGCCCTCAGGCCAAGGATAAATTCACCTGGGGTGGTGTTGTAGAAACAGAGTCTAAATGGGAAGGCAAAGAAGATGTCTTCATCGTGCCGGAGGATACGGTATCCGGCGTCGTATTCGGTTATGTATTCGCCGAAATCACCTTGGTTATAAACCGTGAAGGTGGCTTTTTGCGGAACTTGAGCTTCTGTGGTCGAAGCATGGAAATGCAGGGCAAGGAATGGGATGATGAAGAACAAAGAAAATGGAGAGAAATTGTAGGACTTCATCGTTTTTTTGAAGGTGGAGTTTGATTGGATGGAGAAGACTGTGTCATGGTAGGGTATTTATAGGCTTTTTAAACCCAGTTTTGTGAATTCGGAAGAAGTAACTTGGAAGCTGAGCTTGGGTTAGGGTTGAATAGTCAACAAGAGGATTGGCTCTTGGATGGTCAGAAAGTGTTGTAATCGAGAAATATGATAGTCAAAGCTGACATTAGCACCTTAATCGTACAAGTAAGTGTTAATAACCGTACTTATGATATAAAGCATAGACTATATGATTTTCATAGTAACAAACTACCATTTCAAATGGATTTACCCTTAATTTATTGTCGAATTGACAATTGACAATTCCAAATGAGTGTATAACATGCAATAGACGGGATGCGCTGTATTCAATCATGATCCCCTCCTAATACATTATTTGACAAAAAAATAATTGAGCAACAAGCAATAATTTGTGGAGAATCTTCACGATTTTTATAAATTTAAATTGCCCCGTTGACCGAGCAGAACCGGCAAGGCAAGCCGTCGGTCAGAGAAGAAAATGATGGACAATCGATGAGCTGTCCAGATGATGCCCACGTTTGATAAGCACTTCTTGGATAAGAAGATTAATATAAGAAACGAAAAAAGTACTTGCAAACAGCCACTTGTGTTATTTTTCAAGTTTCCGCGTTCAGCAACCTATATTATTCAATGATGCAATATTCATTCTTCGTGTATCACCAAATGATCGCTTTTAAAATGTTTTTTCTGTCGTCCTTTTTGACAAAGTACTTATTAATTTGAATCCACATCTTATGAAATTAGTGCTTGTTTGGACGTCAATTTACATTTCATTTTACTACTTAAAAGTGGAAAGTGTTTCAAATTGAAAACTTAATGGGAAAATAAAAATGTTGTTTGAATGTTGGTTTTGAAAAAAAATATTTTAAACTACATTTTGAAATATCAAGTACAAGTCATCACTAAATAATTAAATACTGTAAATTATAGTCACTGTAAAAAAGAACTTTTTCAAAAACAATCACTCAACAACGGAATCCTGATAAATTTGTCACCGAACTATTTGTAGTTCTAAAATGGTCATTACACTAACAAAAAGTGTTTTAAGTTGGAATTTAAAATGTAAATCAGAAAATTGTTTGGATAATGTTTTCTTTTTTATTAGATTTTGTGTTTAAGAAGTAAAATGAGTGAAAATATAAAATGCCCCCATCAAGCGATCGTGAAACTAGGATCTTTGACTTTTGGGGTAGCTGTTATTGTTTCAAATATTCTTTCTACAATTAACGTCACTAGTAAACTTTTCATTTTTCGAGTTTTTCTTGACAAAGTTATTTAGAGTTTAGATTCAAACCCACAAAACTATTGGGCTACTTTTAGTTCCCAGGGCAAGTGTTTGAAACAACATATATCATTCAAACAAGATCCACGTTCTCACAGGTTGATGGCAAGTTTGAAACATGTTTGCTGCGAGCGCCATAGCAGCATTTTAGTGTCACATTTGCATAGGAAGAGATATCTATATTGTGGTTAGTTAGCTAAGTAATCATGAATACTAGTAAAATTGTCAAGAGATAGTAGCCTTGGATGATTTTACCCAAAATTCCCGTTCCCAGAAGGGGGTTAACCATGCAGTAGTCGGATTCATTCTTTTATTTTCGTCAACAATACCAAAAACCACTCAGGAAAGCAAGTCCAAAAAAACAGTTCGATCTTCATATTTTGGGTATCTAAAATCCATCCCAATTTTTCCGATCCCAAACAGAAGGGTGGACAATCATTCCTAGTCGATCTAAGTACCATGCTTCTTCACATCCAAATGAACATCACTGTTGAGACTGGATCATGTTTGCTTACGGATCGAATTCCAAGTGAGACTTCCAAAAACCAGAATAGTTTTGTACAATCATTCATATAAAAAAAGTCTTGGAGAGCACATACAGTCTAAAATTTGGAAACCAGAATATATATTGTCCTACCATAACTCACAAAAGATTACAACCATGTCTGGAAATGCTCATCTTCTTACTGGTGGCACAGCACCCCTTCCCGGTGCAGCTCCCCGGCCAGCAGCCTGTGCCTGTGGTCAAAATTTTTTTACATCAGACAACCTCATTATATCATGTAAACGATATTTATGCTAGGAAAGTCAAAAAGAGAAGTCTCCTAATATCCCATCTACGGGTCATCTAGATATCATTCAGCTCCCAAATATACAGCTGGCTTTGACGTTTGATAATAACAGTAGTTGAAGCCTCCACTATTTACATACAAGCTTGTCCAATGAAAAAATCATGGCATGCAATACAAAACAGTCAGTAAAGAGATCTTACCCTGGCTCTCATGGCCACAGCACGGCCCCGTCCAACACCAACGGCTGAACCTTTGCCCTAGAAAATATAAATTCAACACATCAGCACAGCAATGATACATTAATATGAAGCAATTATAGCGTAAATAAAATGGATGAAACAAAAAATACCTTAATCTTAGCTTCAAGGCGTTTAAACATTGGAGCATTCTTCAGCATATCAGGGATCACCATGAACCTGGATATAATTTGTTTTTATTTGAATCAGAATTCAGAAGCAGTAACACAAGGAACATAACACTACGTGATTAAAATGCAAATACCTGACTTTGCTTCCACGGATGAATACATGCTCAAGCTGCGAGACCCTACCATCCTGTTAAATTGTTCAGTGGCTTGGTTAGGAGAAAACATCAATCAAGTACGTACAAACTAGAAAAAATATTAAAGGTCTACGGCAGCACAGAAGAGCTAATAATAATTGAACACACTCCAAAGAGGAAACTTGCTAAACAAAAAAATACAGCTCTAGAATCAACCTTTAATGTGATCAATCTAATGTCTGAAAATAATGCAAAGGGAGTCTCGCAGACATAAGAGTGCACTAACAAGTTTGAAGTTGTTACTCTCAAACACATAACCGAGATAACATGTTTACAAGGTACAAAATCCAGGTGACGTTTCATAGAAGTAGCTGAAAACTTGCAAACACCCCACTTACGAGGAGATAATTCCTAATTAGATGCCAACATCAGGACAAGGCATTCAACTTTGCAAAAAGAAGAGGAAAAGCTGTAAAGAAACAAAACAAGATAGCTGATTTGATCAGAAATATTCTCACTCTCCCACCGAAACAAATCATCAACACTTATGTCCCCTATGTTACTCAAGTGGTTATTCATAAATTTGAATCTGCTCAACCAATTCTCAATTGTCCTAGACTGGTTTCTTTTTCTTATATGGGGGATTGCAAACACCCCCCCCCCCCCTAAAAAAAGAATAAAACTCACCATTATTTTCCTCAACCATAAAAGTGTTCAACCTTAACTCACCATTATTTTTCTCAACCATAAAAGTGACCAACCTTAATTTATCGAGCAGGGATCAACTTAAAGGGGTAAATAATAAAACACAACAACAACAAAGGAAGAAGTACCTTGGCAGTGAAAGTGATGTTCTCGAGTTGGCAATTCCAGTTATCTTCACACTCAACCATGCTTCCTCTGTAGAGTTCTCCGCTCTTGAGTTCCACCGTCACAATGTGTCCTGTAGCTTCGTGAAGAAGCTTTACCGGTATTCCCAAGCTACGACTCATTGCTAATCAAGCTGCGCCCTTATTGAAATATTCTGTCCCAAAACCCTAAACCCTAATGTCGCAGTAAAGCCCCTAAACAACAGAGAAGATAAATTCAAACGAGAGGGGTGAGGAACATGAGAATACAATCACAAATGTAGCATATAAGTTCAAATCCTAACGCAGATCTTCGAGAGGGAAAAAAACGTAAATAAATTGGAAGAAACTAAAAGAGGGAAACTTAAAGTATACCTGCTAAAGTGAAATTGGCTGTGATGGAGGAATAGTAAAGCAGGTTAAACGACAAAACGAGGCGACTATTGGTCGGCCGGAGTGGAACTGTGGATGGCGGAAGCTTTGACGATGCCGGTCTACTGGTCTGCCCCTCCGGAGATTCGCGGGATGAGATAAAAACCGAAATAGCCCAAGTGGTAAATATTGCGAAGTACCCCTTAAGCAGTTCAATACTTTTACAATACCACCCTTTAATCTATCTACGTTTACGATCAGATATACCTTGTTTTGTTTTCAGTTTATGGCAAAGCAACCGCCATAAATTTTACTGTGGGAATTTAGGAACATTATTATATTTTTTATTAATTCACTTACATAAATATCTTTATTTGTATTTTTTTTTTGTTGTATAGTCACCTCCATTCACTATGACTAATAACTATTGTCAGATTATCTTATAAATTAATATATTTTCTTTCATCGCAAAAAACTAATATACTTTGTTTAGCTAATTACAATAAAATAGACTATTTTTTTATTTTTTTAGAAAGGAAAAAGTACTACTTTATTTAATAAATAAATAATTATAATTTCAAAGTAAAAAATTGTTGTTGAATGTAGATACTTGGTGGCATCATTAGCGCTCAGAACCCCGGTAAAATACAATGGCTTGAAAAGTCCCTTAAATGACTTGGCGATGTAATCAGAATCTTTCTTTATGTGTAACTATATTTTTTCCTAAGAGCCTCCTTTAATTGCAAAAAAAATAAAATAAAAAAAATTGTGGATACTTGGGCATCATCAAATTAGGTGTAAAATTACTGTAAAATAGTTTAGATTGTAAAAAAAAATTATTTTTTTTGTATAATATATAAAAGGGGATGTGAAAATAATTTTTTAAATGGTCCTTCCTACGCCAATTTTTTTTTTTTTTTTTGGGGCATTCACGAATACTGCAATTATTCTGAACCCCTGAGCTTTATTACATGAAATTGTAAAAGCAGAATACACATACTTGTCAGAATGCAATCACTTGCGTCCTAAAATAATTGTTCTCTTGAATCATAATTGACTGTGTGAGAATTGAGATCCGACGAGGTAAAATACACATTTCTGCTGGATCACAAATGTAAATCAGAATGTGCATGTATAAAACAGCTCCAAAAGGGTGTAGCAATTCTTGGGATATAAAGTTTGGATAGGCATCACAGAAGCTATTAGTAAGATTTCAAGTCTGACCAACGAGAACATCTTTGTAAGGAGTTGTTTGAACAACGTTAGTAGTTCCTTCCTCAACAGCCCTTTCTGGTGGTGATCTTCTCCTAGAAGGCTCCTCTGTGGCCACAATGAAAGGGACCTGGCCTTCCCTAATGTGAATCAGTCGTTCTTGTGCGCCGCCTCGCAGTTTCTCCAGCCTTAATACGTTTCCTTGCTGCATCTTAAACACTTTCACAACATTCAGCAGCCCCCCGATGAAGAACAATAGGCTCCCGAATATGCCCATCCATACCCACACCTCAGCCTGCATTAGTGAAAATTAAAGATCAATGTAGAGGTCAGATCAGCATAACTCAGAAGAAAGGTACACTCCAATGGCAATAGCATGCATACAGCAATTTTAAAAAGGGATCCAAGTCTACATATGGAAAATATTTGTGTGTCTTTGACATTCAGTCCCCTTGCAGAACTACATACTCAGAGTGGGAATTTTGACTTACTAGTGAAGCGATGCTGTGGCGAATATTGGATGTGCGTTCCCTGCTATTAAGGATAGCTCCCACAATAAACAGCAAGCTTCCCATCAAAAAAGGAATGCTGACACTGCCTTGCAGTATCTGAACATGCCCATCAGCTCTCTCGTAAATCTGGCATGAGTTGATGATTGAACCAAGCAACCATAGAGTAGATCCAGCAATCAACATATTTAAAGCATGGTGCTCTAATTTATACAGGCCGTAGCCTCTTTCAGCCTGCATTTGCCAACAAGTTGCATCCGAGTTTAAGTTGATGAGAATACAGCTAATTAACCATTACACCATTACTATTTGGGAAGAGAAAATGAGTAAACAAATTCAATAGATTTTAAATTAAGAAGTAAATTCCAAATTATCACGACTTATAAGGATTCCATATCACTACTCAAATTATTACATGAATTCATCTAACCCAAAATGATCGTGGTATATGCGGACAACCCTGTATGTTTTCATTTTTATTTTTATTTTTTGGCTAGCCTTCTTAAATACAGTATATTTTTGTTGTTGTGACCAATGGCCAATTAATCTTTGTCGATTGCATATATGTACGGGTGACTCATAATTTGTAATGTGCAGTAGACAAATCTTGAAACAAGATCTATAGAAATCAAATGTCAGAAATACTATCCAAAATCAAACATAGTACGTAGCAATGATCAGGGCATTGTGGACATGGAAATTGATCAAATAGTGAAAATTGCCACATACCTCAAAGAGAATGAAGAAAATACCCAGAAAAAACAGGATGGTACCCAAGGTAAGAACAAGAGGCGCGGCGAATTCCACAACAGCGAGTTGCATATCGTATTCCATGAGTGTGAATCTATAATCAATCCCAGCCAGATGTGCCATTAAATCATGTACATTCACAATGGTAAAAATCGCGAGGGCTATGAGTAAAAGGACGAGGCCCGATTTGGGCTCACTGGAAAATTGAGCAGCAAAACCACTGAGAAGCACGATCGAAGCAAACACATAGAGCCCGGCGTTGATGTATTCCAATCTGTTCCTGGACAATCTGGGCCCGTACATTCGGCTCTCCCGGGCTGATGCTAGCTTCACCATCGGCGATCGATCGATTCCTCCCCTCTGCTTCTTCCCCTGTTTTTCAGTAAAATTTGTTGTATCTTTTATTCTATCTGTTTCTTGTGCTAGTGAGGAAGCGCATAAAATCACAATATAGAATCAGTCAGAGAGATGGACCGAGACGACTCGGAATAAGAAGAAATGGAAGGTTTTAGGGGACATGGAAGCAGGGGCGATTGGTTACGTGTCCTCGTGCATGTTGTACGTGCAAGCAGCATTTCTTTTCTTCTTTTTTTTTTCCTCCTGATATTGCATCTTTTTCTTCATTTTCCGTTAAAACAAATTTTCGGAATTTGGTCAATAGAATACGTGATTTATATTGGGAAAGGTCGCCGACAGAAACAATATCATCATCTTTTCTGGAATATAGAAAAATTATAGATCATTGATATAGTATTTCATTATGATTTATTCCAGTATTTGGTAATTTCTATTTGTTTAAATAATGATAGTAATGAATTTGATTTTTTTTTTAATTGTAAAGAAATCAAAAGCCCAATTTTATCTAAAATCACAATTCACCTATAATGCTCAAAATGGTTGCCTATTTTTTGAAGTAAACAATAATACAAACAAAATATTATTATCGTAATGTTTATTTTATACCAATCAATGTGTTATATTATAAATAATTTGGGTTGATATATATTTCATCATTGGTATAATTCATTTTCATTGTAATTAATTCTATTTTTTATTTTTCATTCTCTAATATAAATTACTAAGTAATCACTAATTAAATTACAATATAATATATATATATATATATATGTGTGTGTGTAATAAATCTTATTTAATGGGAAAATAAGTCATACACGGAAAAAAGTCGTACGTGGTTTTAAAATTTTAATTTAGAAAAACTGATATATACCACGGCTAATACAAATAGTCTAATAGTACGATCCAGTATACATAACTCGTACCAACTCGGGTGTACCCTATTATTATTATCTCATCCCGCGAATCTCCGGAGGGTTACTTTACACTCGTTTATACCCTTCCCCGGCGTCGTCAAACTTGGCATCCACACTCCCACTCCGGCGGCCGGCCAATTCGCTCAATCCTGAAATCTTTCTTTCAACTTAATTTACATCCTCGTAGTCACTGCCAATCCAATTTGCCAGGTTAATTATCGATTTCCCCTTTTAGTTTGGTTCGCCCTAATCTACGTATCTTCGTTCAATTGCTTCGTTCAATAGTACTTCTGTTTTGTTGGTTTGTCTTATTGTGAGCAGGAGGGGTGGGTGAAAGGAAGGAGTTTAATCTGTTGTGTCTTGATAGCTTAATACCTTCTAATCAGGATTGATGGAGTTGGCTGTTCTTTTTGATGTTCTTTTATATTCCCTTTTTTGTCGTGCGACTAATTTTGTTTTTAGATTTTGGAATTAAGTAGTTATTGTTGGTCTGTCTACTTTATGTGATTGGCACTTTTGGTTGATGTCAATCTCATTGTGTCTGCCATGCTTGAATTGTGATGCATTTTTGGTTACATTGAGTTGGGGATTTCTGTTAAGGAGGAGTTATGTTGATCTAAAATTGAGTTGGCCTTTTATTTATAGGTACTGTTTGTGGTGCGGAATGGCATCTGTTTCCAGTCAGCCTCAGTTCCGCTACACACAGCCCCCATCGAAGGTCCTTCACTTAAGAAACTTACCATGGGAGTGTACTGAGGAAGAACTGATTGAACTAGGGAAGCCATTTGGGAAAGTTGTCAACACGAAGTGTAACGTCGGAGCTAATCGTAACCAAGCATTCATAGAGTTTGTAAGCATTTTCTTTCTTTTATTATTTTCCTTTTTTCTGTTAGCTTGTATGCTTAGATTTAGTCAGTGCTTGTGCTTATGATGCTTTCTTTTGAACTTTCCAGGCAGAATTGAATCAAGCTATAGCAATGATATCATATTATGCCTCATCCTCTGAACCAGCTCAGGTACGAGGCAAAACAGTCTACCTTCAGTATTCAAACAGGCAAGAAATAGTGAACAACAAAACTACCGCGGATGTCGCTGGGAATGTGCTCCTTGTAACCATTGAAGGCAATGACGCACGCCTCGTTAGTATCGATATTCTTCACTTGGTAAGTGTACATAACTGTTGGTATGTAAGGTCATGTTTAGAGAGGTTCCTTCAGTAGGGCTAAAATCGCAAATTCTTTAGGGTCATTGGTGGGCCTGTAGTTTGTGTCCTGATCAAGCATCTTTTTGACAAGAATATGAATGGATCAGCAGGTCTGTGTCAAGGAAATACCTTCAATGGCAGCTTAATGCATCGGGAGAAAGAGCGAATGTGTGTTTGTTTTCTTTCTCTCTGCTGGCTCTTTCTTCCCTCGTTCCATCTCATCTCTCTATCAATATTTAGTTGAAGAGCGTGGGATACAATTTTCTTTTCTTTTTTTTTTTCCCGGCATGTCGGTTGGTTTCCACCTTACTAGTTGCCTAAACATAAGATTTATAGTGATATTAGAACGATGTTATCTTTTGGAAGGGTATTTATGTGCGCGTTCTTTTCGTTTATATAAGTTGTGGTGGTCGGCAACTTAATCTGCATTTTTTGCCGATTTAAGTTTGGTCATTCATCTTTTTGTTATTCACAAGTTTCAAGTTTCACTTTATTGCTTCTTATTATTATAAGAAAATGAGACCTCTGCAATTTGGGACAAAGATTGGAGAAACGAGTCATGAGCAAACATACTTCGATCTTTTATTTTTATTTTTATTTTTTCTGTTTTTTGTGAATCTGCTGGATTTTTTTAATTTTTGGAGAGTCACCGTTGTAGGATGAAACAATGTAATCTGAAATAGTTATACGTGGTTTCTCTTCTAGGCCTTTAGAAAAGCAAATGGAATTTAATTTTCTGGTATTGCCTTAATTATTATTTTGATCCATCCAATCTATTTATTCCTTCTGCTCGTCATATTGTATATCTCTTGATTTCATATTATCCAACTATACAATTTTAGAATGCCCGCATACATTGTCCTCCACAGATCTGATGAGGTTAGCAGATTTTGTGATAGGTGGTTGAACAAGTATTCATTTATAAGTTCATTGGTCCATTTTTATGTACATTATGACAAATTTATGTTTCAACTGTTTGCTGGGATTATGGTTTTATTTTCTTATTTTTTATTATTATTATTTTTTTTGTGTGTGTGTGAAGAACAATTTGGTTCTTTCATCTGTGTAGAGGATCTTAGTTCTTTTTTTCTGACAGTTGGCTTGGCTTTCACTCCATACTTTGCAAAAAGTTTTAACTATATTTCTCTTGGACTTGTATGGTGGGCTTATTGATTATTTCGTGAACTGCTTTGTTATGTCTGTTGATGACACTTCTCCATTTTGTTTTTTTGAAATTTGATTGCTTTTTTCTAATAATAATAGAAAAATTGAACTCCCATAACTTTATTGCTTGTTTAAAGTAGAAAATTATATAATTCAGTGTCTTATCAGTTTTTGCTCCTATGTTATTCTGTTAGTGATCATGTTCTCAAAATCAAATGTTATTTTGTTCTATCAAATGTTTTTTCCCCTAAGGGTCTATTCTTTTGTTGGTGATTTTTCTTCTATTGCTATTGTTTTTGTACTGATTGATGCATTTAATGACACCTAGCTGGTTTTCCTCTGAATAACAGCTTCTTGTTTCTACTTTCTATATTCGTTAATTGTGCTATCAAATTTCCATTCAAGCGGTTGTTTCTCCGTAACTTTTTTATTATTGACCTGGTTATTTGAGTAATTTTTTAAGTTTCTTCATCTTCCTAAAAGATCTTCCTCCTTTTCAGGTTTTTTCTGCTTTTGGATTTGTGCATAAGATCACGACATTTGAAAAGACCGCAGGGTTTCAGGTGTGTATACTTGCATCCTTTCCGAATATGATTTTATGAACAAAAAATGAATTCTGAGACTTTAATATATCCACTAAAATTTTATTCTCTCTTTTAGGCTCTTGTTCAATTTTCAGATGCAGAAACTGCTTCCACGGCAAAGGATTCTCTTGATGGAAGAAGCATTCCCAGGTGATGTTGGATTTAATTTTGGGCTTGGGATGTAGCCCAATGTTGTGGATGATATATGTCTGAGATGTGGTGCACATGTGTTGGGGGCTGAACACCTTACAGGAGCTTATTTTAAGATTCTACTAGAAAAGGGGTACAACCATGCTCCTTAACCGCCACTTATGCCTTGCTATCTAGTTTTGGACACTCCTTTGAGTGACCGTCATGCTTCTAGCAATTTTTCCCTTTGGTTTAGTTCTGCACTTCTGCTGTTAGTGGGGAGCAAGCCGATGATGGGCAATGAATAACTCGTCATTAGCTTTCTTTGTTTGGCTTTGAGTGAGCGTATGAACTCGACAGGCTTACCCAGGATTCTTATTCTCACTGTTTCCATTTGTTCCAATTTACATACATGAATGTCTTAAGTTGAATGACGCTAAGGTTGTTGTTGGTGTCTTATTTTTCAACAATAAACCTTTTTTTGGACTGAAATAAATTTTTTTCATCCTGCTTCTTCCATGACCAGTATTTAATTGCCGCCTTCTTTTTTTTTTTTTTGGGTAATCCTCCACAGCTATCATGTTGTTGCTTGAGTGACTGTGTTTCATATAGTTTTCATATTAACTTATATGCAAATGACTCTTTTGAATGTATTGCATCAGATGTTGAATTAATTTTAACTAGTGGTTCTGTATTGATGGACTGACTCTTGCATGAATCAGGTACCTAATTCCGGAATTGGGGCCGTGTACACTTCGCATCACATATTCGGCGCACACTGATTTGAGTGTCAAATTTCAGTCTCATCGTAGCAGGTATTTGTACGAATTCTTAGTTTCTGTATTCGATTGTTGCATTTGGACTGTAACGTTTTTGGTTTTATTTGCACACCTGGGGTTAGTTTATCATGCATGATAACCTATGCGAGTCACTGTTTTTGTCGCTTTGAACTTGAGTTTTCGTGTAACGTTTCAAATCCACTTGTGGAAGTCTAATAGCATACTTCGTTGGTTACAGGGACTATACAAATCCTAGCCTTCCTGTTGCTCCCTCGGCCATTGATGCTAGTGGGCAGGTAAGCAGTTGTTGACAGTTGTAGGCTTCTTTAGCATGCTTTTGTGGATAATAGCAAGCCAGAGTCTCCTCTTAACTCTTGTCCTGCATTGTAATTGCATGCATTTGTTTTATGAAATCCTTGTGCAAACATATCGTGTTCCTTTCAACTTTCTTTTAAGCTGTAAGTTTTTCTTCTTTAAATCATAAGCTTTTGTTAACCATTATTGTTCATTTTATGAATGTTCTTTAAATGTTCGGGTCTTTTGCCTAAAAGATTTTTTTTCCCCTTCAGTTCAATTTGGGCTTAGATGGTAAGAAATTGGAACCTGCAAGTAATGTTCTTCTTGCTTCGATCGAGAACATGCAATATGCAGTTACCTTGGAAGTTCTGCACATGGTAGGTTTCATTTTGTAAGAACTCGAATGTTTCTTGTATTTTAACTTTTTTGGTCTTACCGGACTTTTGTTTGCTATTTGGTTTTAGGTTTTCTCTTCTTTTGGACATGTAATGAAGATTGCGATGTTTGACAAGAATGGTGGTGTTCAGGCATTGGTACAATATCCTGGTAATAATTTCTCCATCTCTTCTTTTTGGGTAATAGTTAATTGATAGGATTCACTTTTGTAATGACTAATGAAGTCAGTCACTGCGCTTCTCCACCATCAGTCTCGATGTATCTCTCTTGCCTATAGTGTTACTGCTGGGAAATCATTGGCATCTATTAAAAATATATTCTGCAATGAAATGCAGCCAAAGGGGTTTGGTTCATTCAAATATTAAATCATTCCACTAACTAGATTCCATCTTTGGAAGTCATTTCTACAGTTCATGTTTCAGGAATATCATTTATGAATTGCTATGCCAGTTAGGTCCCTAATGTTATATCATTGTTATTGCCTTTGCATTTTCACTGGTTGAACCGAAGACCCACTTAAATTTTGTCGTTTGCGTTAATAACTTGACTTGCAGATGTCCAGACAGCTGTTAGTGCTAAGGAAGCTCTGGAGGGACACTGCATATATGATGGCGGATATTGCAAGCTTCATATTTCATTTTCTCGGCACACAGATCTTAGTATCAAGGTACTTGTGTGCTCTTTTGTAATCATTTTAAGTATAGTCTCATGGTATCCTGACCTCACCTGTCAGGAAAAGCTCTGCTATATAAAATGGTCAGTTGAATTTTTTTCTTGAAATAGTTAGCAGGGTAAACCTGCCTTAACAGTGGTCAGTTATTTTATTTTGGATTTCTAAGGTATTGATAACTTGCATTGGTGAATGATGATTTGCTTTCCATCTGGCATGCTACTGTTAGGTGAACAATGATCGTAGTAGAGACTATACAATCCCAGCTGCACCAATAATGAACCCGCAGCCATCTATTTTGGGCCAGCAACCAAATACGAATGCTATGATAGCTCCGGCAGCATATTATCCTCAGGAAAACTCTGTGGTGTCCCAGCCTCCTGTTGGATGGAATTCCTCTGTTCCAGCAGGACCTCCACCAGTGTCCATGCAGATGCACAATCACCCTTACATGCCACCTTCGAATATGCCACATCCTGAAATGGGCCCTGGAATGATGCCGATGCACAGCCAGAATGGTCTGCCACATTCAGCAGCCATGCCTCCATATCGTCCGCAATAGCATCATGTTCTCAGCAAATTTTTTCTTAGAAATTGTTTTCTGTATTTCTGTTACTGCAGGCTGAAATTGATTATTCAGAGAAGCAGGATCTGGAGTCTGTAGTCGGATGCTTGGGATATATTTGTAGTTTCAATTGTACACTCTTGTTTCTTTTTTGTTCAAAGAATTACTCTAGATTGTTTGTTTCCTTTTCTTGATGGTATTTGCAAATTAAATTATTATTAACTGTAACATTCCAGCATACCTTTTTATATTTTCAATGTATCTTTTTACATTCTTAATACAAAAATCACTTAAAAACACACATTAAAAAAACAAAACAAACAAATCAGATTCTGCCTGTAAAATTCCTGTTGAATGGGAAGGGTTTCAAAAGTATCACGTTGACTCTGAAGTGTTAATGTACATTGGTTTTTTTCCCCTAGCATATTTTAAGTTCAGACTTCATATTGATTCATAATCTTGATCAAAACTTGTCACACCTTTAATCATACATTGCACTCTACTAATTATTATTTCTTCGATTTATAGCTGGTTCTAGGTCCCTCCCTCTTTTATCGATTAAATTTCGTGAAAGGTGATACTTTCAAGGGATTAGATTAGTCTTGCAATTTGATCGATTTAAGTTCGAGAGTACAGATTTGAATTTATTTAGAAATTGTTTTCTGTTTTTCTGTTTCTGCAGGCTGAAATGATTTTACTAGTGTCCGCGTCCTGTTCCAATAGTCTGGAGGTGTTTCATAGTATATCTCAGGAAGAGAAAACATTAACTAAAAGAAAACGGCAGAGACGTAGAGTGACCCACTTCGGGTGAATTCGATCAAACAAAAAAATCTGGGAATGACGCGGCAGAGTTGGTGGAAAATCTGGGAATAACGTGGCAAAGTTAGTGTCGTCAAAGTGTGCCTGCTTAATCATTTTATCAGTAAGCATGTAGGAGCTTCCAAGGAAAACAACCAACAAATGATAGAAGAAAACCAAAAATAAAAATTAAAAAAAAAAAAGATAAAGATTAACTAGTGTCCATGGAAAAGGACCAAAGTTAGTGTAGTCGAAGTGTGCCTACTTGTGATGAAAAAACCGGAGCACGAGCAGAACAATGTCACCTTCAACTGGATCTAGTTTCTCACTATCCATAGCAATAATCCTATTATCAACTCAAGTCTGGGCTGATTCAGATTCGATTGAGAGAAAATTCTACTACTGTGTTAATCCCCATACTATCCCTCCTGTACCTTTCTCCAAAACATTTTTCACCCCCAGAAATGCTTCCTTCACCTCCATTCTTAATTCCACTGCACAAAACCTTAGGTATTTGGCACCATCCGAGCCTAAGCCAAAGCTTATATTCACACCATTGGAAGAATCCCACGTTCAGGCAGCCGTCATATGTGGGAAAGAACTTGGGATTCAGCTTAGAATTCGCAGTGGAGGCCATGATTATGAAGGCATGTCTTTCACTAGTGTCACTGAATCAGTGCCATTCATATTGCTCGATCTTGCAAATCTTAGATCCATTAATGTAAGTATAGAACAAAACAATGCGTGGGTTCAAGTGGGTGCGACAATTGGTGAAGTTTATTACAGGATATCCCAGAAAAGTCAATGCCACGGCTTTCCGGCAGGACTCTGCACCAGCGTTGGTGTCGGTGGGCACATCACCGGAGGTGGATATGGTCCAATGATGAGGAAATACGGGCTCGCCGTCGACAACGTTGTCGATGCGCGAATAGTTGATGCCAAAGGAAGAATTCTTGATAGGAAATCAATGGGGGAGGATTTGTTTTGGGCAATTAGAGGTGGAGGAGGAGGGAGCTTCGGAGTCCTCCTGGCTTGGAAACTCAGATTGGTTCCCGTTCCGACAATTGTGACTGTTTTTACAGTACCAAAAACATTGGAACAAGGAGCAACAAAACTCCTGTATAGATGGCAACAAGTTGCTGAAAATCTCGACGAAGATCTCTTCATCAGAGTCCTTATCCGGGCTGTGAACGTGAATTCTACCACTAATCAATTAGGCCAAAGGACAATACGGACTTCCTATCAGGGATTATTCCTTGGAAGATCTGACAGACTTTTACAAGTAATGAAGAGAGGATTTCCTGAATTGGGATTATCCCAGAAGGATTGTAAAGAAATGAGCTGGATTGAATCGGTTCTGTACATCGCCCAGTATCCGAGCAGTCTCCGGCCTGAATTTCTGATTCAGGGGAAATCATATTTCAACAGGAGTTACTTCAAAGCAAAATCTGACTATGTAACAGAGCCAATTCCAGAGCAGGTTTTGGAAGGAATTTGGGAAAGGTTCCTAAAGGAAGATTCACCGTTGACCATTTGGAATCCTTACGGTGGGATGATGAGTAGAATCTTGGAATCTGCAACCCCATTTCCTCATAGAAAAGGCAGAAAGATTATGATCCAGTGGGTGACGCTATGGGAAAGTGAAGACCAGGATAGAGCAAACAAACACATTGATTGGATCAGGGAACTGTACGATTTCGTGGCTCCGTACGTTTCCAAGTCCCCGAGAGAAGCTTATGCCAATTACAAGGATCTTGATCTGGGAATAAACGACGTCGAGGGTGACACGAGTTTGAAGAAAGCCAGCATTTGGGGCAGCAAATACTTCAAGAACAATTTCAAAAGGCTCGCACTTGTGAAGACAAAATATGATCCTGATAATTACTTCAGACACGAACAGAGCATTCCAACCCTTCGGGTCTTGTCTGAATGATCCATCTATTATTGGTCACGGTAAATTAGTAACAATAAGAGTAGTATTCCTTTACGCAATAATCTTGAGTCATGACGGTCGAACACTCTGAAAAAATTTATATTTGTTTTGTTTTTTTAGTGGGTATTTTAAAGTATTTTTTATATTGTGAATGTAAAAAGATATATTGAAAATGTAAAAAATGTATGCTGAAATGAGACAGTTATTAATATATTAATTTAAAAAAAAATCAATCATGTTCTTGTTTACCTTTTCGTGACGATTGAAAAAGAGTAATAGTAAATTAGTAATAATTAGAGTAGGTCAAATTTACCTTTTCTTATGTTACTTTCTTGCTAGTTTTTTTCTATGTAGGAGTTTTTGCCTACTATTTTTGGTGTTTATTTTCTTTCGATATGAAAGTTTAGCTCTCTTTTATGGAGATTTTTTTAATCTTTTTATGTTTTAGGTGTTCTCCTCAGCAAATATGATGAAGAAGAGGGAGATTTGAAGAAAGAAATACATTACGAAGATGATTAAAGACATCCATAGCTTGCAAATAGTAATGGAGAAGCTGATGCAGATCTGGAACTGGTAACCTGTGAAGACCATAGATTGACAAGGGAGTATAGGCTTCTGATCGGTGGTAGATGTAGATTTGGCTTTGTTTGCCTAACCTTCCATTTTGCATTTTGTCTCGTTTTACCTCTTAAACACAAAATTTAATGATAAAAGAAAATATCATCTAAACAACTTTCTGATTTACATTTTAAATTCCAACTTGAAACACTTTTTGTTAGTGTAATGACCATTTTAGAACTGTACTTCAGTGACAAATTTGGCAGGATTCCGTTGTTGAGTGATTGTTTTTAGAAAAGTTTTTTTGCAGTGACTATAATTGACAGTATTTAATTGTTTAGTGATAACTTGTACTTGATATTTCAAAATGTAGTTCAAAATACTTTTTTTTTTCCAAAACCAACATCCAAACAACATTTCTATTCCCCATTTAGTTTTCAATTTGAAACACATTCTACTTTCAGGTGACAAAATGAAATGTAAGTTGATGTACAAATAAACACTTAGTAATTGATCTTCTTGTATAATTTGTTTTTTTGGTTTGCTATCTTTTGTAATTGATGTTTTAATCTGCCTGATATTTGTGGCAAGTTTTTACTTCAACCATAGGGGTGGTAGTTACCACTCTTTGTGATTGCAATTCTTTTAGATAACTATTTGATTATTTTTTTTATATATAAATTATTATCGTTCGGACAAAAAAAAAGTGACGGTTGAACATTTAAGAATTATTTTAATGAAATTATTAAATTTATTTATAAATTTTTTAATTTGTCGTTTCTTGGAAAATTATTATCGTAGTAACCGTATGGTAAAATAACAAATTCTTTGTTTCCTTTTGGCTTTTCAATATGGTATCTCACGATACTAATAATAATATTAAAATGCAACATCAAAGAGAACAATATTTATGTAAGAATCGGAAAAAAGGATAAGAAGTAACAAGAATACATTAATTTTGTTTTATATGCTTACAACACAAATTCTTTTTTAACAAAAAAAAAAAATCCACCCTAATAAACCTCACTTAAACGTGGATAAAACCTCTTACAAACCCTTTGATGGGAATCGAAGTTGATTTATTAACAGAAAAGATAGTACCCTAACCACTAAGATATCATTCAATTCCCAACTTACAACACAAATATATCGTACAACAAAGTATTTCATTTTTATAGTTTACAAATGGCATGTGTTGATTAATAAAAAACTAAAGAGGGGATAACAATTTTGTAAATTTTTTTTTTGTTTTAAAAAATTGTCTACCTTGTTAAATGTTTTATTCAATAAAATGTACTACTTGCTAATTATTATTCGGTAGTATTTTTAATATAAATGACATCATGCTCTATAATTAGGAGAATTCAAATAACGCATAGTAATTTTTTGGAACGCAACGAAGTACTCCCTCCGGTCCTTATTATAAGACATTTTATTTCGTCTTAAATTTCATCTGGAATGTCTTTTTAATTAAAATAAAAACATAAAGAACATTTCATAATAATCAGAAGAATACAACGAATGTAAAAATATATTTTAAATTTTTTTTAATAGATTAAACCTATGACGAAATCAAAATGCCTCGTAATAGAGTCGGGAGGAAGTAATATGTAACACTTTTTATGGTATTTCCGGTTGCATCCATCATTGTTATTAAGTTTTAACAAATACTAAGTGAGAATCACTTGAAATTGCCCTTGATTATTTACTTCTACTGTCATTAATTGGTTCCCCAAACGCGAAAGATGTTCATTCCTTAGTTGAACGAAAAGGCCAAAATACAATGCTTGGATATCATTCTTTCTAATAATCAGTTTGTTTTTTTTTTTTTTTTGTTTTTAATTTTAATTGCGATTATGATTTCCAAATTCGAAGTCTGAATCAAAAGGCCCCAAATTGGGCTAGTAACGAAGACATTAATCATAAGAAGATCATTAAAAGTACAGAAAACAGAAAAAAGGAGAAAAAGACTGCGGAAACTGAGAAGGCCAGCAAGGCATCAGAGCGCCAACCCCCCAATATTCAATCAAAACAAATCATCATCAGATAAGGTTTTTCTTCACCTTCGTTTAATCTTTTGTGTTTGTGGTGCTCTCTCACTCCCCCCGCCGCTGCCATAAACACTAAAAACACTAATCCCTTCTTCTTCCGCTTATGTTTTTCTTTTTGTTCTCTCTGTATTTTGCTCCTTTGAATAAAACCAAAAAAATCACAATCCTCACAGCCTGTAAAACCCTAAGTTAATATCCGAATTTCCTTCACATTGATCGAAAACCATGACTACTTCGCTTCAAGCTTCTCTCGTTTACAGACCTCCTCCTTCTGTTTCTCTTTCTCCTCCCAGTTCTTCTAGTTCTTACCGCCTTCGTCTTCCCGTTCGTCGTTGTTGTTCGGTTTCTTCTAATTTATTCGGTGCGGTTTCTAAATTAAATTCATTTAGTGGTAGTAATAATCTTGATTACGCTTCTCTCCGGTCTTGTATTTGCCGCCACGGCGGGCGGCTGTTTGCTGTGAACTGTACACTACATCAATCCGGCGACTTTAATTTAACATCTGTACCTGATAAGAATGGCAATAGCAGTAGTAACGATAAACTTAGTTCGGATTCCGAGAAAGGGAGTTTTGTTAATGAATTTGTTAGCGGTGGTGAGGAAGCTTCCGGTGAGACTGCCGGGAATGAGACGGTAGTGTCGGAAGGGGAGAAGGCGGTGAAAGTTGACTCCGCCGGCAGTACGATTCAAACGGAGGAGGTGAAGAGCCGGCTTCCGATTCTAGCTTTATTGTTAGGATTTTTCGCAATGGTCAGGAGAGGTTTTGAGAAACTTATGTCCTCCGAATGGCTGAGTTGGTGGCCGTTTTGGCGGCAAGAGAAACGCCTGGAGCGCTTGATTTCAGAGGCAGACGCAAACCCCAAGGACGCTGCCGTGCAGAGTGCTCTGTTGGCTGAGCTCAATAAGCACAGGTTAGGACGATTTTCTTCTCTACTATGTGGGACTTATGTTAACTCTTGCTGTTTCCCCCCTCGATATACTGGCATTGCAGCTATTGGGACATTGTCTTTCATTTTTCTGCCTCTAGAAACCAGGGTGTTATCACCAGTCATTTGCCAAGTAGTGTTGAATCACTTTATTGAACTTTCAGTCAGTAATTTCCTCCCTTCATTTACTTGTCTTGAAATGATTCGCCTAGCTAGTTAACTCTGATAATGTTATTCCTTTTTCTTATTTTAGTCCAGAGGAAGTTATCCGCCGTTTTGAGCAAAGAGATCACGCAGTTGACAGTAGAGGTGTTGCAGAATATATCAAAGCTATTGTTGCAACCAATGCTATTTCAGACTATCTCCCTGACGAGCAATCTGGAAAGCCTTCCAGTCTTCCTTCTTTGGTACTCGTGTAACCATAATTCTCTTTAAGTATCACCATTCCTAAAAGAAGATAAAAGCAAATTTCAAAGTCAAAGTGATTGCTGGAAGACTGCTTATGTCTTATATTGGCAAAATTTGCACTATTTCTTTTTCCCCTTGTTGAACTAAACGGTCTTCTATTGTTCCTGCAACTTCTAGTGTTTTGTGATTTTGAGTTTAAAAACTTTACTTATAAAGACATAAACCTTATCGAATTTTGTCGTGTTAATATTTTCTAACCATGAACTTGCAGTTGCAAGAGTTGAAACAACGTGCTTCGGGCAACTTGGATGAACCTGTGTCGAACCCTGGCGTATCTGAGAAGAGGCCGCTACATGTTGTGATGGTGAGGAGCTTATAAACACTTGAAGTTCAGGACTTCCGTTGATAATACATTTTGTGGGTCTTTTCCTCGTGACGGTGCTGTTGTTGTTTCCTCCTGAGCATGCTCTACATTATTTCTCTGTATGAGTTGCCAGAGTCTTAGATAACTCTGTCTTGTAGGTTGATCCTAAGGTGTCGAACAGATCGCCACGTTTTGCTCAAGAACTCATCTCTACCATTTTATTCACTGTTGCTGTTGGTTTGGTGTGGTATGCTCCTGTAATTTCTTGATTATTGGATTTTATTTGAAAATCATAGGTACTGAAATTATCTTGTGGTTCTAGGGTAATGGGTGCTGCTGCTCTTCAGAAGTATATTGGGAGCTTGGGTGGGATAGGAGCTTCAGGAGTTGGGTCTAGTTCTTCCTATTCCACCAAAGAGTTGAATAAAGAGATAATGCCAGAAAAGGTTTGCCGTTCTACTGTTTTTTTCGATACTCTTTCTTTATGTCCCAACATTAGCTTGTATGTGTATCGTATCTTTTGTTGATTTTGTGATACTTTTCCTTTTATGCCTTCTTAGAACACGTCACTTTTACTTATCACTCTCATGTTTCAGCTTACTAATTGTGCTGTAAATGATGTCTTACTCTTATGCTTTGATTTTTGGGCTTACTTAAAGATAGACTAGTGCGTTTTGTATGGAGTGTTTCCTTCCCGCTTATATGCATGTATTGGAACCAAGCCCCACCTAGTGGGAAAAAGGCTTCTTCTTGTTATTGTTGCTGCTGCCGTTGTTGTTGTTGTTGTTGTTGTTGTTGTTGTTAGACTTCTTTGGATCTTTGAATTGCAGAATGTCAAAACGTTCAAGGATGTCAAAGGTTGTGATGATGCCAAACAAGAGCTTGAGGAGATTGTTGAATACCTCAAGAATCCTGCAAAGTTCACTCGACTAGGGGGGAAATTACCAAAGGTTCCTTCATGTTTTGTGTTTTTCTCATTAAGGTTGTAAAAATGTCCTTTATGAAGACTCTTTTCCTAGCTTTCATTCTCTTGTACGTCACATTTTCAGGGAATTCTTTTAACCGGAGCTCCTGGGACTGGGAAAACTTTGTTGGCCAAGGTAAGCTTGTGGTTTTTATTATAGTGATTAGTGGAATGATCTGTTGGCGTCATTCAATTTTGCAAAAGTCTTTGCTCAACATCTGTTGCCTTTGGCTGCTCCTAGGTTGATTACTCAGTTTCCTTCTTTCTTTGCATTTGCATGCACATGATAGGCTTCACTAATGTATGCTTCCATAGCTTTTTTGCTGCATAAGCTATGTTAACTTTTCTGGGTGAGACCCTTTGCCCTTGATTCATAACAGGATTACAGAAGCACTTCAATCTTCCTTAACCGTAGAAGTTAGTTGCTTTGCCCTTATATGTTGACTCTCTCCCTTAGTGTGGATTAGTGCATGCTTTTTAGTGGCGACTGGAACTAATCTGCTGGGATCTCTTCTTCATTCTTTTACCCCACTTTCTTAATCAATGGATGTTTTCCATAATATGGTTAATTTTTTTTAATGAACAGTCAACTTCTATGTTTAAAAACTTTCAATCTTGACATTTAGTAGAGGGTATATTGTCCTCTTTAAAGTAAAGAAATTGAACAGGCCAGAAACAAGTGGATGCTAGGTTTATATTCTATGATTTAATTGATAGATTTTTGCAGATTGTTGTCCTCTTTTTCCGCTTTATGTTCTCAATGAAAATGTTTGATTGGGTCTCTTTTTCAATCTTTTTACTTTCCTGGCTATATAACTGATTCTGATTGCTATCACACTCTGCATCTTGAAATGAAGGCTATTGCTGGTGAAGCAGGGGTACCTTTCTTTTACAGAGCCGGATCTGAATTTGAAGAGATGTAAGTTTTCCCTTTGTATGAATTCTTTTGGTTTTCGTTATTAAGAATAAGGTTTAATTTAATTGAAACCTTTGGATGGGTGCCTTTGTTTTGCTAAGATAAGAGAGAGGAGGATTGTATGTACTTGTTATCTGTTGATTACGTCTCTATAAACGCCGCAATCTTCTCGTTTCACTGGAAATCAATTTGTTAATTATTATTATTATTATTATTATTATTATTATTATTATTATTATTATTATTATTATATTTTTTTTGTCTATTATCCTTTGAATTTATTAACTATCGGACGAATTTGGTTCTAGTTTATTGGAGCAAATAGAAAAAAGGTCAGCTTGGTGCATAGGAACTTCTACATGTAGGTGCCATACCTTGAAATTTTCTGAGGGGATTTTGCTGTAGTTCCACCCATGGCGCTAAGTAACAGTTGTATTTATTTAAGAAATAAATGGCTCACAATATTTCTATAAGTCTGGATTAATGAGATTTTGATTGAAGGAGAAGATTATGAGATTAGCTTACAGAGAATGCTTTTGCATCATAATTAATTTATTTACACTTCTCTATGATAGGTTTGTTGGAGTTGGTGCTAGACGTGTAAGATCCTTGTTTCAAGCAGCTAAGAAAAAGGTTGGTCTGTTATTGCTTGGTCCCTTGCTTAATGAACAGAATATATTTGCCCAGTACGGATGTCTCATTCTGAATTCCTTCCGTATGTTCTTCCTTTACAGGCTCCATGCATCATTTTTATTGACGAGATTGATGCTGTTGGATCGACTAGAAAGCAATGGGAAGGCCACACAAAGAAAACACTTCATCAACTACTTGTCGAAATGGACGGGTTTGAACAGAATGAGGTACCTTCTTTGGCTTACAGTTCTGTGCCGTGCTTCCTTTTTAGTATTGATTTTGAACGCAGATATGCTCATTTTGTTGCAGGGAATAATTGTGATGGCTGCCACAAACTTGCCGGATATACTCGATCCAGCTTTGACAAGACCCGGTAGATTCGATCGTCATGTAAGTTATTTGGTATCCTGCAACTTGGAACGGTTACATTTCGTAGAATCTAAAGTATTAGTGATTTGGGTTAAATTTTTTCCGAGTGTGGATTTATTGCAGCAACGCAATTTCGTAGAATTTATTGCACTTTTTCGTTGGAAGAGTTATTTGTCTTCCTTTACTGTTATAGTTTCAAAATAAGACAATTATCCAAATATAATGGGGAAAAACTTTTTTGCTTCTCATCTGAAATTCCTGTAGGCCATCTTTATCCCTATTCATTAGCCTGTAGTTTACCTTTTGAAGTTAAGTTGGTCTCCTGGTATGGTCGTCTTTGCTTTATCAGTTATTATTTACGGAATAAATGACAGGCGTTTAGCTTATCAAGATTTGTAACAGCTAGTTGCTGGGTTCCCTTTCTTTTGAATTTCGACCAGAGTTATTTATTACTTTAGATTTCAGTAGGACATTTTTAGAGTAGATGACAGCCGTTTGGCCTAACAAATTTCTCCCTCTAATGAAAATATGCATTTTTTTTCAAGATTGTTGTTCCAAGTCCAGACGTTCGTGGTCGCCAGGAGATATTAGAGCTTTATTTGCAGGACAAACCATTAGCTGAAGATGTTGATGTGAAAGCCATTGCCCGTGGTACACCAGGGTTCAATGGGGCAGGTACGAGCTTTATTTTCGCCAGTTCAATTCATGCTATTTTTTGAAGTATCACATGGGCATGTTGTATGTTGACTTGTATGAAAGGTAGATAATGCAGTCTGCTCAATTATTTTCATGCTGCAGTAAAAATGGGTGAAGTGCCTCAATATTAGCTTGTGCCGTTGCAACATTTATTATGCTAATATTAGTCAGCCTCAGCCTAAGTTTACCTTCCTAAAACTTCAATTTGAAACAGATCTTGCAAACCTGGTGAATATTGCTGCAATCAAGGCTGCTGTTGAAGGCGCTGAGAAATTAACTTCTTTTCAGCTAGAATTTGCAAAAGACAGGATTATAATGGGCACAGAACGGAAAACAATGTACATTTCAGAAGATTCGAAGAAGGTATGTCGATTGTTTTATGTAGATTGTAGGTCTGAAGAAAATTCTCTGAGGTTCATTCAAAGGTTTACCTTCAACTTTTTGCTAGGGGTCATATGTCATGCATGATAGCTATTCACCATTCTGAAGCCATATAGAGCGATGTAGCGAATCAGACATTTTGCCTTGCCTATTTCTGGATTATCTGGCTTGTGGGCAAATATAATCCTCAAAACATACTTGGGTTGGTTTGGGATTTGTTAAATTATGGGAGCATTGAACGGGAATGGCTTTGAAATTTATGTTGCCTTAGACATGAATTGTTCTGTTCCCTTTTTTTTAGGGTTTGTTTTTACCATTCTGAAGCCATATAGGGCGATGTAGCAGATATTTTGAGCTTTCCTATTTCTGGATTATCTGGCTTGTGGGCAAATATAGTCCTCAAAACATACTTGGGTGTTAGTTTGGGATTTGTTAATTATGGGAGCATTGAAAGAGAATGGCTTAAAAATTTATGTTGCCTTACACATGAATTGTTCTTATATCCATTGCAAATGGTGCTAGAAGAATCATCATTGACAATTCTTTCAGATTTGTGCTAATAATGGATTAGATCAAAATGGTTCATCTAAATTCCAACGCTTTTTAATTTTGGTGAAGTTGCCGGAAATCAATACATCAACGCACAAATGCATCTTGGGTCATAGTACTTAACATACAGGGTAGACATGAATTGTTCTGTTCCCTTTTTGTCAGTGTCTGTTTTCCGATTGCTTGGTCTGGTAAAGGTTCCATGGTAGTATAGTAGTGATGGATTATTTGTTTGTTTTCCTTCGCAGCTGACTGCATATCATGAGAGCGGTCATGCTATTGTCGCTCTTAATACTGAAGGTGCACATCCAATTCATAAGGCAACAATAATGCCCCGGGGATCTGCCTTGGGGATGGTTACACAACTGCCATCAAATGATGAGACCTCAGTCAGTAAGAAGCAGTTGTTAGCACGCCTAGATGTTTGCATGGGAGGAAGAGTTGCAGAAGAACTCATCTTTGGTCAGGATCATATTACTACTGGAGCTAGCAGCGACCTTAATACTGCTACAGAATTAGCTCAGTACATGGTACATGTGATGTTCTATCAGTCAAGTATATAATGAGATAAGTGACCCTGAACCTGACTGTATTTACTTACTCATTGTAGGTATCAACGTGTGGGATGAGTGATGCAATTGGACCAGTTCATATAAAAGAGAGACCGGGTTCTGAAATGCAGTCACGGATTGATGCTGAAGTATGAATTCACAGTTTTATTTTCTTATGGTAATGGATGGTATACTATAAACTTTCATTGACCCATTGTATTGCATCATTTTCAGGTGGTTAAACTCTTGAGAGAAGCTTATGATCGTGTGAAATCCCTGCTGAAAAAGGTCAGTTTCTGGATCTTTGATGATCATTAACCTCTCCACTTGGATTTCTTGCAAAAGTACAAAAGTGCAAACTTTCTGATAGTCACTTCAGTAACCTGGTTTCAAAAAAAAAAAACTTCAGTAACCTAATTGGGAAGTCATATAATAGCTCTTGGAGAGAATATGTTCATTATCCCAAAAGTTCATATATGGAGATGGATAATAACAATTTGTGAAGCTATTTTTCTTTTATTTACTTAGCATAACTCCTTGACACTATTATAATTTATAGGGCTGCATGGGGTTGAGCTAGAAAAGATGAATGCCTTTTGCATGATCTCTTATTTTGTCTATTGAGTAACTTGGAGATTTGACACAAGTTTTACTAGCTTTCTACATGCAAGATTCAACCCCAGGATAAAACTGCCAGAGGCTATAATTTATGCATTCCCGAATCGTAACTGCTAGTTGTATTATCCATATTTCATGCAACTTCGGAGCTTTTTTGTGTCAAGTGGATGAACTAACACTCGTTCTTTTTTCCAGCACGAGAAGTCTCTACATGTGCTTGCCAATGCACTCCTTGAGTACGAGACTTTGACATCGGAACAAATAAAGCGTTTACTCCTTCCATATACTGAAGGATTAGAGCAACAGGAACAGCAGCAACAACAACAGCAAGAACAGGAGCAGGAACAGGAGGAGCTTGTTTTAGCTTGACAGTGGACCGCATCTCAACTATCTTGTTTTGCAGCAGCTGGGGAACCGTATATAGCATTTATACTTCGCCCACAGAAATTTTGTACAAAAGTCGTGCAATGCGGGTGGCGCTTGCCCTCTCTGTTGTAACATATGTACAATTTTTGTAAAAGGACTATTCAATTCATTTACATTTATAATTTGCCTGTAATTAATTAGGGCAAATTCCTTTTTGATCTATTTATGGATTAAATAGTAAGTAGCTTCCTTGTTTATCATTCTCTCTCATCAGTCCAATTTAGAAAAAATATTTAACTTCATTTTAGATTTAAAGATACATTTTCATCTTCCACAACTTATTGGTGCTAAACTTGTCATTGCTAACAGATGCATAGACATTTTTTTGGCAATTGCTTCACTCAATATCTGCGAACAGATGCTTAGACATTTTTTAGAAAATTTCCATTCGAGAGAAGCATGAGTTGAATGAACTTGGAAGATTGTTCCCAACATGAATCATATTAATTTGTGAAAACACCAACCAAAAAAGACACATTCTCTTCAGAAATTTGGTAGCTATGAATATAAAATCAATTATCATGGAGCAAATGGGTCACTCAAATGGATAAATCTACTCAGAAGTTGGCCAACATATACAATAACGCAATTAACCACTAATATTAGGTGCTTGGACGAAAGTTCCTGATAGAAGATGATGTACTGCCAACCTTAGTCCTACCTCCTTTCCACAGTAATGCGAAGCAGAAGGTATAGAATACAAAAATAGAACCACAATGATACAATCTCTCCACCACATACAGCTGTACTGTATTTACAAGCCTAAAGCACGATATTCCAAGAGCACCAAGCCAAAACTTCAACACATAAAACCATTGCCTTTCTCGCGCATTTGCTGTCCATGTTGGGGTTTGAAACTTATAAAAACTGTGGTTCTTGGGCTACTAGAAATAGGGAGATCAAACATGTCTTCAAAACTATCAAATATAATGAACACAAGAAGAAGAGAGTAACGTGGGTCTCATTATGGACAAACAGCTTCCACCGAACAGCCAGCCTCCGAAGGCCTCAAACAATGGAAACGCTTGACAGAAGCCTCATCCTTGGCAAACATAACCTATAACTCATTTTCTTACCTTACTCGTTCTGATCAATAGGTTCCGTCCTGTCCTGCACAGCAAGCCGCTCAGAAACATCAGCAAGCGACTTGAGGTTGCACTTGATCACTGCTTCAACAAAGTAGCAAGTTTCATCCTTTGTGTTTCCTTCAGGTACATCAACAACAAATGACTCAATAACTAAAGTTCCTGGTCTTCCGTCAATGACTTCTGGATGCACTGAAATGATAGATGAGTAATTCTGCAAAGAAAAAGAGGAGATGAGCAAATAAAACAACAAACCAGGCAACTGATATGTTTGGCTCAGGAAAAAAGCCACCATGTAATGCCCATTTCTGGATAAAAGATGTTCATTCCACAGTTTCTCTTCCTTTGCATGCCAATAATGGAACAAAGAGTTCACAAAACCAATGATTTCAAGGACGTTGACAGGAAGGAACAATCAGAAACAAGTTTACCGTGTAAAATGAATCAGGAGTTTCATAACAGCAGACATGAAAATGGATAAACACTTGAGGAAATGCAAAACTCACTAATCAACAGGGCAGGAGACTTTAAAGTGCATAAAAACTAAGGTAGAATAAGCAAATTCAATACTTTCTCTCCATGAAGGATTAGAGATAATAGCTGGGTTAAACCCTGACTCTAAAATGTTATCCACACATTTTCTCTTTTTTTAGATTAGAATCAGAGGGCGATCAGTATTTACTAAGTCAGTTTTGCCAAACCAAGCGATTTTTCCTTCTTTTTTTTTAATTAAACCAAAGAGGATACAAAATTACTAGTACGACCAGAGCAATTGATGCCAGATCACTGAAACTTTTAGCAGTCTTAACATTATTCTCAAAAGCACTATTTTCTCGTACAAATATCAGTGGCCTACAAGATGCCAGGACAAATACCATCACTCAATCAAAAAGCCTTAGCTTCTTAAAGGAGGTGGGCGAAGATATATTGCAGTTGGTGAAGACAAAAGGTAAATAAGACCTAACCCAATACAATAGGTAATACCAAAAAGTAAAGATAAGTATGAGATTTTGATGTGTCAGGAACAAATCAACTCAAATGATACAACCAACTGCTAACTACTGATAACAACTCAAGTTGAAGATCTGAGAAAGTCGATAGGAATAATAGCCTATTAGAGCAACCAAAACCAGTATTTCAGTGTTAGTGACATGTGAAATGATTACCATAAAACTAGAGAATCGAGCATACGAAAGTTTTGTCAAGCAGTTTCAATCTCTACTAACGAAGCAACACCACATTTCAAACACAAAAAGGGGCCCAAAAAATTCTAATTATCCTTTTAAACAACAGATAACAGACATGTCAAGTCAAGAAAAAGTAGAATCACCTTAATAGGCTCGCTATTCAAAACTTGCAAGTAAAAGAAATACAAAATTAAAGCTGCCTGAAGAAGCCATAAAGCATCTAATTCTTTTAAGGCAGCAAGGGAAAAATTGGAAAAACAAAGAGGGAACATACCCTGAGCCTATGATCCCCTCCAATAAACCTCACACTGAGGACATGTTCATCATCATCTAGAAGCTCTAACCTCTCAGTGCTGGTAGTAGCAGGAAGGCCTGATTTTACATCAACTTCTCTAAGGCTACCAATCTCCAGATTCCCTCGCACAACACACCTGCTGACAAAGGGCTTATACTTCTGTGGCTGATCGAACCTTCTCACCAAAGACCAAACCTAATATATGGCAGAATTTACAATTAGTTACAAGTAAAAAAAAAAACACTAGCTATGATGATAGGTTCAGAAGCGAATCATGATTCACAAGATAAAGAAACCAAAAATTTATGGGAATGGAGCGCTAACATAGAAATACAAATCTTCAACATAATGGTAGTGATTCAAGGCATTACAATTTAGGTAAAATTTTCAATGAAGTAGTTTCTTCAAGTAATAAAACTCAAAGATGCACTTTTAAGTTCTCATCGAACATAGCCAAGGACTAGAAATGATTAACAGTTTACTGCCAAGGAATAGAACTGATTAACAGTTTACTACAGTATAAGAGAAACTAATCTCTCTTTCCTCTCCTTATGAAATTATAAATACCTCTGCTGACAAGGAAATAAAAAATGTGTTTATCATTCATCAACCCAGACTACGGCTTCAGTTGCAACATTGAAAATTTAGAATGATGAAGATCAAACGACTCAATGGACTCATTCCAAAAGAAAACTATAAATAATAACTTTCAAAAGAGGGGAGAAAAAAAGAAAAGAAAAGAAAGAAAAACTGATATTTCGATTGGCGTAGCTTAGGCAGTAAGCTAATTAAGATAGTGAAAAGATGAAAGTGCGGATTGAAGCTACAGGTCAAACCGGCAAAAGAGAACACAGAATCAAATATCAAGAATCATAAAATCAGTCACATCTCATAAATCAATCACGAGATGGAACTTCCAGAAATTCCATCAAACAACAAATCAGAGCTCATCCAAACCAGGTCAAACCAATCGATCCAATCAAAACTGTCACCGAAACACAAATTAACCTATTCAACAACGAATAGAGAGGGGAAAACAGAACCGAGAAACTGCAAACACACAAAACACACAAAACACACATACGAGATGTACTGGAGCTTTGATGCGCTTGATGAGAATGGAACTGCATTGATTCTCCGCAGGCTCATGCTTATGGTGCTTCCTTATGAACTCTCTCTCCGCTCCGGTATATCCGTTCTCAACCGCGTTCATCTTCGCCGAACAAAATACAAAAAAAAAAAAAATCCTCAAGCGCACGCTTCTCTATTTTCGCAGCCGCCGCCGCCGGAGAACAGAAACAAATTACAGAAAATGAAGAAATAATACTGGTTCCGACGCCGGAGAAACTAATCGAGTCAACTCAGAACGCTTCCAAATTCGGCAACACCGCCATAATATTACACACCTATGAACTCAAATTCATCCCCTCTAATGCCTATGGTTTTTAGTAGACTTTCTTCTTTCCTTTTTAATTTTTTATTTTTTTCGCTTTCCTATTTTCCCCTCTTTCTGCTGCCTTTGAGAGAATATATAAATTGCCAGCCGGTACGCCCCCACTTGCACATTATACTCTCTCTGTGTTATGTGTGGGTGTGCGTGTTTTTTAATATTTTAGTGTTCCTTTATATTTTTGTCCTTATATATGCTACTTGTAGTTTGTTGTTGTTTAATCTTTCACACCAAATCAGAACAAGGAAAATACTATTTTACTCTCTATTAAAATTTAAAAAGAAAACAGAAAAGTCCAACCGAATTAATTGCTAGATCTTTAATAATAAAAATTAACCTTTTATTATTTTTTTCCTTGGAATATAAACATCATATACACATAACAAACTAAGGTTTATGATATCAAAATTATAACTATAAAATTATTAAAAAAAAAGAAAAGAGATTACAAGTGTTGAATCAAAGCAACTAAGACATTATTGTTTGATGCACTGATAGATTTCATGGTCTAATAATTGGTAATATTAACAAACGATTGTTTAATGGATGTTTAAGTGAAGTGCTTGTTGTTTGATTTTATAGGTAAATTATTATTTAATCAAATTAATTAATGCTACCCTATTAACTACACTTGTTTTGTTTGCAAACAAATATTGTACTATTTATTAAGATCTTACACTAGAATTGAAAAAGAAATCCAAGTACTAATAAAGATGCAACCGCAGTTAGTTGTGGAATAGTAGTAGAACGGATTAAACAAATAAATAAATTCCGTCTCTTGTGGATATCTTCTCTGGTCTAGTTTGTTGCTTTTATCACTTCTTCATCCGCCCGAATATCCGATCCAGGTACCGACTACCGACTTGGGAGAAAACGAAGCCGGTGGTTTCCTCCCAGTTTTACCCTTCTGTTTCTTCCTTTATTTACCAAAATGACCACCCGTATTAAGCTTAGCTAGCAAAAGGTACGCATACCGACAGAAGAAAATGCGCTTTACATGACCGTATACGTATTTTTTTTTTGGTGTATGTTAGAAAATCATGAATAATAAAGGAGAAAAAGGAAATAATTTGGAAAAAAATAAGCACTATACAGAATTTTGTCGTTATACGCCGCCGAAAGCAATAGAGTTTTAAATGAGGAAACGCAATGGAATTAGTTATTAATTTGTTGCAATTCTGACCCCGGCCCCGCATCCAAACAAATCAGTGTTACTTCATTTTGTTTGTTTTTGGCATCTCTACTTTTACATGCTTATCCTTTCTTTCCATAATTTAATTTAATCATCATCTCCCTAACTGAATTTTGCCTTTTTTTGGTTTGGAATAACGGTGGCGCTACTAACACCTCTCGCTAGCTACCTCCATTCTTCTTCAACTCTGTAGTCTTTACATTACCAATTTTTATGGGATTTTTTATGGGCTTTCTTGCACAATTTCGTGGGAACTCTTTGTTGTTACATGGATCTTATATTACTAACCATTTACTTTTATCTATTCCAAAACAAAATGCATTAGCAAAAAAGCCTGCAAGTGTTGTGCCATTGAGTATGCTTGTGGCGTTTTGTTCTTACTCTTTAACATTATTATCATGCACATGTCACCAAAGATATCCTTATGGAGTTTGTAATTATCTAAGCTACGAGTGATCGAAATGTATTTAATAATGTTATGTTTCATTCGTCTCATACAATTAATCTAACAGTGTAATATAAGATATATAATATAAATTATTTTTTAAGGTAGAGAGAATAGTTATTGAGAGGTTTTTTTTATGAAAACAAAAATATTCCATCATAAATTTTGACATTGTTTAGGACTTTTTTTTAAGCCGATCCACATGATGCAGCTTGTCTTCTTTTCGCAAGCCAAAACAAAATTTAACCAAAAGACTTCAAATTTTAATCCTTATTTTTCTATAGTTCACTAAGATTTAGGTGTCTGCATATGAAATATAATTTTAAGAACTGACAAGAGTAAGCTGAAAGTTATTTGGATGTATTCTTCCTTCATTACCTTTTGCACTTCTCTTGTTAATCAGTTGATATGACGCAAAATAGTTGACATTTTTATGTAACGTAAAAATCCAGTTTCCAAGAAAAATAATTGAAGATGGGCTAATTACATTGTACGGTGAAGATGGATCATCATAACTTGTGATTCCCTTCATCGACGGCATTGTTAAGGATGGGAGATTCCGAATATTCTCCTCTTCGACGGTTCGTTGAGACTTGTGAATGGTAAGTGATTCATCCGAGTTCGATTGAGAAGTGTTGTTGAACTATTCCAAAGAAAAGTAAGGATTATATTAGATGAGATAGGAAAACATACATGAGACATCATTCTTTTGTTGAGACGGAGAAAATATGTCCCAAAATTATTGTCCAATCTGAATTTTCATTTTAGCTCAAATTTTTCTATAAGTGAAATCTCAAATTGGACAATAATTTTAGGACAGAGAAAGTACATGGTAAAATTTTATTGGGCATTTTCAACAAGTCGAGGAAGCTCATGATATGATTTATCGTTCAGATTATCGACAAATAATTGGTTCCGTTTTTGCTAAAAGCTTCGAGAACCTGACCCATACATTTGATGAGATTAGAGACGCCGTTTGGTAGGATGTAAGATTTTTAAACAAGTCATTTTCCATTTACTTTTTCTGGATGTTGGATAATTGTATATTTGCTTTAACACGACAAATTCTGCACGTAGCTTGGGATGGTTTCGTTCCTCAACTTTGAGTATTATTGCATTGAAAATGAAAACTTTGCTGAAAATGTAATATCTATCCTTTAGTTTTATCCACAACCTTACTTGAAGAGAGCACAAGTGGAGAATATTCGCCATTTTAATTCATAATAGGAGATGAATGATTAATTAAAAATGGGCAAATTTTTTTTCCTTCAAGTTTCAATGTTTGAAATTGTAATCAATCAGTTACCTTCATGATAAATTATTTAACAGATAAATAGTGAACGGTTCTAGTGATTAATTATTTAAAGAGATAGTGAAAGGAGTAGATCCAGAAAATAAACAAAACTGCCTGAATGCCAAAATGAAGGGCTATGGATCAATCAATCGCATTCATCTGTTTGAATTAATTTGAGTATTTTGACCGGAAAGACTAAGAATTTCACAATCTCTTTTTTTAGCTTGCTAAATCAAATCAGAATTAACGTGGCAAGATGACATTTACGGTAGATTTTTTTTCTGCATTCTAATTTCTTACCCAATCATTAGAGGATAAACTTCCTTGCTTATTTCTGTCTTTGGATTTGAATATTCCACATGTTAGTCAATAATTCGTTTCACGTTCATCTAGTAAACCAAATCGAAAATGACTGAGGCCTGTTTCAGTCAATTTATTTGCAAGTAACTACTCCCTCCGTCTCATAATTATTGTCCACTTTGCCCAAAAAATTTTGTCCCAAAATTATTGTCCAATTTGACTTTTTATGGATCAAGTTACACATTTGTCCTTAGTAAAAAAACATTATCCATAAAAATCTTAATGGTTAAACAATTATTTATGTATGGATATATCCGGTTGTTTAAGGTAAAATATAATTAAGTTTGACCAAAAATAAAATCTTTCATTTTAATAAAACTGGACAATAATTATGGAACGGAGGGAGTATTACAAATGAAAATTTATATCGAACGTCCAATTAAGGCAGTTGAAAATATCACCTTTATTCCACCGTTTGAATTTCATCATACGACCGCAACATCAACTGCTTATTTTATACTAGCACTTAATTCAAGTATATCCAAACATTGAGTATAGATTTTGACTAGTAACAAAATTAAAGCTTGCAGATACCTTTATTCTCTTTAATCCTTCATCAAAATATGTAAGTTTATCCACTCAGAAATAATTACAGAGTTTAAAGTGTAAAGCATATCAGCACAAAGTAAATCATACATCCATACATGTCAAGCAAAATTGCATCCATAAAATTGAATGTAGAGAGTTATCAATTGCATCACGTAAATTTGACTAAAAATCAAAATTTTAAAAAAACAATAAAATAATTTCCATCTCTAAAAAAATGAGGTAAAAGGTATGTATATCGATTTATATTTATAATTATGAAAAGGGTAAACAAAAAAAGAGAAGGTTATTTAGAGGAAAACAAGAAAAAAAAACTCCAAAAAATGAGTGAAATTAGCGTTTTTTTTTTCATATTGCAGAGTGTCCGGCAACGGTAACCCCTCGCTCATAGTAGGCACCTTGATGGGTGGGAGAGCTGACCAAAGGATTTAAAGTTACTTCATGTCCATGGCGAAATTCAAATCATCAATTTATAGTTAAGAGTGGAAGAGTCCTTACTAATCCACCACAACCTCTTTGGTTGAGAAATTAGCGTTTAGTATTAGTAAAAGGCTTGGATGGCGAGCCCAAGTGAAAGAAATAAAATTGGTCTATATATTTCTCAGGAAAGCTCGTAATTTTGGGCTTTAGATTGGGCCTTTAATTCGTTCTCGAACCACGCATATCAATCGACAATATTCGTTTTGCCTGAAAGAAATGAGTGACGAAAGACTGCGTTGCAATGATCGGAGAAACAACTTAACAAAAGCATTAGAAAGATAATAATTGAGATTCTTGTCATCAACTATTGGGATATATATATATATATATATATATATATATATGTTTACATAAAGGCAAAAACGCCTTTGTATAACACCATATTGTCCATGTATATGACCTATATATAGATTTGATAACCCATTTGTAAGAAGTATTCTAAAATGGATTAGAAAACCTATAACCCCTGCAATCTTTGATGTTGTAATCTAATGAGTAGGGAGAAAAAAGAAGAGAAAAGAGAAACATAAACCCCTAACCCTGGCTGAACTAAATAAGGCTTTATTGGGAGCATTTTCCTGGCGATTTAAAAACACCCGCCTTTCCTATCATATAATTCTAAGCTACTTATTACTATTAATAAGAAGCCTAATAAATTTCTGATTTATATAAACTGCTGCTGCCTAAAAAAAACTCCTCAATAAGCCTTATGTTATGTACCCCCAAACCAACCCAGAGCAATGTTTTTGGTCGTCACTGGGTCCCAGCTGGGACCCAGTTGGCCAAACGGATCAAAAACGACTCCACTTCAGTTGGATCTTGCAAAGAGGATAAAGCCCGAGTGTCTCTAGGAATGGATGATACCAGGATTGGACATCCTTGCTTGCTGCTGCGAATCACCTGGACAACAACATAATTGAACAATTGAGTTAAGACAAAGATTTGCTTTTTTCTCTTTTAAATGTGTAATAATTATAATTAGCAGTAATGACTGGTACTATAATCAAATGAGAAACTATAGTCAGTCGTTCTTGAACCTAACCTTAAAAGCGTCTTCATCGGTTTTGTCATCTCCAATGAAAATTGGGAAAACATCACTTGAATTAGCATAACCTAGAGTATCAAGCAGATACAAAACAGCATTCCCTTTGTTCCACTCAATCGAAGGCTTCAATTCCATAACCTTCTTTCCAAAGTTCATGCGAAACTTAGGGTACTCCTCCAGTACCGACTTTATGATTTTCTCCAATGCTGCATAATCCTGAATGCCAAACAACAAATCCAGAACAAAGATTTCAATACATTACAACAGTCGTTCAAGTTTCGTTGGGAAAAAAAAAAAAAACGACAGACAAAGGAATAGTATAAATTATGTGAAAGAAAACATTACATTTTCCGGGACATGTCTGTAGTGAACAGAAAGGCAGAATCTATTGTCCTCTATAAACACGCCCTCGATGTCACATGTTTCCTTCTTCAGCCTGTTTAACAACTGCAGCATCCATAAAAAACCTTGTTTAATCACACCAAAGAGACAAAATAAAACCTCTTTTAAAATGCTTAAATGTCAAAGGTAATAGCTGGATTACCTCCTTAATCGAAGGAAGAAAGTCCTGAGCAGGCTGGAAGATGGTGAGCTCATTTCCCTATAAGTACATAACGACACAAAAATTTAGCAGATTCTATGCGACAACATAAGACACAACAGACAGAAAATCTACAGAGAATCTAGCTAGTTTCAACCTTAAACTTCAAATCTTATACGAAACAAAAACAAAAACACTATACTTTTAAGTTTAATATATCTAACAATGCTGAAAAAGAAGTGAAAAGCGACAAAGATTCTGCGTACTTGATGATCTAAGGCCTTTGTCTGATACTTGCATTCATAGGACATGGACTGCGTTACAGGTCCCTTGATGTCCATTCCATGGCTTCCAGCATAGTATAACTCCTCTAGCTTCACAAAACCATACACCTGAAAAAACAAATTATTAGCACGTGTAAATCACGTGGGGGGGGGGGTGGAGTCGTCATCGTCACATATTTAGAGAGGAGAAACATGTTTTGCCTTTTTCCTAATACTTATTATGATTTTCCCCCTTCAATTTATTTTTCATGCTGCCGGTTGATCGGTGTGCTTAGGTACTATAGTAGCACGTAATAACAGATTGAATTAGTGCGGCTAGCAGTTTTCTGGGTGTACCTTATCACGGCTACGCCCACTTATAATAGCAGTAGAAAACTTCTTGGCTACATCACGGACTGCACTGCGCATCTGCATATCAGAAAACCGAATAGAAAAAAAAAATAAAATAAAGACACTGTTTATTATTATATAAGCAAAAAGAAGGAAGGTTGTAGTAGTAACTGGGGGCGAGAGAGTGATACGCGGTTATCTGTGGGCTGATCGTTATCACATATTCACATTACTAAAACAACTACTTATCAACATTTCTGTTGAAGAATAATATATTCAAAATCCAAATGTTTACCGCTGGAGACATGAAAGCCTTTTCAGGGTCATCCACAATGGGCGTCAGAGTTCCATCGTAATCCAAGAAAACGACAATCTGTTTCCCGTTTGCTGCATTCATGATCTCCTGGAACACTGTCAATGCACTGGGGTGTTCCTTCTGGGGAATAGGTAAATAAAATTAAAAAAAAAAAAGGGGGAGTCAGCTCAGGCAGAATGCTAAAGGAAAAGATCAATTTGAACACTTTTTGTTGATAGTGTTCACATGGAGTACTAGTAATTACGCACTGGAACTTACCAGCCAATTCAGGTATTTGGAATCCTCGACATCAGTGACGTCCAAGTGGTCAGTTGGAATGCAATGATCATCAGAATTATGTGGTTCAACTCTATCCTTTCTAAATTTCGCAAACAGTGACAAAGTGTTCATGTTGTTGCTGTCCTCAGTCCTGTCGAACCATCTCCCAATAGCCTCGCAAATTCTTCCGATTCTCATCTTCCGAACTATCTGTAAACCGCGTTTAGCAACACAAGACTTCAATCACCAAAATCGTTTGTGGCTTAAGTTAATCATCATAGATTCACAGACCCCCAAAAAAAAAAAACAAACAAACAAACAAAGAAGTAAGTACGAGAAAATCGTAATTCAACTCAGTTTGTTTTTATGGTCGTTTTATCAGTTAGAAGATTTAATTTACAGGGTCCTGTTTATTTGTGTCGGGTCAATAAACCCGTAAAAGAAATGTCAACAGGGCTCCACCAATCCAAAGGTATCAACCAAAAAGGATGGGGACGTACCATGAAAATAAAGAATGTTTGAACAATTAATTGTTTGATTAACTCCCCCTGAAATAAGTTTATTATAAACCCAATAACAAGCAATTTCCATTTTATAGAAATAAAACAATTTAATTAAGATTGATTATTTACTTCTCTTCTGTGAGAAACCAAAAGCAAGTTAGTTTGGGGGAGGGGTAAACGGATTAAGAAAAGAGTCAAACAAAGTCAAAAGCCCATCAAAAGTGGGTTCCTGGGAAAGGGGGAATCAAATCAAAAAACGACAGACAAACTTCGCTTTAGTTATTCAATTCTTTAAACTAAGTGACCAATTTCAAAACTGGCCGGAAAGCCTTTCCCCCAAAAAAACCTAGCTCCTCTTTTAATGAAACATCGTATTTTATCAACCGCCTTGACTTCAAGAAAAAGAAAGGAGATATAAAGTAAAGATACAAAAAAGGGGTGTTTGAAACTTGAAAGCAACAGATTCATGCCCGGAGGGCCAAAAAAAAAAGGTACGACGACCTTTTCAAAAAAGTCAATTTGACATTCAAATAGTTTGATTAAACCCAATAGCAAACTGTAAAAAAAAAAGGAAAAAAAACAAACGTATGTCAATGCCAAAGAAAAAATAAGGTGGGAGAAAAGTGATCATACCAGTTGGTGGAGTTGTGAAACTGCAGCAGACCCAAAGGCTTGACGTATTTTAAAGCGGAAAAAATGGACAAAATATCAGAGAGGAGAGAAGGAGGAGGCAATGGCAGAAACGGCGTACATTGTTCTTCGCCGAACGTCTATTTATTTTGGAGGGGTTTAACAGTTACCAAATCTCAGACCCATTACCAACTAACCTTAAAATAGATTGTCCGTCTCTTCTAAAAATAAATTAAAAAAAAAATATTTATGATCGAATGTTTATTATTCCTTTTTTTTATTAATGGGTTCACACTTGAGTCACAGTCTACGTCTTCGGAATTTCTTTTCCGACTTTTTTTGTTTTGTGCTGATATAATTCTTTTTTTTAAAAAAAAAAAAAAAAGAGGGATAAATAATTAATTCCAAAAAATCTTTGTGAATTCGGAGATACGGAATTAAGGAGTTTTTTATACCATAATGTGGCGTTAAATAATCATGATTTGAAATCAATTCCATTTATCTCGGACTTGGATCTCACGGTTTGTATATTGATGATGGAAAATCTGGGGGTACTTACTAAAATTACAGCGTGGTTCATATAATTGAAAAGCGCTAATTGGTGATTCACAAGTTCGTAAATTCACATTATGTATTGAACAATGCCAATAAGTAGGTTAGATTAACAAAACACGACATGTGAATACAAAGGGAAAAAAGAAGTAACCCTAAAAAAAAAATATTTAGAGACAGCAAACAGTCCAAAAATAATGCTACACGAGAAATTATCCAAAGTCATGATGAAGAAATCATTGATTAGATGCGAATAATAATTTTAGGAGGTTTGGAGTACGAATTTATTATTAGTGAGAATATGTGCATGCTACAAAATAATTTGACGGGGTGGAAATATAAATAAATAGAGTGGAACAAAAAAAAAATCATTTTTAAGCGGTAATTTTTTTATTCGGTTGCGGTTTCATGTCATCAGCACGTGTCACCTCTACAACATTAAAAAAAATTATTTAAAAATTCATTCATTAAATTAAGGACAAGAATCTGATTTAATTAAAAGAAGAGAAAATGACAGGAAAGAGGGTAGAAGGAGGGGGAGAGCTAATAATAAATCATAAGAATGAATAAAAGTCAGATTCGATGACTCAACAATGCACAGAAACATTGAAAAGTAGCCACTAATTAAGTTAGGAAGGTCGCAATCAAGGTGATTAAGGGTACAACGACCCGACCCAAAGTTTTAATCGCCAAAACCTTGTAATTCCAAAAATGACTAGCTAATACGTCAAAATTGTCGTCGGTTCCACATAATTAACCCATGCAATATATTTCACATCTATTTGTCTTCCTAACTTCAAAGAAATCCAAACCATACATGTGTCTGTATATATAATGAAACTCACTTCCTGGCGTCCAAGTATCAGATTTACTCATGCATACGCTAAAATTACACTCTCTGCGTTTCAAGATAAATAATAGAGTACTTCTTTTATATTGAAATGATATAATATGATACAACAACTAAACTTTAAATGAAGAAAGGAAGCAATGTTCATGGTTTTGTAGTGGTGTATACTACCTTTACCTTTGAGTTTTTTCTTCCTATCTATTCCCTCCATCTCATAGTTATTGTCCAATTTGGGTTTTATTTTGTTGGAATTTATTCAGAGGAGAAAACTCGACAATAATTTTATACTAAAAATATTTTAAACTGGACAATAATTTTGAAACAGAAGGAATATATGTTTTTGCTACATGAAATATAAAGCAGCTTTAAACATGCTCATTTCACATCTGAATTAATCCTCGTTTGAGATGTGTACATCTCTTTAGGTATCCAAAACTCTTCCAACACTATACCATATGATCTCTCTTTTTTAACACTTTAGTTTTACATTATGCATACATAGCCAAATATATGTTCTCACAACACTTTAATATATTGTACATAGGTATCATTTTGATCACTATGTGTAAGTAAGATTCACTTGATCATATTGTGGTTGCACTTGACGAGCAGCAACATCGACATGCTCTATTGAAATACTCCTACGTTGGTCTCTACCTAGGATTTTTGAACATTTGCTGTCGGTTTGCCGCGGGACAAAAAGAAAAAAAAAAACTGGAAACATAAACTAAGTGGACGTCCCGGCCTCCCGGGTTCCCCAAGCCATGTTTTAATTGTAGATATAGCCTCTACGAAAGTAAACAATTTTTTTTCAGAGAAAAAATAATACCCCCAGCAACTTAACAAAGAACTATTCATTTTCAAAAAAAAAAAAAAACAAAACAAAAAACTATTTTTACACGCAATACTCCCTTCAGTATTAAAACATTTTGATTTGTCATAGGTTTCACCTAATGTGTATTTTTACTTGAAGAAAAAAATTTTAAAATGTCACATTCGTTGTGTTCTCTTAATTCTTCTAATATGTTTTTAAGTTTTTTTTTTGTCAATTAAAAATGTGTACTAAACTAGTAGGTGAAATTTAAGATAAATGAAAATGTCATATATTAAGGACAGGAGAGAGTGACAGTCCATTATGCACATTTTGGTGAATAACAATACTTAAAAAAACAATACTACTATGTCTTTAAAAAAAAAAAAAAGTACGTTTTATTGTTGTTTTAATTATTAAATAATTATTCTATTGGGTTGAATGGGCAAATAATGTGAGGGAAGCTAGAAAGTGTGAGAGATTCGGCCCTCGCTGGCAAGGAAAATGACCCGAAGTGAAACAAATAATTGATACAGAACCTACAAAGCTATTCTAAAAGCCCAAACCTAGGCTTCCTTCATAAAAGAACCCAAACATCAAAGAGGAAGAATCACTGAAGCTCGCAGCATTATTTGCAAAAAAAAAAAAACAAAAAAGGAAAAACAAAAAATAGTACTAGTGCTTGCTACTCGATTTAATTGACTAGACAGCCGACAGAACTCGACACGGCAAAAAGTGGTATAGTAGTCATGTGAGGATAATAACCATACGGAGGATGTAAAAAACATGTTCTTTTTGGCCTCCAGGGAAAGTATTTTTCAGTCCACTTCCGACCGGAAAAAGATACAGCAAGACGACAAATATTACGCGTCAGAAAGCAAGACAAGGTCGTGGACTATGGTTCCACACCTTTTTATTTTACCCCATTAATCACCATGATTCACTGACACCTCGTACGCTTTTCATCTTTTCTTTTGTAGTTTTAGAGAAAACCCCACCTTTTAATTTCCTTTATATTCCTCACAAAATGAGAATATTAAAAGACAAGACAAAGTTCTAATCTACGTACTTTTCTTCTGTTCTTAATATAAGATATTTTGATTTGTCATAAGTTTAACCTATTATGTATTTTTAACTGGTAAACAAACCTTAAAAATATTTCATAACGATCAAGAGAATACAATGAATGTAAAAATATATATTTAAGATTTTTTTCGTCAATTAAAAATGTGTATTCAGTAAAATCTAAAATAAATTCAAAATGTCTTATATTAAGGATCGGAAGAAGTATCTTATTAGGTTATTAAAAACAGCCAGAAACTTTACTATTATAAACTAAACCAGAAATTCGTACAAGTACTATATAAAAATTCGTTGTTCGTTGAAATTAATGCATGAAAGATACATACATTAGTTTAGTTCAAACAAGATTGTAGATAGTAGTACCTTTGTTTATGGAACCAATAATCAAAGCGACAAAATCAAGTAGTTAGCTGTAACTGGAAGTTCAGGAAGGTACTTGATAGTTCCCTTTTTGTTTTTTTCTTTTTCCTCCACTATTAATTTACTCTACTACAGTATTTATATCTCAAGGAAACAAGTCGTTTGATTTTACTGAAACGAGAATGACTAGTAGTTATCTTTTACTTTTTTTTCTTGTAGATTAAAAGATTGGTGTCATAAAATTAATTACAAATCATCAAACCCATAATGTGATGACACGACACCTATCAACCTAGAGTGATGTGGTTTTTGGGTACATTATTAAACCAGAAAACAGCTTGGTTGGAGCCAATGGTTTCAAAATCTGGCTTTTTAAAGTAGTATATGGTCTCTGTTTTAGGGGTTAAAGATGATGTACTACTACTCTGAAGACTCATATTTGTGAGAAACTTCCAACCTTTTCCCAAAAAAAAAAAAAAGAGAGAGAGAGAAGAGAACCATTAAAATAAAATAAAAACAAACTCATAAGGAAAAAGCAAAATCTCTTTTATCTTCAAGTAGTTCAATAAAACTATTTTTATCTTCGTTTTTTTTAAACATAAATAATCTTTTTGTATTTCACAGGGTGAATAGCAAACAATAATTTTATGATTTACGCAAGAAAATTGAATAATTCTTTTAAGTGAGTCAAAGATTACGATGACAAACACGAAATATTTATAAAAATCTTTGAAAATACTCAGCATTCAAATGGATTAAATCCATTTGATACATTAAAGACTTAAGAGAACGATATTTTTGTAGCTGAATATTTTTTAATATTATTTTTATCTCAAAATGATGGTTCAATTTGAATTTTTATTTTTAGTATATTTTAAACAAAAAATAAAAAAATCCAAACTTTTCTTTTGGTAACGCCGGAACCCCACCAGAGATGGCTAAACCCATGCCCACTGTAATAGCTTGCAAACCACAGTGAGAGATAAATCACCCTAGACAAGTCCGGGATAACAAGCTCGGGTGTGAAATCGGAGATTCTTTAGTGGATTAGCCATAACAAGTCTCTAGAGGTGCCAATAGATAGAGTGAGTGCCAACCCCTCAATTTTTTGTTGGAATGAGGGATTAAACTCCTGACTTTTTTTTGGAGTAAATGTAGTTTTACTACTGAACCAACTCCTTATTTGAAAGGAAAAAATCCAATTTGTGGAATATGGCACAAACGAAAATTATATTCCAAATCTAATAATTGAATTGATAGTTTTTTAAAAAGAAAATCACAAAAGGAGGAGGAATTATGAGGAGCTAAAAGCCTAAAACTGAAGAGCACGCGCTGGGCCTAGAAACAGTTTTAACTGTTTTTTTGAAGAAAATGTTTGATAACGGTATTACAGGTTATGGTCGTTTCAACGAAAAGCGACACCAGATAGTCGGCGACGGTTGGGGCTTTTTTTGATCTTTAATAAGGAGATGTAACATTGTTTAGGCCCGCCGCCGACTTCCTGAAAGATTATACACTTTTGTTTTCTTTTTGATCTTCTTTCTTTTTCTTTCTTAAAGAACGAAAGCTAAGTACATGTGTCTCAATAAGAAGGCTTCTAAGTGAACGTTCGATGGGCCTATTCCTCTGATCCAAATTTCCTCATCCGCATCTCATGAAAAGTAAACCTAGACTACTTGTACTTTTGTTATGTAGGCCTAGCTGAGTGATTTAGCCCAGTCAATCTCGAGGGGCCTACCCCTCCAAACACCTGTGCGGTGTTTACTGCACTCCCTCCAAACTTTTTACAGGAGAATCACATGGCTCTGTTTTTGAAATTTTTTTTTTTTTTTACTTTGGACTGTCTATTCTCTGTTGGAATACAAGACTTCGCACCGAAGAAAATTTGCTGTTTGTATAAATATACAAAATTTAGTTAGAAGATTTTGAATGAAATACTTTTAGAATAATCCATATTACCATTCTGAAAGATTGCAACTTAAACGAATAGTGAGAGTCTAGAGCCGAAACAACCACCAGCTTAAAATGTACCAAAATCCTAACAAAGTAAACACTTTAAAAGCGTTTCAAAATTTGATGTTTTCTTTTCTTTTGAGAATACTTCAACGTGGGATTAAAAATCATTACCTAGTTGTTAATAGGCCGGAAAATATTTAGAAACATATACTTCGAAATGATTATAATCATTACGTGTTGTTAATATATTTAGTGATGTGATGAAGGGTTTTTTTTTTTTGAAGGTTACAAATACAGAGGCTAAAATGCCTACCATTTTAAACTGTGTGACGTTATATGACTAAGAAATATCGATAATATTATGTTCCACCCACGAACTTACGTCAGACAATTTAGACCTTCTTTCTTGGTACCAACAAATAAAAATAAGGTTAAAGTTTAGTAAGATTTCTGTTGAAGTATTTATCCCACATTAGTGTATGAAGACATTTTGTATCGGTATATAAGCACTATGAATCACTCCCCTCATTTCCAATTGGTTTTGAGGTGAAATCCCATGGGCTTCTATAATTTCTTAAGTCAAATTGAATTTTAAAAGAACAAAAAGAACTAAGAATGAGATTAAGAAAAAAGAAAAAAGAACTAAGAATGAAACTGAAAACTGGCGGGTGAAGCCAAGGAAGAAAAGTCCAAGACGTTGGTTGGGATTTGGGAACATAGGTAAACCTGAAGACCTGAAGCCCTGAACCACACGCGCGTAAACAAAGCGGCTCGGGAGGCAAACAAACAACTCTTTTGACTGTTATTTTATTTTATTCTTTGGAGTTCCGGAAGTGGAGATTGATACACCCCATTTGATTTGCTCCCTAAGTGAAGTAGAATCAACGGCCTTTTGGTTCTTCCTAAGAATCTAATGTAACCGCTGCCTTGATTCCTGTAACTGACGCTCGGGAGAGTGCAAAAAGCCCATCCCCCACCAAATTAATAAAAAGAAAAAAGAAGAAAAAAACCTCAAAACAGAAAACATGTTGATGACTAAAACAAACGCATTGTAAAATTTCATGAATCATCAACCGGCAAGTTTTAATTTAACTAGGTACGACCTTATACGATGATCGGAATCTTTAGTTATTGCCCGAGAAAGAGGCAGTCCCTCCACCGGCCCTAGTTTTTTCGTCGTTTTTAGTGTTACCGGAATCCTTGATTAATGGTTTACTTTGAGAAGGCTAATTTGTAATGCAACTTTTGGTCTCAAGCTAGCATTGTCGATCAAAGTGCGCACCGAACTAATTAAATAAAGCATATATAGAATTATATTTTGAGGAAGGATTTCTCAAATAGAAAATGAAAAATATATATATATATACCAGTAAAAAGGAGAAGAAAACTTACATCTGTGTGGTTGAGTTTTGGAGATAAATGCTTTGGAAGAGCTGGCTTTTTAGCAGAGCTTTGGAGTAACTGACTGAATGTTGAAAGTTGAAACCTGAAACCGAAGAAACAGAAGGAAAGAGAAGGAAAAAAAGGGGAAGGAATGGCCAAGGAGGGATCGGGCATATATAGTGTACGTTGGGGCGTTCTCTTTCTTTTTTTTTTTCTTTTTTTTTTTTTAAAAAAAAATGAAATATCTTATCGTTAACCTCTGATTTGACCCATAAGTTGGGATTTACGAAAAGGTTAAGATGGTGTGAGTTATCACTTATCACTACATACATCTTACATCATGAGACATGTAAAGACTGGTACAATTTCAAGGATGAATACTATAACTTTTTATTAAATTAATAAAGAAAACTCTTTTAAATTTTATCTTAAATTTCTAATCCATACACATGCATGTTATAGAATCATTGGTCTATCAATATACATATTGATTTTGTTTTACTGTTCATCACATTTATAATAACATTAGCACAAAAATTATCTCTAAAATGTAAAAGATTGTGTGGAAAGTGAAAATTGAAGAGGACATTATGATGTGTGATTTCAAATACATCAAACCTTCCAAGGTTAGAATTGGATTATTCTTTTCACCACAATTTCACGATATTAATCTGGTGTGGTTAAATTGTTGTAATCTGATAATAAAATGATCAAATATGAAATTCAATCTTGTTCTGCAAGTACTCTTTCTTTTTTTTTTTGGAGGGGGTGTTTACAACTTACAACTCACCCTTTACCATGAAATAATCAAATTTCGAGATTTTGACCTCAGGCCATAAACAAATTTCATGCATGAAGAACACGCATCTCTCCAATGTCAACAACATTTTGCTCCAATCTTATTGATCCTTCTCCAGTTGACGTACGAAAACAACATCCACGAATGCTGCCCGCGGGTTAGTGATCGCAAGATAGGTGATAAAACTTTGCAATCTTATCAATAATTCATTTTGTTGAAATTGAAAAAATACATGGTACTCCCTTCGGTTCTTAATATAAAATATTTTAATTTGTCTTAAATTTCACAGTTATTATGTTCTTCTAATTATTAGAAATTAATTTTTTCTCACAATTGGAAAAATTACTAGGTGTGCAAATTAAAATATATTGTAATAAAAACCGAAGAGAGTATTTCATATTTGTCCTACTCTTATCATATTTGTCCAGATTGATTTTCGTAGGGTTTCATTGGCCCAAATTGATCACCTACAAGTCCAGAGAGGCCCACGGAAAGTGTTTTATTGGCCCAAATTGATCATCTACAAGTCCAGAGGGACCCAGATGGAAAGTGAAAATCACGACTGCAACAAGCGTAATGGGCAAAATATGGACGGATACATCCAAAACAATTTGTCAACTAAAGTCTTCTGTAATCTCTGTTACTTCTTTCTTCAATCGAACCAGGCTATGTGGGCATAATTACACTCACAATTAAACCGAAAGAGAAAATGAACACACAATGGTTCCAGCAAAGGACACTAGCACCACAATTAAGCTGAAAGAGAGCTGAAAAGAAATGAAGTATCTATTCAACTTCGAATAGAATATGTTGCAGGAAGTTCCTGATCTATGAATGATCAAGCTAAAATCAGTTTTATGAGCTGATTAACAAAAAATGGTCCTCCCACCCAAAAGAAAAATGTATAATCACTACGACTAAAAACCATATGGTGTGCTAAGGATGTAACAACCTATACCTTCTTAGCTATAGCAGTAACTTCACTGGCAAAACAATGGGGTTAGATTCAAAACTTGGGAACGGTAATGTGACTCCAAGGTACCCCTAACTACAAGAAGTTTGAATGCAGGTATATGCTATATTCATCTTCATTCATTAACATTTATGTTTCAGCAAAAACTATCCTTCTGCAATTTGTCCCAAAATGCTTGCATGAACAAGTGTTTTAACAGCTCAGCTAAATCAAGACAAACCTCCTGGTTCGGCATAGCCCTTGAGCAATATGTACTCTTGTCAAAAGATTCATCGACAAGTCAACCTTCAGCAGTTTCAACTGATTGAGTTTCAGGAGCACACACTGGTTCCTTGACATCACCACATTCATCTACCACTTGTAAAAGATCCAATGGAGTAGCAGCAGGGTCCAGCTCAAGGCAACCCTTTGGGGCATTTCGGGCTTCTTCACTTGTAAGCCTGTAGTACGGCACCTGGTGAGAAAATCGTAACATCTCCTCTCTTGGTATCCGTTTTACAATTTCTGGATCAGAATTTGGACGAAAAACTGTCTTAAACCCCGCAACTTTGACAAGAGGAGTGACCGATACACCCTTTTCTTCATTGTAGTCATCAAGTACAATTACCATCTCATATTTATGTCTCACTTCCTCAGGTGTTCCATCATTCCAATCAGTGGACCAGTTCTTATAGACTGCCCAAACATCTCCCTTCTGGGGGAATATTTGAACAGCTCCACGCACTTTTGACCATTTAACCTTATGCGAGAAAGAATTTATGGACTTGTATGTTTCATACCGACCAAACCTGAATTCCCCACATGTTTTATAAAAACCAGAACCAATCCAATCCATTGAACCGAATTCATTAGTGGTTCTGGAGTTAAGCCAGCTAATTCTCAGCTTAAAAGGCTTTCTTGATATCACCTTGTTAACCATTGCGTAATATCGAGGCATGCCATCATCATCATCATATGCAGCCCAAACTTCATTGTCTCCAAAGGAGCTTTCTACCCTGTCCAGATCAAAATCATGGAAATCAGGATCTGGAACATTCATTGATTCTGCTGGTTCCTCAATAATGTCATCATCATTGCCACTCAAAGCAGTCTTCTTCACTTCAACAACTACCTGGTCACTAGAAGACACAACAAACCCGTTTTTAACATGACCATTTTCCACCTGGGTGCTTCTTTCATCCTCTTTCTTCCTTTCCTTAACCTTTGGTTTCTCAGGGTCCATAGCCTTGCTTGAAGCCGATTTTTTCCATTCATTCAGCTTCTTAAGAATCTCCTTCCGTGCCTTCCCCATCAGCATATTCCTGGTTTCAACGGCTGTAAGATCTCTAGTGCTCAAGGGTTTACTGTAAGCACCTGGAAAAGCCTGAAACTCAAACCCATCTTTTCTTGGTAAGGCTGCACCTGACATACCAGAACCACTTTTAACCCCGGTCCATTGATTTGAATTGTTAGCACCAAAACGGAAACCATCCTCACCTCGACGTACCTTGTTAGACAATCCCTCTCCCTCAACCTCACGCTCTCTCTTAATTTTCTGATGCGCCTGCTGAACTACTCTGGCGGCTTTAGCAGCAATTGATGGATCTGTGTTACCAACATTAGCTGTTCTTGAAAATCTATCCTGGGAAACATGCCCACTGGTTGGTGAATGAAAACCTCGTAAAGGTCCCGAATCTTTAGCAGACGAAGCAGCATTCGTTCTTGAGTCAAAGAAATTTCTAGAAGGTATAGGATTACTAGAGTTCTGATGCTGATGACCTGGGCCCAAATTTGAGGGCTTAGAGTGGAAAGGCGGAGCTGTCTCTGTAGCTAGAAAAGCTTCGTGACAGTTCGGACAAAGAAGAGTGTGGTTGAGATACACTTTTAGATATTCATATTGCATCTTGCACCGATGACAAATGGTCCAAAAAGTATCAGTTCTCGGGGAAGGGCGAGGACCTTCTTTGGGGAACATCCTAGCAGAGTTATTCTGCGCCTTTGGGGCTGAAGGTGTTTTCACTTTGTAATTGTGGTATCCATTTGCTTGTGCAGGTACGGACTGGCCACCAGCATGAGATGGAACATTGGGCTGGAATCCTCCTGTGGGACTCCTCCTCATATTGTACGCTAACCTCTTACTTTTGTCAGACAACAAGCTCCAGGCTTCACAGATAAGTTTAAAAGCGCCATCAGCGCCAACAGTTCTATTTTTATCAGGGTGGAGCAGGAGTGCCAACTTCCTATACTGCTTCCTTATTGCATCATCATCAGCTGTCGGGGTTACCCCAAGAACACCATACCAGTCCACTTCTCCACCGATCTTATTCTCAGCAGATATGTACACATCAATTGTCGTCACCATGTGAGAAATGCCATCAAGTCCTGGGTATAAACTTTGAGCTTTTAAGGCAAATTTTTTTGCACCAGCAAAGTCTTTACTCTCTAGCTTTTTCTCAGCAATGGATTTTGCACGAAAGGCCTCATCTCTGTTGCACTCCATGATTGAAGATGTCCTTCAGAGTAAAGGAATTTCAGCCAATATTCAAGTTTCCGTGAACGATGGCCAAATTACAAGATAACCAACAAAAACTTCGAGAAAGAGGCTTAAATCATCATAGAAATATGTGGCCCGTTCTTTAATAAAGATATGTTTTTCAATCTGAACCCCTGTATATGGAGAAAATGCAAAACTTTACTCTCGAGTAGGGAAGCAGCAAGAGTACATTAATATGCAAAAATGATACATAAACTATACTGCACGCAATTGAGATGGGAGCACGCAGAATGCAGTAATCTTTTTGAGGAAAACTATGAAGGGAATCTTAGTGATAAAAAACATCAGATCAAATGCATATTATATGCAATGCCCGTCCTCCAAATTTTGTAGGAAAAAAAATTCTAAAACCAACACCAAGGGAAAAGAAGAGCAAAGAGACAAGAAACCCAAAACAAACTTCCCAACAGTAAAGAAGTTAAAACAGAGCACATATATCAAACAAATTGACTAACAGTTCCAGCATCCACAACACCATGTACCATTGTCATCACTCCAAAGCACAATTGAAGATTGTCTCAGGGTACAATGCAAGCAAAACTGCAGTAGTAATTATTGCAGAACACAACTTAACGTCAACTAGGAAATTAAGCATAGTCTTCTCTTCAAAATAAAAGACAACCACACTTCCATAAACATTTTTCTACTTTTTCCAGAAGTATTGGCGATAGGTAATATGTAAAAATTAAAACTTGCAAATGGCGGTCAACTCTACTACTGAAATCAGTCCTCCCATCCAAAAGCCAAAAACCGTGTAAAAAAAAATCACCACCAGCATAAGACCAAAATCACACGACTTCGAAGCATCCAAATTTCTAGGAATAACACTGCCAAAATCGCCAAAGCAAATGACTAACCATAGTTAAAAAACAACACCTACCAGACACTAAAACTCAATAAACGATTGGCATGACTATATTCGATAAAACAATGACTGTAAGACTTCAACAGAGAAGAAATCCACATTAAAATTACGGAATTCGAAGTGGATCTGAGAGGGAGCGGTGTTTCAAAGTCACTACCAAGCGTCGAATAACACTTCCCGAAATTGAACAAATCTAATAGCGAACAAAACAGAAAACCCTAGAATCGAACTAACATTCTGTCCAGTTGTGATTGGGAAATGAAAAGATATAATGTATAAAATTAAAGATGAGCATTTACCCATGCAGAGGCGGGCATGTGATTCGTCAATTGTGGTCTTTTGGGGTTGTTGGCCTTGGATGAAATTTTTTCCCACCAATTTGAATTGGAAAAGGACCCTCCTGCATAAACTCAAAACTTTTTTAGTCAAAAACCCCTCAAATGCCAAGAACGACCCCCAAATGCCCCATAAAAGATACTTCTAATATTCAACTATTGGGTAGGCATGGCTTTTATAATTTTCATTTCACTCACCTTTTGTTTTAACCCTAACCATAGTTCATAACCATAGTTAGTAACCATGGTTGCTTTTCAATCCCATCAATGAGTATGGCCCATATATGGACCTTCAAGAGTTTCGTGTCGTGTTTTGTGTTTTCGAGTTTGGCCCATTTTCACCAATTAAGCCCAATTAGAAACGATTATTATATATATATATATAGAAAATCTAGAGTTCCGTTGACCATTTTTCCGGAACCGTCCCGTTTTGTCTTCAACCAATCAAAATTGAGGGTATAAGATGTAACCATATGGTGAATAACATTTTATAATATCATAAACTAATTGAAAAAATGATCACTTTTGCCCAAAACATCAAGTTTCTAACCAATTTGACCAAAAATATTTTTGGGAAACTAAATTCATCATCTAAATTTTAATTTTTTGCCAATTTAATTCAAATTGATGAGAATTCTATTAGATTTAATATTTCCACTGACATTTCGTTACTTTGTACAATTTTTCATTGTTAAAAAATTTTGTTGACCCAAAATTTTAACATTTTATCCCTAATGTTTTGTTATTCAATAACATAAGCTTATCTTATCATTTAATTATTACAACGTCCCTACCACATAATTTATCTCCTAATTTAATTCATTGTTTCCACGCTAAGCTTCTTTCTTTTCTTCCTCTTTTACTTGTTTTTTACTGCTGCACCACCACCGCCCCTTTCCTCTTCTCTACTAAAAGTTACCATCACAACTTCCTAAAACTTTGCCTCCACCAACAGTACACAATCCTTCCTCCATCACTACCCGTATTTTCATCGTTGCCACTTTCTTCAATTCTACAAAAATTACAAAATATTTTACTTATTTTTCCTTTTTTTCCTTCTTTTTTTTTAAAAAATTGTACAAAGTAACGGAAAAGGAAAAAATAGCGATTACACCGTTTTGACCCCGTCGTCAATTTTACTATATTGATTTTTGATTAGCCAATTTTGTCCTTTATATTTGAATTTTTTGTCAATTTCATCCAATTGGTCAAATTTTCAATAAACTTAATGGATCTCCGTTAGTTTTTAACAAAAATACTCCAATGGTTCAAAATATTATAAAGATAAGTTATAAAATATTTTTTGAGTTATTCGGAACCTGAATGTCGTTTTTATCCTTTTTCTTGCTTAAAAAAATGTTAAAATAACAAAATATCCCTTTTTCACTTATATTCATTTAATCTATTTCATTTTATTTCTATTTACTACTTTTCATAACCATCAAAATATATTATATGATCTTTAAAAAATAATTATTTATTTTCAACAATATTTTTCATGTGCAACACACTTGAGTTGGGTTTAGAGGTAATTTTGTCTTTTTATATTTTTTAAAAAAATTTAATTTGTTTTATTTTATTTTTTTAACAATTTTCTTCTTGTACTCTCTAACTTGTATATGTTGGCACTAGTATAATTACTATATTTCAAGAAAAAAATTTACCTTTTGTATTTCAATTTCGAGGTTTAAAAAAATATTAAAAACTATGCTATTAAAAAATATACGTATTTATCTTTGTCTTGAAATTCAATGATTGCTTATATAATTTAACCATCGGCAAAGTAACAATAACAATTACTAAAAAAGAATAAAAATTGTGTTAACCAAATTTAAAACAATTCATCGTCGTGGAATAAATAAATTAGCACTTTTTCATATTTCAAATGATTATCTAATTTTTACATTATTTTTACTATCACAAATAAAATAATCATTTTAGGCTAGATCGAGTAAAATTTATATTTCGTAACTTACCTATGAATTACAAGAAGTCAAGGAGGAAAGACTTGTCTTAGGAGTTTTTTTTTTAAAATTTTCTTTTTGTTTAGAATGATAACCTATTAATTTTCGTATTTATTTCAACTCAATTTTTTCTTCCTCATTTTCTTTTTTTATAATCTATGAAATAAAAGGTAAATTAATTAATGAAATTTAGTAATTATACTAGTAGCAACAGATACAAGTCAGGAAGTATAAGAAAAAGAATAATAAATAACAAAAAATTAAAAAATTAATTAAAAATTTTTAAAATATGACAAAATTACTTCTAAACCAAACTCACATGTTTGCACATGAAAAATAGAGTTTGAAAATAAATACTTATTATTTTAAAGATCTTATAATATATTTTGATGGTTATAAAAGGTAGTAAAGAGAAATAAAATGAAATATAAAATAATGAAAAGAAATTATTTTGTTGATTTTTTACATATTTTGGGGTTATTTTTATAATTTTTTGGTACTATTGAGATATATTTTTGTTAAAAATTAACTGAAATCCCTTAAGTTTAACGAAAACTGAGCCAATTGGATGAAATTGGCAAAAATTTCAAACGTAAAGGACAAAATTAGCTAACTAAAAATCAATGAGATAAATTAACGACGCGGTTAAAACTTTGAGTACAATCGTCATTTTATCCGTAACGGAATGTCAACAATGATATTAAATCTAACAGAATTTTTGTCAATTGGATGAAATTGTCCAGAAATTGAAACTTAGACTATGAATTTGGATTCGCAAAAATAGTTTGAAACCATCAGTATTCGTATCACTTGTGAGTGTGACCTCATAACTGTTAGTAATTTGCGGCTGATGTTCGATTAAATAATTATCGAATTCCAGCAACCGGTGGTGGTCTAGGTGCGTCGGAGCCCGGAAGGAGGTGGTGGTGAAAAATATGCCAATTTTGGGGGAAAATGTTATCCAAACATGTATGTTCTTAGTAGTTACTATGGAAACAAACAAAAGATAAATTCTATGTCAAAATATAGTTTATGGTTGATGATCTAGTTTAAATAGAAGTTTAATATTTGATCCATCAAAATGCTTATAACTCTGTAAAATAGATTAGTCATAACCATTGATAATAAACAACCTGCGATATGAGAAAAAAGAAAAGAATATATTGTATTCGGAAGTGTCGGTATTTGATAAATCCAGGATGTTTTTCACAAAATCCAGGGCAAACTCAGGGCAAGACCAATTTACCCACCTAATTAATAATACTTACTTCATTAATTTAGGGCAAAGGACCTTAAACTGTTGCTCTTGGTCAGTGCCGATTGCTGCAACTCAATGATGTGTAATGAGTATTCGCAGCCGTCAATATTTGAAGAATTTTATTTGCTCAATATTCTAAATCATATTTAATCTCTAGTCATTATAACTAATAATGCTTATTATATTTCCTGTCAAATGTAAGAAGCTAAAAGTGATTATGGGTGATGAGACAGTTTCTTGAAGTCGGGTTTCTCCACGCCATCCTCACCCCCCAGTGCCTCACCGTTAAAGATCATGAAAAATCAAATTCTTCATCAGAAGAAATTCGTTCCTCATGCCCACAACAAATTTATGAATAACATTGAAGAATTTATTATAGCAATCATTCACGATAACAGTATGACAACATCAGGGATTTGAAGCATGGAAATTTGATGATTTTGGAAATTTATATGAATGAATTTCGAAAAACTAAAATGTAAATATCGAAATTAATCAATAACAATGAGAAAAACATGAAAGAGCATTAAAGGGGTAAAATTGGTAATGACTCGAATTCGCCCTGGATTACTGAAAAACTGTCCCTGGATTTATCAGCACCCTTTTGGGAAACAAAAAGACAGTTGGAGCATTAGTTTGATCCAAGACAAATGAGTTAGATCCAATTCCATTAATTTCACTGTCTCATTTCTAAAGCCATATTGTTATGTTGACTGATTAATCCCCAACTCTGCCAGTAAGTTCAGACAATCATTATGTGACAAATTAATCCCTAACTGAAATTCCAACGGGAGAATAAACACCAAATAGTTTTCTCTTTTTACTTATGAGGGCCAAAGACGAAAACATGTTGAGTTAGACCCTCTCGCTTTATATACATAGTAGATATCAAGAGAAAAAAAAAACTCTGGAAGGTTCCACAACCATTTAATGTTCCTCTACGGTAGTAAATGTGCTGTTGAAAGTTCCTATCCGGCAATGGCAAGATATCTCATGGAGTTGAATCTTTGAAACCAACATGTGATTCACTGAGCAGTGCCCAGTAAACCGTTCCATGTTTTATTAAGAAATGATCGCCAAGTTGTTAAAATATCTAGTTGGAAATTTAAGTCACTTTCGTCTAATTTTCCTATGTGTTTGGCTAAATTGTTCATCCCAAAAAGACCTAACTAGAGAATTGTGCACTCCTAGGTGCTCTAGCCTGAACTTGAAACCTCAAAATCTAGCTACGAAACCTCCTCTGCTCACTGCTCGTAATACCTTCCCAATACTTAACATTGCGATAGGAGCAAAATAGGTTAATATCTAGCGCCCCAACCAAGATTAGTGCATTCCGGGGAAGAAAAACAAAGGACCACTACAAGGGAAGAAAAACAAAGGACCACTACAAGAGCACAATATGATCAATTTCACTATTTTCCTTAGGTATAACAAATGGGAGGATAATTTAAAACACGGCTTCAAACAGAAATGAAATGCGTCCAAAAGTTTCTCTACGATTGCAATCTACAATCAGTTTCCAGGATGATACAGAGAACAACATACACAGCAACAAGATTGGACATACTTCCAAACTTGTGGCTAAATAAGAAACAAAACCAATGAATGAACAAAAAATGACTGCCTTCCCATCTGCACATCCAGCCATTATCAGCTAACAGATACCCATGATGGAATTACGTAAGAAGGGTAAGAATTACTGCACATGCAACGATCACCAAATTATTTATTCCTGCAGGGGTTCACTCCGGGATGATTTTTCCACTGGTTCTTCTGCTTTGCTGTGATGAAGTTTCACCACAATGCAAGTAATATTGTCAGCGCTTCCACGAGTGAAGGCAGTCTCTGTCAACTTTCTAGCTGCTGCTTCTGGTTCATCTTCTGCTTGAGCGATAGAAACAGCATCCTGACACAACGCACAACCATGCCTTCTCAGAAGACCCAATCCTCAATTTAAGTAAAAGAACATTGTAGAACATATTTCCAACTCCCCTGAGCTTTTAAGGAAGGAAAAATGATAATGCATGTGTTACTCTAACGTGAAACTACACATGCAATTAAATGAGATGCTATGATGTGTAACCATCCCACATGCAACATCTGCTAAGCAGTAGTTTCTACGTGTTTGCTCTTCAAAATGCCTAAAGAGCTCTCAATACACTCCACCAAGATAATGAAGTCTTCACAGTGAAATCTAACCTCATTAGGAACAACATCCCATATTCCATCACTTGCAAGTACAAGTAATTCTAGTTCTTCGTCAATCTCCAAGTCCTGTGAGAAATGAAGAAAACGAATGAAGAACAATTTCAAACTGGAAAAGCAAATTATGAGCCTTGTGTTCATGTCTTGTGTCTACAAGCCCATTCCAGATTATGAATTACCCAGAATTTTCCACTGCTTATTTTGTTTCATTAGTCTCTGATTATGAATTACATCTTGACGCCCCAGATCCCAACCGAGTTGGGAATATACTGTGTGGTTGTTGTTGTTGTAGTCCCTGTAACAACTTGCACAATAGATACCTCAGTTTAACATGATCTTAAGTTGTCATTGTACCCAAAATGAACTAGATTCCCCCCACATTATAGGAAACTAAAGTAACTTAATCTGCCACATTGGCCATGTGACGTACAAGCTGGTTTTAGATGATGATAGCAAAAGGAGATGACACCCTAACGATGTAAAACATATGGTCTCTGCATTAACATAAAGGTCGATTTCAGGAAAAATTGCCAGCTACCACTGACGGCCAACCCTCACAACAGGTTTAGCAGAACGGACACTGGAGAAACAATTCTTGATTCTCAAATGAAAATACAGCCAGGAGTAAACCTAGAAGAACACTTTGAAGGCTGATCTCCAAAAGCAGATTTTATACAATTAATAGGGCAAAGAAAGGGTACCTGAATCTCTGGATCAGCCACCACATACTGCTTTAGCATGCGGTTCCCAAAAGCACGGGACATTGCCAATACACCACCAACCCTCCAAGTGCCTGCCAATAAATGAAGATCCAGTTAAGCTTCACATGTTTAATTCAAATCGGAGACATGCATTTGTACCAAAGGTCAAAGAACTATCAAACTCCCTTCAACCTCTACATCTTGTCACTCACATCTCTATTTTGAAATGGGAGTTAAGAACCACAACATTAGTACCAAAAACTTATGCGAAAACCTACAACCAGCCTTCTCAGATACAACAACAAGTGAAACCTACAACCGTGAAATTGCTTTCAGGTGCATTTATCCATCAAGAGTTTCAACTTTCAAGCTTATCAACCAACTATTGATACTTATTTCAAGTTTCTTCAGAATCCTCATAAAAAGCATGTAAGACACAGATCTCCGAAGAATGAGCAAAAATAGGGGAAAGGAAATCAGGAAAACGACAACTACTACCAGCCTATCGAAACTTTCTCCATCCACTTCAGGAAAAGTTTACAAAGCAAGTAACATTCGTGCAGATCACTACAAAGCTAGGAACTGCACAAAACCAAGTAGGATATACCAGAAAGAGACAAATTACCTGCCCACATCACTACACCTCCAGCACTTTCAATTCTTTTCCGCTCATCACTTCGATTAGGTTTATGATCCTCAGAAAGAGGAATGGCTGTCAAATAACAAACGAAGCTAGAATGAGAAAATATAAGAAAAAAGCTAAAGACCGCTAAAATCATTAGATAGCTATGCTGTCAAAGAAACCCATTAGCAAGGCAAAAGATTTTAAATTAAACGTGATTTTATCTCCAAAGACCTACCAAATGTTAGAAAAGTACGAAATTTCTACTAGAACTATTCTCTTCCCATATATCCAGAAAAGCTCTCAAGAAGCAAAAGATAGGATGCTACCCTAGAATAGTCATACACTTGTAGTCAAGCCGAAATCAATATATGTCATTGCAAATAACTAAACTATGAATCTCCACTGCAAGTATGACTCAGAAGGTTCACTTACTTTAAGAACCACAGTTTTGGAGTAAAAAACTAAGTCTTCCTGTCTTCATACATCTGTATGGAACCATTAAAAACTTCACCCAGAGAACATAAGCCTTCATTATGTTACCACAAAAGATGCATTCAATTAACTTCCTATTTAGATTTGTCAAACGTTCAAAATTTCCAAATTGACAGTGCCATGAAGGACCTCTAGCTTCCTTCTAAATTTGTGACAGTTGATGTCCTTTATCCAAACTGGGACCTTAACTCAATACACTCAACATACAAAAAGATCTTTGGTTTTTCCAGCCACAGAAAGTTCAGAAAACCTAAAGGCTAGTACTGAAAACATCTACAAAGATAACTGCAGAAACGGGAAGTACCTTTCCCAGCTTTAGATATTATCGTCCGGGAATCTCCAACATTGGCAACATATAAATGATTATCTACCAGAACTGCAGTAGAAGCAGTAGATCCATCATCCCTAAAAGTATCCTTTTCAGACTCCAAAAATTTTGCATCTGTCTGTTTGTATGTTTCACCTGAAATTTAAAGAGCTCATCATATGCAATAACTAACAAACACCAGGAAAAGAAAGGACTACTACATCAGCATTAGTCAAGTAATAGTGCAGCATAGAAATTATGAACACCAGCTTACTTATAGCCAATTTTGTATTAGCAATAAATTCTGGATGTTTCAAAAGATTCTCAAAAAGATTATCCCTCAAATACTCAGCTGCACGAGAACCGCCATGACCTGTAATCAGAGACCAGAATTAAAATTGCAGTTAAAATATACTATGTTTACAAAGCGGAAACTAGAACAATTCAAAACAAGTGAAAACTTTGAAATCCTTGAAGGAGTAGACAGTAAATACAGATTTTCAGCATCTGGCATAGGAATTATCACACAAATATGAGTTCAGTCGCTGATGTAATCACCACATATAAGTTATATCCAACTCCTCACATCTGTTAAACCCCCAGAGTAATAATCAGAGGTTTCACTTCTTGTTATCCCAATAAGCCAAAAAGTTATTTGATTGCAATCATTCTAATTGGTTGATAGTTACTCCGAATGCATTGGTTTGAATTATATGCACACAAGCACTAGCAGGATTCAAAACATGCTTCATATAATCATATCATGCTTTGTTTCAAGTTTCAGGTTTAACAGCAACAACAGGGAGAAACGACACTATAAAGACTAACATGGAGAAATTTCATAAAATATCAAGCACTTCAAGCAAGAAACACGATTCAGCATGCATTACAAATGCTTTAGAGCTTGTCAGTATGAATTCTAACCATCGAAAATTCCAAATAAACACACTGTTTTCCCATCAACAGTGGAAGTCTTGATGTCATAGAAATCCTCCATGGTAACTCTTTTTCCCCTAAAACTTGCATACCCGCAGCTGAGTCTTCCATCATCGCTGACAGTAAGAATAAATAGAACGTAAATACAATAGATACTATAAATCGAACACATGCAGAGTAGGTAAAAGCCAGATATCCGGAATCCACAAATGATAGTTCAAAACGACAAACTCAACACCGTACATAACATACTTGTGGAGCAAGTAGACAAACAGGAATGGGAAAATATCAAAGAGAAGACTATTAACTGCCATTTCTAGAAAGGAAAAAAAAAAGAGTATGCTTCTGTTCAGTATGTATACAACTTGGTATAGACGATCTCAGTCATAATTTCCAAGGGTAGTCTACCAAGATAAATTTGTACATTTACAACTCCAACAAAATCTATGATCCACAAACTTGTTCCACCAGGAACTCAAGCTATTAATCTGCCTTCCGCAGTCAGGACTAGGAATAATGCACATGACAAAAATGTCAGGCAGTAAAAAGCTTGCAACATTATTTCAAGTGCAGTGAGTACGCAAACAACATTCATTAATGCACACTTAAGGAGAAAACAGTTGCCAAACTCGACAACAAACACAGGAATGCAGCTGCAACGATATCTTAATGCAGTATCCACAACAGCGCCCATAAATTGTGGGAGCCTCTACTTACATATCTATCCTTCCCATTGTAATGCGACGAATCAACATACATCACAAATGTTCATAAATAACTCCGGCGTGAGATTTAGGTTAGAACATCGGCTAGGGTTAAACTATTTACAACCCCCTGGACAAAATATCTGATAATGCTTAAACGATCAACTTCAAGAACACAATCAATATCAATAGCTTTGCATTTTGCTTATGCCTTTCTAACTATGAGAATCATATCCAGAAACCATCAACTTCTACTAAAACACAGAGAAAAAGAAAAGTTAAGTAGCCAAAAAGCTCAATCACCTCTTCCATCCTCCACTAGCATATCCAATATTATCTTCCTTCTCTGGAGAAAAATCACCCATAGGCGGCCCTCCTTTGGCAGTAGCACTAGCACCAGTATCCACCATCATATTTTTCAACGTCGATGAAAATCTCCACTGTCTCGGAAAACTCAAGCTCCGAGTTGCATTCAAACTCCTCCAGCTGAATAACCTTCCTTCAGCGTAACTCCTTAGCCCCCCAGCTCGAGTAAAGACTGACCTCAAAGAGTTGTTGCATAACATCTAAAACAAACTCTCCCTTGGTTATATCACCAAATTGTTATAACCTAACAAAGAAGGAAAAAAAAACCAATAAAAACCAGCCACATTTAAAAATCCCCTCAAATCTCCACTTAACAACATAACTCTCTTTGGGAATGAATAAACCTAAAGTAAACAGATACCATGCATTTCTGAGCATGTCAATTTCGATTTACCGTTTTTATTTTTATTTTTCTACATTAATTGCCTCATTCCAAATACTGAATTCATTATTAGATGCTTTCTCAACAACTGACGTAATCATATCTTTTACAAACAAAATCATCAAACCACAGCTAAAAAGTAGATACGGATCGGATCTTACTGTCAGAGACGATGAATATGCGTGCCGCCACAAGGAAGACATCCTGATATACAGATCCCTAACATCATACAGCAATTATACCTAGAAGAAAAAAGAAATAAAGAAAAAAACCACCTCATCCGTCAGCTCAAAATCATAAACCGCGGCGCACGAAAATATCTAAAAAGTATACCAGTTACAAAACAAATCTGATCGCTCAAAAAGATTAATAAAAATAAAAAAAGTTAGCGGCGGAAGATCGCAGGAGATCCGAATCACCGATTCGAATCAATCCACTCGAATTCAAAACCGAAAATGCAAAAAAAAAAAAAAAAAAAAAGAAAGAAAGAAAGAAAACAAACAAACGAAATCAGTTAACTTACTTAATCAGATACAAAAGAATAGTAGCTTAAGTTGTGAATTAGCTTTGCCTGTTGTTTGCAGGGGGATTGGGATGGGGAAAAAAAATGAGGATTGGGAGAATCTTGGTAAAGCAGGGAAGAAGAAGCAGAAGGAGAAAAGTTCAAAAAGGATATTCAGAAGCAAATAGACGGATTGTAAGAAAAATATAAAGAGAAGAAGTTTGAGCAGGCTTTGTCAAGCTCAACACCGAAGAGGAAGTGGGTACGTGGCAGGTGTTAGTAAATTTTAACCTGAATTCCACCACACTTGGTTTTTTTTTTTTTTTTTGGTTATGAATTATGATCTCGTGCACATCTGTTACTGTGCAATTGCAACTCCAGTCTGACATTTTTTCTTCGTTTTATTTGTTTTTTTGGCCTTTTTTTGGGAAAGTTAATTTTTAAGTAAAATTAACGGGTGCTGGCTCCATTAGCCATACAGCCAGGCTCCCCATGATTGAGTTGATTTGAGTACTGAACACTGACTGAGTTCTGACCCCGACAGCGGCGTCCTATGATTTTTTTTTCTTTTTTATTTAATATATATATATATATATATATATTACAGCACAACTCACTGTCCAACTAATTAAATTTTGATCAGGTAATTATCTGAAAAGATAAAGTACCCCCACGAATTTTTTAATTACTGTCTACATGTTCGTGTACTGAAGCTTTAATCTCCCCGACTTTTAATCCTTCCAGCTCGTTTTGCACGCAGAGATAGACGTATTAAACTATTAATCCAAGTTTAACAGATCCAAATCAAAATGCATCGGTGAACAACCTCAAAAATTACATCATATTTCAGCATCATCATAATATTAATGTGCCAACTTGACAACTTTGGGTTATTTTAGGTTATTATTTATTTCTTTTGTTCCAAACTTATCGTACAACTTAGATTTTTAATTTTAACACTAATTCAAAATTATTACATGGCCCTGGTCTCGTAGTGCACTAATTCAACTTAGATTTATTTCTTTGTTTCCTTTTTCTTGATAGCATTTTCGGATTAATATATTAATAATTATCCTATTTCAATATGCTTTTTTACATTTTCGATACAACTTTTTACATTTTCAATACAAAAAACACCTAAAAACACCAAAAAAAAAACAAAACAAACAAACCCAACTAGCACTCAGTGTATGAAAACCATGACCATGTCATCTTACGTTTTCAAAAATTCAAACATCATTTTTTTCTCATTTGTGCAGTATGGCATCATTGATCTGTTTTACTTTAACAGTCTTCTAGAGTTAAATTGTAATTTAACAATTATCTAAATTATATGTTATATTCATAAACATCGGGTACAAATATATATATATATATATATATATATACTTGTACTCACATGTCATTTTTTACCGTATATGATGATAAATTTAGCTTATATTTAGGGAATTCATTTTGTATGACGGGATAGAATCGATCATTTTTTACTATTTCTGCACAAACACACCGTATCATTGTTTTAACAATTTTTTTTTTTTAAGAAGGTTTTAGCAACTGTAAATATCCTGCTATGATGAAAATTGAGAAAGCACTAATACATACTCCATCCGTCACATAATTATTGTCCAATTTAGGTTCCCATTTCTAGTTCAAATCTTACTATATTAGAAACAAAAACCACACTTAAGAAAAAACACCATCATTTGTCATGTGGCATTTTCACATTATATTTTTAAAATAAATTTTTATTTACACATTAGCTTCCTAGACTTAAAAGACAAATGGAATCTAAATCTACCTCCACTTTTTATTTTCACAAAAAAAAAAAAAAGCCACGGATTCATAAAAACCCCAAATCCTCATCCCCATCTCCACGACAATCGACTCCCTAATCAATCCGTTCTCCACAATAAAAAAACAAAAAAATTCCTCATCAATCGTCAACTGAGAATATGTGATGAAATATCCTCCTTTCCTATTAGCATGTTCAATCTTTTCATTAATGATGATCAACTACATCATAATGGGATAAAATTTCGACTTCAAGAAATATTCTCTTTACCTCTATATAAACACAAGGGAAAAAAAAATTCTCATTGATCTTGCTTCGGCCGTTGTGGTGGTGTCATTACAGGTATTAAAATTTAAATGATTTTATTTTCACCGATCATTTGTTCGGTTTTTTTTTTTATTTTTTGTTTTTCCCGTTCAATAATAGTATTATTACTATTATTTTTATGCGACCACCCATTACAGCTACCGTAGCGATTGTTAGGTAATATGATGTGATTTCTTATATGGTTAGTTAGCCTAGAATTTTTGTATGATTTTAGTTCTGTTTGGATTGAATTGATCAATTGGATTTTTGGTACAAAGTGTGATTTTTTTAATTTCTTTGTTATGTTTCATTTTATTAGAGTGGTTTTATTTTTTTAATTATGGAGTCTCAGTTTTTTTCGTATATGGTCAGTTTTGAAGTGTGTTTTTTCTTTGTTTAATTGCTTTTGATTTTGTTTCATACTCCCAATTGACCAATTATTATTGTTATTATTTTTTTTTTTGACAAATGAAGCGTTTTTTTTTTGGTGTTCGGGTTTCAAGAATATACTTTTTTAGATTTGGTTTTTGGACTTTTTTGAGTTGCTCATCATATAAATAGTTCAAGTTACTTCTTCTAACTAATTTATGGGGAAGTCTTTTATAAATCTGAGGTGGAGAGGGAAGGAATGATGTTTTTATATTTATTTGTATTTTTATCCATCATTTTTACCTACAGGAAGAAAATAATTTCTCAATTTTTAATGGCCTCTTTTACTTTCTTTGTTTTTATTTTATTTGCCATGGTGAGATGCGTTCTTTTTTTTTGCTACAACTTGAAACCCATGCAAATTTACATTAATTTTCATTCTCATATTTGTGATCAACCTGTTTAAACAATTAACCAGTTTCAAACCCATATTTTGATATTTTACTACCTTTAAACCTTTGGAAGAAACAGTTCCAACATTTAAGCGTATGCCCTTTAGAGGAAGTTTACTACAAAGTTATTATAAATATTCAAAACTAAGTATTGATTTGGCACGACCAATGGAGAACATCAATAAATCATCTTACTAATATTTAAATTTATTAGGATGCTTTTATATTTTGTCTAACATTTACTTTAAGACATATATTTGATCAAGTTTATTTATATTTAATAAGTAACACTTATAAAACATTTCTAAGATCTTCAAATATTTCTAAAACGTAACGGGCCAAATACAATTTCTTTTTTTGCCAAACATAAATATTTCTATGATCGCACTTATAAAACATTTCTAGATTCTTCGAACGTTTCTAAAATATATCGGGTCAAATACAAAATATATATTTTTCAAATATAAATATTTCTAAAATCTATAGATATACTGGGAATGCGCGACCAGACATCACTAGTTCTACTAGAAGTGAAATCTCAAATTGGACAATAATTATGTGACAGAGGGGGTACTATTATATAGGTGGGAGAGAGTACATAAAACTAAAATTATTTCACTAATCACATTTATTAAATGCTACAAAACTATTGTAATTGTTCCTCTTCTTCTTCTCGTAAAGGTTATATCACATCACATACGCTTTATTCTTTGGTTGTATAAACAATTTTTTCCTTAATACGCACTCCAAGCAATTAGACTATTACACAAGTGCAATTTACTGACGATGAAAATACTACTGCACGCATCTTCTCGCCTAAATGCAACATGCAATTAATGACGCTTAAAGCTTCATTGGTGGGAATCAAACCCTCGCCAACATTGGGATAACCTTGTAGCTTCATCAGTTGGACAAGCTCACTTTCCCGTCATGTAACAACTCATTAATATGAAAAGAATACCAAATCACGGTCTGAATCTTTGTATATACCCCATTAGGTCTTAATCATAAGTAGTAAATTTGAACTAGTATTTTATACAATTCTAAGTGTTGGAAATATTACAATAGTATTACTTTCGTCCCAAAAATATATTCTACATTGAGTTTTCAAATTTGTACATGACAAAACTCAAAACTCAATGTGAACTATTTTTGTGGAACGGAGGGAGTATTATATATTCTTTCCGGTCCTGGAGATATTATAATATTGCTATATATTTTTTTTCCCAGTCCAATCATAAGGCATAAATTTCAACTAAAGTACAATGTGTAATATCGTAGCATCTCCAGAATCATCAATTATGCTTGTGTAAAACACACTGTATACACTTTTTTTTTTTTTTTATATACTGAGGAAGCCGAAGCTCGGATTACAAAAGCAACTCCTTAGGTTGGAGTTGAGTTAGGCCAATCGTTGGTCATTTTTTCTAGAGTTTTAGGCGGAGGTGATGCCAAAATATGAACCCCGGAGTTACTTAGCAGTCCTAATTTTGCTAAAGAATCAGCCGATTTGTTTCCGTCGCGGCTGATATATGTTGTTTCTACTATCCATTGACTGTTGTTTAGGAGTTTTCTGATCCTCGGTAACACATTACTTGCAATGGGGCTGTTGGATTCTTCATTGATCGGTTCATGACTGGAGTGAGTCCATTTCAGCTGGACCTTCTTGAAGCCCAAATTCTTAGCAATTTGGAGCCCATAATATGCAGCCCAAAACTCGCTTCAAGGATGTGCATATGCCAATTTGTGCAACAAAACCAACAATCCATTTTGCTTCGTGATTTCTCAAAAGACCACCGGCGGCCGCCATCGCATTGACTTGTTCTACAGCAGCGTCTGAGTTAAGCCGAATCCATTCCCACGGTGGCGGTTTCCAAATCGGATTGTCCGGCACTGTTGATGTCGAATGAAGTCTGGGTGCTTGGTGTAGGCGATTAGATCTGATGACTTCATTCGTTGCGGCTTGAATCATTACTAATAATTCCTCTCGCTGCAGTATTCATCTTCGAAGACATGGCGGTTCCTTGCATTCCAAAATTTCCAGCATGCCACACCGAAGCATATCGACCAACAACGGATGACCTACGAGGAAGAGGGAGATAAATTATTGAATAGCCAGTTATTCCAGTCCGTTTCGGACCAGAAATTGGGTGGTAGATCGGGTTTGATTCGGCTCCATGTCTGTTGAATTTTGGAGCAATCACGGAAGAGATGAAATAGGGATTCTTCTCTCCCGCAGAAAAAGCATCGATCATTGGTGGTTATGTGTCGCCTCCTCCGTTCTGCGTTTGTGAGTAGCGTCCGCCGGGCCAATGACCAGAGGAATAACTTAATTCGTTCCGGGCCATTCCACTTCCAAATGACAGTCCATTTCTTGTCCTTCGCTTCCCAATTGCTGTCCCCAATCATCCTGTATGCCGTTGAAGTAGAGAATTTGCCAGTTTTGGTCCACTTCCAGGTTGGTAAATCTGATCCTTGTTCTCTGTTTGGTGTAGGTATTGCTGCAATTTTCAAAATTATTTGTGCATCTAGCCATGGTTGAAGTAGTGGCCAATTCCAATTGCCATGCATGTCTACATAGTCCACTAATTTTTTCTGCAAATGATCAGCTGGTACTTGTTGTATAGCTTGCTGTATGAGGGGATGTTCGGAGTCTAGCCATAGATCAGACCAGAATGAGATTGTTTCCCCATCTCCCACTAGCCACTTGACACCCTTGTTTGCAATGTGCCACATTAATGAGATTTGTTTTCCTAGATGTGATAGCTGGATTGGTCTATTCTCATTGTGAGAAGTATTTGGCTTTGAAAATAGAAATCCATAGGTTGTCAACATTTGTCGGTAGCTCCCAAGCCAATTTTAGGATAAAAGTTGTATTCACGTCTCTCGGTTTCGTAAACCCAGTCCGCCATATTTCTTGGGTTGCGGACTTTTTCCGACTAACCATGTTCATCCTTTTCTCTCTGTCGAATTTCCCCGAGAAAGCTCCTTCTTAATTTATCAATTTCGTCGCATGTGCCTTTCGGTAAAGCTGCGCATCGCATTAAGTAGAGTGGTACTGCTGCCAAAATTGATTGGCATAGCGTGAGCCTCCCACCATACCGATCCTCTTTGGGTTCCATAGAGATACGTTTCTTGACTTTGCAGATTAGTGAGGTGAAGGTTTCCTTTTGACCCTACCATGTATGATAGGAGCCCCTAAGTACTTCCCTAAGTTGTCGACCGACTTAATTCCCATCCCGGAGCTTAGATACATTCTTTGTGATGGTGTCAACGTTAGGTGATACATAAAGTATAGATTTTTCCGCACTGATTGTTTGCCCCGATGATTGACAAAATTGTTCTAGTGTTGTTCGAATAATTTGCACTTGGTCAACTGTTGCTTCTGCAAAAAGAATTAAGTCATCAGCAAAAAACAAATGTGAGAGTCTTACCTGGTTGTTGCCAAATGATATAGGTTTCCATTTATTGTTCTGAACTTCCGTATTTATAGCGTGGGATAGCCGCTCCATACATAGAACAAAGATGTATGGGGAAAAAGGATCCCCCTGCCGGACTCCTCTGGTGGGGTTAAATTGTTCACCTAGGTGACCATTCCATAATACTTGCGTAGTGCTTGTTCTTAGAGAACTCAGAATTATGTTTGAAAGTGTTTGTGGTATTTTTGCATCATGTAGAGTATCTTGAATAAAATCCCATGAGATGCAATCAAACGCCTTTGCCAAGTCTATCTTAACGGCCATCCAGCCGGTTTTACCTGTTTTTGTTTGCATCGTGTGGATTGCTTCCTGGACCGTAACTATGTTGCCAATTATGCTTCTGTCAGGGATGAAACTGGATTGCGTATTGGCTATAAGCGTAGGCATGACTTTCTTAAGTCTGTTTGCCACAACTTTTGAAATTATTTTGGCTGAAACGTTTATGAGGCTGATGGGTCGTAGGTTTTGAAATCTCTCAGGCGGATTGATCTTTGGTAGAAGTATTATCATTGCCTTGTTTATGCTTGGTATCATTTCGCCTGTTTGGAAGACATTCTTGACCATCCGACATACGTTTTTGCCCACTGTAATCCAATTTTTCTGATAAAATCCAGGTCCAAACCCATCAATTCCACATGCCTTGGATGGGTTCATTTCAAAAACGGCGGCTCTGATTTCCTCATCTTGGAGTGATCTCGACAGGGTTCTCTCCTGCGTTGCGGGGATTAGTGGAAAGAAGCCCCTGACATGGTAAGTGCTTCCCCTATTACTAGCTTCGCTGTAAATATTTTTGAAAAATTTGGTAGCTTCGTTGCCCAAAATCTCTGGATCGGAACACCAATTGCCATCATCAAGTTGCATGTCTTGAATTTTCCCTTTTCTATTTTTCTGTCTATGAACTGCATGAAAGGATTTCGTGTTTTTGTCCCCCTGGGCAATCCACAGTGACTTTGTGTTTTGTGTCCGAAGTCGTTCTTCCTGTGTTACCGTAGCTTCATACTCCGTTCTCAGTTCAGTTTCCAAGGCTTCTAGAAAACTGGAATGTTTCAAGGCAAGCGCCTTTTGAATCCCTCCAATTCTGGCCAGTAACTTTCTTTTTCTTTTGTAGATATCGCCAAAAAAATTGAATTTCCAGTCCTCAATATTTTCTGTGAGGATGTCAAGAGCTTTAGGTAGATTTTCCCCTGACGGCCAAACCTTGTCAATCCAGCTTCTCCACGCATCGTGTTCTTCCCATGCCGACAGGTATCTGAAGAAATATGAACCCCTATTTGGCGCTGAAGTTGTGAAGAAATGAGCTAGGATAGGGGAGTGATTTGAGGCTATTCTCGGGAGGTGTTGGAGTGTTGTGTTGGTGAAGAAATTCTCCCATTTCTGATTCACAAGTGCCCTGTCCAGTCTCACGTGACATTTTCCTCGTTTCTAAGTAAATCTCTGTCCTAAGAAGCCTAGGTCTATCATCTCAGCATCGTTGATCCATGACACAAATTTTTTGCAGCCTTTGCCTCTCCTTCCTCCTACCTTGTCGGATTCGTGTGTGATGGCGTTGAAATCTCCAAGAACAATCCAGGGGTCTGAGACTGAATCTGCAAGACGAAGAAGGTTGTCCCATAGTGCGTTTCTGGTTAGCCTTTGAGGGCTACCATACGCCGCTGTGACGTAGCAATAGGAGTTATTTTGGAAAAATACTTTACAGTGTATATATTGCCAATTGTTTTCCAGGATTATTACTTTGATAGGGTCGCGCCATAGGATCCAGATACCTCCTGCAAACCCTACAGCTTCAACTCTATGTGAATTTTCAAATCCCGTTGTTTTAATTATTTGATCAGCATCATTTCCTTTTGTTTTGGGTTCCAGGAGTATAATTAGGTGAATGTTGTAAAGTTTGATTAAATCTTTCAAAGCAGAGACTGTTTTCTCATTTGCTAGTCCCTGCGTGTTCCATGCCATAATTTTGTGACTCATAATAATTAAAAAGTAGAGATGTGAGGGCTTACCTACCGGCTTCCGGTAGGAGCTCCTCGTCGTTAACGACTTCTGAAGTTACTGGAGTTGCATCTCGTAGTTCCAAGCTGAGTTGTACTTCAGCGTCGTCAATCCACTCCATTGCAGTTGGGGAATCAGAGAAGGGTTGTGTGGATTTAGGGGGTTGGATTTTAAGCTTAGGCTTTAGGTAGAAAGGATGTTCTGGGTCAGGCGGTTTTCCTGAGGTTACGGGTTCTAATGGTGGATCTGGTTGGGGAATACTTCGATTTTGGGCCTTGTCCTGAGCTGATGGAGGTGGGTTGGGGTGGGGGAGAACTATTACAGTGTGTTTTGATGTGTTGGGGTTCTTTTGTGGGCTTGTAGTTGGTTCAGGATTGGGGTTACTAACGCTAGGAAGAGTTTGGGCTGACAAGGTTGTGATCCTATTAGGTTCTTCCAAGTGGGCCGGAGTTGTTGGGCTTGTTGTGGTCTTGGTGGATTTTTTAATCCAGGATCTGTCTCTCCCAAGGGCTTCGGGTTTCCTTTTATTTGGTATGGCAGTCGGGGTTTGGGCCTTGGCTGGTGGGTTTGTGTTTTTAGACAACGGTTGTGAGGATGTTTGCTGCTGTTGGCCGGCCCTAAAAATGCAGGTTTTGGTGTTCCAGTCGAAGGAAGTCTTGAGCGGCGGCCGGTCGGCTCGGCTGGGAATGGCTTTGATCTAGACATTGATGCTTCAGTCATCTGCTCCGTATCATTGCCCGCAAGTGCAGAGAACGGATTAGACAATGCTCCCTGGAATATGTTTGTTGAGGTAGCCTTGTTCCTGTTCATCCATGGATTTGACTGATTCCGTCTGCTTCTTCTAGGCGCGTGGTTCCATTCGCCCAAGGTGGATGACCGTTGTTGTTCCATGGGGGTTGGTGACGTTCCTACTGGCACTGGTTTGTCCGTTGGAATTTTTTCATTTTCTTCAATGTTACCGTTATTGGCTCCTGCAGATGGACCCACATCTGAACTATTTGTTGGGATATTATTCGTCGGCGGTGAGCTTGCCGGAATCTCCTGACAGTCCTTTTTTAGATGGCCATACCTTCCGCACGAGTAGCAAATTAGTGGAAGATCTTCATATTCCACATTGTATTCCTTCCCGTCAATCTTAGTTTTTCCAATTAAGGGTTGAGTCAAATCAAGCTCCACAGCCAATCTGGCATACTTCCCTCGTTCAACCGAAATTGTGTTTTGATCAGCTTTCAAATACCTTCCAAGTGGTTTGACTATTTTCCTTAATAAACTTTCATGGAAGTACTTGACCGGAAGACCTGGGATTCGGATCCACGTTGGTACCGCACTAATGTTTTCCTTGTTGGGATCGAAACCGTCATTCCAAGGAAGGACCAGGATGTAATGTTCATCCAAAGACCAAGGCCCATTCAAGATAGCAGAATAATAATCCTCTTCATTGGTGAGGCGCAGAAGATGATATCCCTCGATTGTATCAACTGGCTTGACATCTCCTTTAGCCTTCCAAAGGCCCTTCAATCTTTTATATAGTCGATCGTGACGTATATCCATTCCCAAAGGTTTGACCGCCACAGTATAGGTCATGGCAGCTGTCATTTGCGATTGGACTCTATCAGAGAACCGTGTTGAGTGAAGTCCATCCTCCATACTATAGATTACATCGTCTTCTTCTACAATGACTGTTCCCATGTGGAAATTATTGACAAATTGGTTGTGTTGCCCATGAAGTAATCGGTCTTTGAAGGAGGGAATTCCGTCGGCTGACTGACAGTTGTTCGTTTGGGGTTGAGTAGCGGAAGATGGAGTGTGGTCCTGATTTTCCTTGTTCTTTACTTTCCTTGTAGCTGGGTTGTCCTTGTCGTGATTAGTCGGAAGTATGTCTGCCATCTCCGTGTCCATTTGGACCGCGGACACCGTCGGTGATTACCAGGGTACACGAGGCTAAGAAATGCTACTTTTTACTTATTCTCTGTTCTGATCTTTAAATTGCCACACACTGTATACACTAGTTTGAAGTTTGTTGCACAGCCGTGAGGGTTGAAAATACTTAGTGGGCCTAGGCCCATTACGAATGGAGCTTGGAAAGAAAATAAAAGGACTAGGAGTTGCGAAGGGTATAAAAGCTCGAGCCCACCATTTGTTGTACCAATTTGCCGCCGACTCATCACCATCATCTCAGATAATCATGGCGACCAAACCATAAACCCTAGCGCTAAACCCTAATGGCCATTTTTCCAACATATCCAGACCGAGAAATTCATAAAGAAACCGCATCTCTTTTTTATTCCTTCACTCAATTGTAGTTGATTAATTTGACTTTGCACGAAAATGGCGAATCAAGGCGGAAATCTCAAGTCCACGTCGATAAATGGGGTGAAGATGTACACAGTCACCGCCCAGCAATGGTCGGTGGCCACCCGGATACCACCCAAAAAGCTTGAAGCTCTCTGAAAAGATAAAAATTACATGCAGCGAGTGGAATTGATACAAGATTTGATGTTCGAGACTGCCACGAGCAGAATTAAGGTTACATCCGACGGGGACTACGTTATTGCTTCAGGTATTTAACCACCACAAGTCAAAGTCTATGAATTACCTGAGGTTTCGTTAAAGTTTGAAAGGCATTTAGTCTCAGAAATAGTTAATTTTGAGGTACTGAGTGATGATTATTCAAAGATTGCTTTTTTATGTGCCGATCGTTCTGTCTCACTACATGCTAAATATGGAAGTCATTACAGTTTGAGAATACCTAGGATGGGAAGGGATTTAGCGTATGATTGTTGGTATTGTGACTTGTTATGTGCTGCTTCATCGCCTGGTCTCTATAGAATAAACCTAGAGCAGGGTAGGTTTCTTTCTCCACTTAGTACCCAGTCTGAAGCCTTAAATGTTGTGACTAGAAGTAAGGTTCATGGATTGGTTGCTTGTGGTGGTGAGGATGGTTTTGTAGAATGCTTCGATGTTCATACTAGATCCTCAGTTGGTAGGATAGACGCTGTTTCCCCTGCTGGGGATGTTTATGATCAGGAGGTTACTGCTTTACAGTTTGACGAAGATGGAGGTTACCTCATGGGTGTTGGGAGTAGTTCTGGGAATGTGCAAATCTATGATTTGCGGTCTTCAGTGCCGTTGAGAGTAAAGGATCACATGTATGGAAACCCTATACTGAGTATCAAGTGGCACAAGACTCTGAATTCTGAGACAACAAAATTAATCACTGCTGATAAACACATTGTCAGGATTTGGGACCCTGAGTCATGAGAAGGTATGACGAGCATTGAGCCGACTGCTGGGAATATCAATGATTTATGTATATTTAAAGGAAGTGGATTGTTGCTGGCATAGGACAACAGCCAAATTCCTTCTTATTTTGTACCAGCCCTTGGACCTGCCCCAAAGTGGTGCTCTCACCTGGATAACTTGACAGAGGAGCTAGAGGAGAATCCTGAAACTACCATTTATGATGATTTCAAATTTTTGATGAAAGAGGACCTTGAGAAGCTAAATTTGACCAGTTTGGTTGGAAGTAATTGTCTAAGGGCATATATGCACGGTTACTTTATTGACTATCGTCTTTATAAAAGGGTTCTAGGTTGGTCAAATTCGCTGGATAGAAAAGATTACATAGAGAAGCTGAAGCAGGCAAAACTGGAAAAAGAACGTGAATCAAGAAATACGATCAGGAGAAAACTGCCTAAGGTTAACCGGAATTTAGCAGCTAAGCTACTTTTAGAAGAAGCCGAGCCAAGAAGAAGAAGAGGGGACTCACAGCTGAGGTCATTAATGATGATCGATTTTCAAAATTGTTTACGGACCGGGACTTTGAGATCGATGAAAACTCTCCAAAATATCTCGCCTTACATCCAGTGACATCTACTACAGAGCAATCATCTTTAATTGGTGAGCATTTTGTGCTTGTGAGGGAAGACGACGAAAACACTGATTCAGATGCATTGACAGATGCAGAAGATGGACTAGGAGGTAGAAGCAAATCACGAGCTCCAAAGTTGTATGAAGCTATTGATGAGTGACATGCAGAAGCCTTCTCTAGAAGCATATCACTGGCGAAAGAAGATGCACTTCCGATAGGGGAAAAAGTGGCTGCTATGACAAAAGAAAATGTTAGCAACTCTAATGGTGTCAAAGTGGGTGCAGGAGGTTCACGTGAAACTTCTTTCATTTCCCGGAGTAAAGCAAAGTATAGAGAATATGATGATGATGATGATGATGATGATGATGACAGGGATGGACTGCCTCAAAAGAGAAGGGAAATCCAAGCTTTGAAGCTGAAGCCAGATAAATCAAGTTTTCGAGGCGGCTTTGGAAGGGGAGGAATTCGAGGAAAAGGAATGGGAGGAAGAGCAAGAGGAAGAGGAAGAGGGCGGCATCAGTAACTTCTGCTATTATTTTGTTTATACGCCACAATCTCGACGCAGCTTGTATCACATACTATATGTTCTGTACTCTGTTGTTCTTTTGATTTCATTGTTTCAAAAATCAGATCTGAATTTTCAGTTGACTCCCCGATATACCCAATGCTCGACTAAAATATTCTGCTGCCTTTTCATGTACTCTTGATCTTTAATACTATGCATTATGGTTAAAATTTGCTGTCCTTGGTGCATTGCAAATTCTCGGCTTGCTTGTCCAAGCAGTGAGAAGAGCTTAAAGCGGCTACTGCATTGTGCCCGAGATTAAAGCCCAATAGAGTATGTCTCAAACAATCTTGAATCGTTGGCAGTTTGTAAAATCTACACAATGTCGAATTCTTATCCATTGAAATTCTTCTCCAAGTTTTTTCTTGGGTTGTAGGAAACTCATGAACATCGTGATATGCCTCAAATAGAAAGCTGAGTATGAGCTGGTATGGCGAGGTTTCTTAGGACTTTCCAAATATTTACTCATTTACTGCTTCAACACTTCAAGTTTACTGCCAATTCTACTTACTGCCTTCATAGTTCATACGAAACTTGCATTGAAGTAGTTGAGTGTTTGACAGTTGACAATTTCAAAAGGTCCAAGGAAGTTATTTTAAACTATAATTATGAGCAAGCCTCCAGTCAAAATAAACTGTAGACTCGAGGCTTCTTTAAAGATATTCTCTCCGATTTTGTTTATGAAGAAAAGTACTAGTAACTAGTTATCTTTGTACGACCTTATAAAACAAATGAAAAGTCTATCCTACGTCTCAAAATTATTGCACAATTTGAAATTTTAATTTTAATATAATTTGAACTAAAAATAAAAATATAAACTTGATAATAAGTCTATGGTACTCTCTATATTCCAAAATTTGTCCAATTTAAGATTTTAATTTGAATACAGTTTGAACTAAAACGAAAATTTAAACTCAATAATAATTTTGGGATGAAAAGAGACTATTTTCTAAGAAGCACATGAAGTAAAATTACAGTGGAAACTTATGAGTAATGATGAAATTTTAATCGTGCAAATTATTTCTCTAACCTTAAAATTATAAACCTAAATGGAAAAATTAAAAATAAGAATAATGATACCTTTTTTTTATTATTATAAATTTATGGATTTAAGATTATGAGATAATTTAGTTGATTGATATATTATTTCTTGTAAATTTTCTCAACATGTATCACTAGTCTAAAATCAATGGATACACTTGGTTTTTTTTTTTATTTTTTTATTTTTTTCAGTTTGTTTTTTTTTGGTAAAATTTTATGTGTATGTATTATTATTCTTTCTCACAATATACATCTTATTCATCTAATTGAAGTAAAAATTTGGGTGAAGTAGCAGTAACTGGTGTGCATAATTAAACCAGAATCTTACTTCCTCCATTTCAAAATGTAGGTCGTTTTAGATTTTGGGAGATTTTTCAAAATGTAAGTCGTTTTACAAATTTTAGGCAAATTAATTATTATTTTTTCAACTTTACCCTCAATAAATGATGTTAATCTATTTTTATTTAGTCTTGTTTATAGTTTCAATGTAATTAATGAGGGGGAAAAAAATATTTAACACATAAATTAATTATTGGATGATTGTCTCCTTAATTTACGTGTCAAGTCTAAAAAGATTTATATTTTGAAATGGAGGGAGTATATTACAAATATTCTTGTCATCCTTCGAGAATTTCAGGACATATATTCTCGTGGATCCAGGCAACACGATCATTTCACTGGGGCAATTACTTCCATATCGTCAAATGTCAATGAATCACATGATCGCCTTGTAATTTGCGAAAGTCTGTTTTAATAGTAGCATAAGTTACGTATAGTCTGAAGAATTGTGGGTTGAAATTAAAATAATGTCTTTTTTTTTCCAAGAATAATTCTTTAATTTACATTTTAGTTCATAATATGAACTGTAAGTGGAAATTTACATTTTAGTTTTATAACATAAATGGTAAACGTAAATCACTTAATTTTTTTTAAATAGAAAGAATAACAAATGACGTTGTCTTATTATTAAATATAGCGTATACAAATAAATGTACGGGGATCTTTGACGCAAAATATATGTCAAATAGTGAGAGTTGTGAGAGAATATATTGCACGCATTGCCAACCTGGGCTATAATCGTGAACAACTAAAACAATGACAATCAATTGCTGGTTGGAGATTTAGCCAAAGATTTCTCCAAGCAGCAAATTAAGTAAGAAGGGAAACACACACACGCACACACATTTAATCGACTAAATCGAGATAATTTATCAGAAAAAAAAGGATATTGTATATCAACTTGGCTTGAATAAAAATTATTAACCATCTCATGAAATTTACGAAAATGGACAAGAGTCCGGGAAACTGACAAAAAACCTCATATCTTATAATACGACAATTTGTCTAATAAGTAAAATGATTAAATACCAATAAACGTTAGGAAAAATAGGAAATTGATTGTTATTTTATCTTATTTAAATACTATAAGCAGCATTTTTGTCTACATACATTTAGATCGGTTATATTCTTATTTTGACTTTTGATTCGGTCTACGGTAATACTACTATTAACTGAAAAAAGAAAGAAGAGGTAAGTGGTATAACTAAAAAAAAAGAAAAAATAAAAACAAAAGAAAAATGAATTTAGATTTTTTCTTTTGCATACTAGGGGCTGAAAAGTCAGGGAGTTGGGACCCAAGAGACAACCCCCAACAGCATCGATTCGTAAAACTCGTGAGTTATAACTGTACATAGCGCGCGTGAACTATACTACTACTTCCTCATCCTTAACTTCTTCTCCAAAGAAGACTTTTGACCAAACAGAACTGACCGTCATCTTAAATTCCCAAGTTTCAACTTTCAAAATTTTCATCATCTCATCCCTTTTTCCCCCATTTTTCCAATTTAACTGTGAGTAGTACCATTTTCTGTACTGATCAAAAGTCATATAATCTGACTTCGAAAAAGCAAGCCAAATATTAAGCCTGGTGGGAATTAAAGTTTTTATTTAAATCATCACAAAAAATAAAGTAGTACGTATATTTAAACCCAACCAAAGCAAGTGGTTGACGACAGTCATCATCATCCCCGACTCTGTAGACAATTTCATTCATCATTTCTTTTTTGCATTTCATTTCCCATCACACAAACAGTAGACTTCAAATTGGTGATTGGTGAGTGGGTTTTCTTCTACTCTGGGAAATATCGGCGAACCTTCAGTAACATCATTTTAATTATTGAGGAAAAAAAAATCAGAGCCTTTCTTCTTTGTATATGACTTGTTTCTGGGCCATGCTCATTTTTTTGTTGAATTAATTATTGGACTTACTTAACTCACTGGTTTTTTCCTTTTTCTGGGTCGTCTTTGTTACTACTGTTCTTTGCTTAGAAAAATTTCCGGCACAGAAGAAAAAAAGTTGCTTATTTGATTACAGCGAGTTCTTATTGAGCCCTTTCTTCTGGGTTTGGGGAAGTACGAAATCTTTTGTGTTGTTTCTTATGGTTTAGTTTTTCGTTGTAATTTTTGGAATTTTAGGTCATCGTTTTCTAGTTATTGTCCGCAAAGAAGGGAGAAGGGGGGTCTGCGTTTTTTCATTACTATTTCTCTTCTTGTGTTACAGACTTTGCGTAGGTTGGTTTTAAACTTTCTTAGTTTGTTCTTTTTTTCCCCTGTAAATGGAAAATGAAGGAAATGCTGTTATTTCACTCTTCTGTTGAAAGTTTTATGGATTGGCTGTTAAGGAATGCTTCTGGAAGACTGGAAATTTCTCTGTAGGATTTGAAGTATTAGACACCATTCTTTTGTTCCTCTGGGAAATTTTATTGTTTTTCATATATTTCTTCATACTGTTTTCTTTTGTTTTTCTGGTGGGTAGACTACATAGTTTGGTGCTGTGATTACTAGTTAACTTCTTAAATGATCTCATTTATGGTGTTACTTTTCATTTTCTGGTCAAGTAAAGGTGTAATTGTTATTTTGCTCTGCTACATGTGGTGGCATCTTCATTTGTAAATTTGTAATGTTTTTAGTGGTAATATGACATGTGAGATGATTTTTAAAGGGTTCTTATCATTGTTATAGGGTTCTTCATTTAGAAGTTTGTCGCCATTGGAGGCAACTTATGCATGAACTTATGCATGAAGGCATTTATTATTTCGAGCGTTCAGTGGTCAGTTTTTATTTGGTCCTGATGACATTTTACGAGTTGGAGCTATGAATCACGAGCACCAGCAGGAGAAGTTTGTCAGGTTTGTTTTTCGCGTCCTATGCTTTTATTTGCATTTCATTTTGTAGTATGCTTTGTGGTTGTGACTTCTTGGTGACAACGCTTAAAGGAGGGAAATGTCTGAAAAAGGCAGTTACATTCATAAGAATCATGGAGAGCAAGCATAAATAATAGAGAGTAATCTATGCAAAGCTTGCATTTGCTCTTTCTTGGTGATTGGCAATAGCTTTTCTCTGGCTGAATCATTTTAGAAAAATGCTGCAGATTTTGTTATTCTGCACAAAAATGTCGATGCTGTTGACCTGTAGGGGAAATTGGAACTGTTTTGAATTGTCTGCAGATTTTTAAGAATACACACTTCTCTCATCTGGAATTTCCATAGATTGTTTAAAAATGTTTCTGGAGATAAAGGATGTCTGGAGAGACTCACTCTGAAAGTCCTCAACATGTCAACCTCTTGATTATGATTGTTATCTAATGCAGGTTTCAGGACTGGAAATCAGTTGCAAGTTTTGAAGGGGAATATAGAACTAAAGATGAAGTCCATAACGCAAAACCTCAGACCACAGTGTATTCCTTTTCTGATAAATTCCACAGGAGCTTTGAGACTGGTACCCAAAGGGTAAAGAGTTTTAAAAAATCAGTCAGATCCTTTTCATTTACTAGCCTTTTGCCCAAAGACTTGCGGCCTAAAAGCCAAATTCTTGATCCACAAGGACCATTTCTTCAAAGGTGGAATAAGATATTTGTAATTTCTTGTGTGATTGCTGTCTCTTTGGATCCCTTGTTCTTCTATATTCCACTGGTTGATAATGAGAAAAAGTGCCTTGGTCTGGACAAAAAGTTGGAGGTGACAGCCAGTGTTTTGCGTTCTTTCACTGACATATTCTACCTCATTCACATTATCTTTCAATTTCGAACGGGCTTTATTGCCCCTTCTTCACGTGTGTTCGGAAGAGGGGTTTTGGTTGAGGACTCCTGGGCTATAGCGAAAAGATATCTGTCATCCTACTTCTTGATTGACATTCTCGCCGTCCTTCCATTGCCACAGGTGAGGACTCTTGTGCAGTTGAACCCTGGAGGATTGGCAATTACTTAGATGGAGTTTACATGGTTTTCTTGATCATTTTTTGTTGTTATTCTGAAACTATACTGTAAGCAATGAGTTTTTAAGGTCTAACTGTGGCATAAATTAATGAATTGAAACCTCTTCTTCTTCTTCTTTTTTTTTTTTTGGATGTCAAATTGCAAACTTATTTGGCAGTGGGACCTGCGTCTTAAATGGCTTCATGTACATGACTGGGTTTTAATACCGTTTTCAATTTTGCAGGCTGTTATATTAATAATCATTCCTCGGCTGAGAGGTGCACGATCTCTGCGTACAAAGGATTTGTTAAAATTTGTTGTCTTTTTCCAATATATACCAAGGGTTGTGCGAGTTTATCCACTGTATAAAGAAGTGACAAGAACTTCTGGCATACTCACTGAAACGGCATGGGCTGGGGCTGCATTTAACCTCTTTCTCTACATGCTAGCCAGTCATGTAAGTTCTGTAGCTTACTTTTTGATGTTCCCACATTTTTATATTTAAGCTAATTAACATTTGATTTCAAGTTTTGGTGGGATGATTATTTCTATTGTTTTTCGTTATTACTGATTGTTTTGGGCCTTTTGGCTATTTCTGCAGTTGCTGGGAGCCTTTTGGTACTTGTTCTCCATTGAACGTGAAACTACGTGCTGGCAGAAAGCTTGTGGGAATAATGCTACTTGTGTGCATGCATCATTGTACTGTCAAGATGATCACAGCGTTTTTAAGGAGCTTCTTAATAGCTCTTGTCCCATAGATGATCCTGATCCTAAAAAATTTGATTTCGGTATATTCATAGATGCCCTTCAATCTGGTGTTGTGCAATCAACCGATTTTCCTAAGAAGTTCTTTTATTGTCTTTGGTGGGGCCTCCAGAACTTGAGGTATTGTCATTCTTGGTCCTCTAGTGGACATGGAAAATTTAATTGCCTAGTAAATTATCAAAAGCTCTTAATTAGACTACAATGAAACCTAGGCAACATCTTGGAGTTGCTATCTTCCGTAGCAAGGCTATGATTTAATTGTAGATGCCCTACCTTCTCAACTCAAAAGTTTACTGGGACTCCTGTTAATTCAGGTTTTGGGATTTCTTGAGGAATGAACAAATGTGTGGAATCTTGTATGTTCTAATACACAATGCTTTTCTTTTCTTCCCTGAAGAACTGTTTCTTGCAATGTGAGTTCTAATCAAATGCTTCTTTGGATATATACGTAATGTCGTCATGTATTTTCTTTCCCTTTGAGAATGATAACTTTTTGTAACGTGTAATCCATATTGAGTTTAGCTTTGTTGAACCTTCTCTTCTGTTTAACATGTTTGTTTATTGGTACACCCTATTGCTATCTTTGATGTCTGTCCTAATATTTAGTCTGTTTCATTCTTGTCCTGTACTTTACAACTGGTTGCATGTCTGCATGGATACTTTTGTGTATTTCTAACAATATTTCTGGTACACGCAGCTCTCTTGGTCAGAATCTGAAAACAAGTACATTTGTGTGGGAAATTTGCTTTGCAGTCTTCATTTCCATCTCTGGGTTGGTGCTATTTTCATTTCTCATTGGAAATATGCAGGTGAATGGACTAAATTCCTTTCAGTTTTATCATAAGATCTTGTTTATGGTGGTAGTTTATTGAGATTTTAAATTCTCTTTATGTTGTGCCTAAAGCTGCTCTGTCTAAATGGAAAGAGACAAATAGGTGCAGTTATTTATACTGTTTATTTTGTTGATGATATGAGGTTGCATGTCAATGTGTTCTTCTGTGTGTATGCTAAAACTTTCAGTTCTGTGAACCTAAATAGTAACTGGATTGTTCTTTGTTAATATGATTGGAATTTTGTAGTTATGGTTCAGGTACGAAAAAAGTGTTTGAAACATGGGTTGAGGTCTGGAACTATTTTATATTACAACCAACTGAATAACATGTATTTCTGCACAACAGACATATCTGCAGTCTACTACTAGAAGATTAGAGGAGATGAGGGTGAAACGGCGTGATGCAGAGCAGTGGATGTCCCATCGTTTGCTTCCAGAGAGTTTGCGAGAGCGGATCAGGCGATATGAACAATATAAATGGCAAGAAACTAGGGGTGTTGATGAGGAGAATCTGATTCAGAATCTGCCTAAAGACCTTAGAAGAGATATAAAGCGCCATCTTTGTTTGGCGCTTTTGATGCGGGTGCGTTCTTTTTTGCATTACTTGCGCTTAAAATCTTCTGACACTTCAATTCAAAATTAGTTTGTCAAGTAAAAAATTGCTTCCCTTTTCAAATGAATTTACAGTTAGGAAAAGTGCAAGAAAGCACCTTTTATTTCCCCTCTCCATCTTTTCTTCTCCTGCATTATCGGTGCTTTTTCTTATAATTAGCATGTACTTCTAATAGTTTCTCTGGGTTGTTTTTCATATTTTTCTGAGTAATAATTTTGTTTTCCTTCTGGTATTACTGCTACAGTGGCTTAGAAAGTTGTGTATAGCAAAAAATTTCTTGTCACAAACTCCATTCATTTCATTGACTTCATTCGTTGTTCTTTTGCTCGTCTATTTGAAGGTTCCTATGTTTGAGAAGATGGATGAACAACTTTTGGATGCATTGTGTGATCGTCTTAAGCCAGTTTTATACACTGAAGACAGCTTCATTGTGAGGGAAGGTGATCCAGTTGATGAGATGTTGTTCATAATGCGTGGCAAGCTCTTTACTATGACAACCAATGGAGGAAGGACAGGTTTCTTCAACTCGGATTACCTAAAAGCCGGCGATTTTTGTGGAGAAGAGCTCCTTACTTGGGCCCTAGATCCTCATTCATCGTCTAATTTACCAATATCAACAAGAACTGTCCGAGCCTTGTCAGAGGTTGAAGGATTTGCACTAATAGCAGATGATCTGAAGTTCGTGGCATCACAGTTTAGGCGATTGCACAGTAAGCAACTTCGTCACACTTTCAGGTTTTACTCTCAACAGTGGAGGACTTGGGCAGCCTGTTTTATACAGGCTGCTTGGCGCCGGTACTGTAGAAAGAAGATTGAAGAGTCACTGCGTGAAGAAGAAAATAGGTTACAAGATGCACTCGCAAAGAATGGAGGGAGTTCACCCAGTTTGGGTGCCACCATTTATGCCTCAAGATTTGCTGCTAATGCACTTCGTGCTTTACGTCGTAATGGCGCGAGGAAATCAAGGATGCCCGAGACGGTGTCACCTATGTTGCTTCAAAAGCCAGCAGAACCTGATTTTACTGCCGATGATAATTAGTTAGGTATTATTGTTAGATCAATAGTAGTAATATCTTTTATTTTTATTATGGTTGTGCTATATCGTCCTGTAATCTAAGAGTCAACAGTCAAATGTGCATATTTTAATGTATATGTAACTATGTAACTTTATAAGATAGTTTTGGCACTGAATGTCAGTATAGTATTCTTTTTACTCCTTTAGTTCTGGGAATTAATTTCCTGTTGTCCATCTTAGTATAATTTTTTTTTACTAATCCAAAGAGCATTTGGGCTTCTCCAAGTCTACAACATCGTCAGATTCATCTAGGAGGGCAATTAATTTGTATTATTATATAAACTTCACCAGTAATCGTTGCAAGAACATTTTCCGTCTATCATATGATGGAATCTGTTGGAATCCCTGACCACTATTTCTCTTCCGGTGGCCAATGATATGTACTTTATTGCAGCATGACAATCTCCACAAACACGAAGATTTTTGAATATCCTAATCGGCTTTGGTGTAGATGTGCTTATGAGGCCAAACGTGACAGCCAATTTTTCACTGTGTTGCAACAGATATTGTTCTTTCTGTTCTTCATCCACTTCATGAAGCACCAGATTGGTGTTTGGTACATAACCCAACTCCTTAATCTTAGAGATAACCTGATGTAGTTCTTCATATATCTCCTTTGCTTCTGGATGTTCTGTATCACCAACGTAAAACTTGTGCACCTTGTTTTCTGTTTCTATCCAGCTATAACCAGCTTCCGTCAACAAATTTCTTTCTTTCATGCTTTTCCTAACGTTTGCTACCTCTTCCCATTGGCCCCCAGAAGCATACAAGTTCGAGAGTAATACATGTGCTGCTGGGTCATTTGGATGCTGCATAAGGATCATTTTTGCGGCGTGTTTCCCCAATTCTTGATTTCCATGAACGCAGCAGGCTCCAAGAAATGTCCGCCAGACTAAGGTATCAGCAGCTAATGGCATAGATTCTATAAATTTAAAAGCCTTCTCCAGGAAACCCGATCGGGCTAATATGTCAACCACGCATGAATAGTGTTCCATCCTAGGTATCATTCCTTGTTCTGATAACATTTTATGAAAGTGTTTCAATCCCTCCTCTACCATACCAGCATGGCTACAAGCTGACAACACAGCAACATAAGTAACCTCATTAGGTTTCACACCGCCCAAAAGCATTTTGTCGAACAATTCTAAGGCCCTTCTTGCATACCCATGTTTAGCAAACCCAGTGATCATAGCTGTCCACGATACAACATCCAAATCCGACATATACTTGAAAACCTGATAAGCAGCTTCTATATTGCCACACCTCGTGTACATGGAGATCAATGCGTTACAGATAGTTTGGCTAGACTCAAACCCGGCCTTCATCAATCTTGCATGGATTTGCTCACCTTTACCAACTGCACCTATGCTGGCGGCTCCATTCAAGATATTAGCAAAGGTAAAAGCATCAACCTCTGTTCCAGAAATCTGAATTCGACAAGAAGGCTCAAAAGCCTCGTCATATTCTGGATCCTTTGCATGCGTATCAACTGCATTATCAGAGATCAAAATCTTCTCAAATAGAAGTTCAAATTCTTTCCTAGCGTCTTCTATCTTATCACATTTTGCATACAAGCTGATCAGTGCATTGCTCACGCCATCAGACTTCCTAAGACCTAACTTCACGGCTTGACCGTGTATGTTTTTCCCGGTGTCAATATCTGATAAATTCCCACAAGCCTTTAACAAAGCTGAAAAGGTAAAATGATTAGGTCTCACCGAGCCATCCTCCACCATCATACGATACAACTCAATGGCTTCTAGATCCCTCCCTGCATTCCGTACGTAACCAGTGATAATAGCAGTCCATGACATGACATTATGGAATGGCATTCGGTCAAATACTTTCCTGGAATCAATCATTGGTCTTTCCACACTGCATTTTGCATACATGTCGACTAAACTACAACCAACACAAACATCTGATGACAATCCAGATTTGATAGCCGAAGAATGCAGCTGCTGCCCAAGGGATAACCAGTCTAATTCGGCACAAGCTGATAAAACCCCACTCAATGCATAAATATCGGGGAGAAAACCCGACAGCAGCATATCCAAAAACAGCTGAACTGCATTTCTTGGGTCACCGCATTGAGAAAATCTAGTAATCAGGAGCGTCCATGTAACGTGGTTCTTCACGGGCATTTGATCAAACACCTCCGTGGCAAATTTGAAATCACCAAAGCCTCTCGAAAACATATCAACCAGCGCACACCCAACGTTCAAATCACCAGTATAGCCCGTTTTCATCGCGAGCCCGAAAAGCACGGGTCCAAACCGAGCATACTCAGGACTGCAACAAGCCTGAATCGCAGCAGAGAAGCAAAACTGATTAGGATGCTGGCCGCATTCAAGCATTTCAAAGAAGGTCGAAATTGCTTCCAACTCCATGCCATTATGAGCATAACACGAAATCATCGCGCTCCAAGAAACCATATCCTTATCCTCACCCATGGACTCAAAAATTGTTTCAGCCGTAACCCAATCACCGTTCTTAGAATACAGAGTGATGAGCGTGTTGAGCACAATGGAATCGAGCTTGAGCGACGACTCCATAAGCCTGGAATGAACGAGCTTCCCCAAATGGAAGTTCCGGGAACGGATGCAGGATTTGAGGAGGAGAGAGTAGAAAGTGAGGTCAGGAGTGAGGCCATTTCGGGACATGAAATTCAGGGTGGAGACTGCTTGTTTGATGTCACCCGCATCCGCGTGGCGGATTAGGCTGCCCTTCAGAGACTCGAAATCGGGTTTCCTGATGAGAGGCGGAGTTACGGTGACGGTGGTTGGGTTAGAAGGGGGCTTCGGCCGGCGAATGGGTGGCGGTAATGGGAACAGTTTGGGGGGTGAAGCAAGATAAAGACTAACAGCCATGACGTTTCAACTCCCAACTCCCTAGCTCTCTTCCCATTCCAAGCCCAAATTTCCGATGGTGGCTCGCATAAATGCTACGAGACAATGGTTTTGATGAAACGGAATTACTCGTCGTCCCATAATTATTGTCCAATTTGAATTTTTATTTTTAGTTCAAATTCTCTGTTCTATAATTATTGTCCGATTTAAATTTTTATTCTCAATTCAAATTATATTGAAAGTAAAATCTCTAACTAGATAATAATTTTGGGACAGATGGAGTATCTTTTATACGATGAGTAGCTATCTAATTGCCTGTTGATTTGAGTAAACCCATCGTCCCAGAGTTAACCATGCACTTAAAAAACTACTAGGTGGACATGTATATCTTGCTCTATCAGCAGCGGTCTACAGACACTTCGAATCTATCTTCAACATCATTTAACACATAATCAAAATACAAAATCTAGTAAAAGATTATCTATTTCAAAAATCACAATCTTTCTTCTTTTCTTCATAAGCACATAAGCATTATTGATGCCTGATGCTAATCGGCAAAGATTTTGAAATAATTAAAACAAATCGTCATTCACATGTTTAATAATCCTTTCTTTGCGAAAAACAAATTCTTTTTCTCGCCATCATTCATTTAACGTTTTCATAGATCATATTTCTTTCACGTTACTGCACAAGAGGAGAACGGTAGCAGTACAGAAATGGAGAATTTGTACACACCTAGTTTTTAAAGATTTTTGAACAAACAGTAAATGTATAGAGACTCTCATCATATTAAACAACTACGAAATATAGAGGTAAACTGCATGAATAGACCATGCATTTTTTCATTAGCATTCATTGACCTATATAGTTCAGTCCTTTTACAAATCAAATCATGATGATCAGAAGTCTCAGAATGTATTCTATCCCACGAATCGCAATATTATTCGTACTTATCCAACAGGATGAACTGCCCTGATCCCCACTGCCAACAATTATGTTACTAAAATGCAATAGGCGCAACATCAAGGCAGGGACACTTTTAACTCCACAAGCGGGCATTTCAAAGACAGCTAACTTCTCTCTTCACAAATGACGGCAAAGCAAAGGCTGCTCTATGAATCTGTAAGACGAAGGAATTCATTACTCAAACGTGAGGAAGGCTTACAAAAACACGCCAGAGTATGATCAAGCTAATCAGAACAATATATAACAGCATCAGCAATTTCAGGCATTATAATACCAAAACTTGTTATGGCACTATTTGAAGCAAAGAAGAAACACACTTCTTGATCCATAGTCCATAGATGTAGTATATCTTTGGAAGTGTAAGCAGATTAGCTATTTCAACTTAGATGGTGACACATTGAAAGCGTGCAAGTACATGTGAGTTTTACCTCCGAATTGTAATATTTAAGTTGTCTTTTATGCTGTACTGCTCCCTCAAGCTCCTCGATGGGGTTTACAGGATGTAAAAAGTCTACGGCAGGGCCCTCAGTTGCACATAGCAAAAATCCAATGACACCACTGTGAAAGAGAGACAATACACGAAGGGGTCAAGGAAACTTTACCAAATTCCTTCTCTCAAATGCACAAGCAAAAAAGGCAGGTTGAGAATGAGGTTAAAAAACACGTGCGAAATCCAGGTAATAACGGGAGAACAAAAGTTCCACATATAGTATGAATATTCTATATCAAATCTCAAATTAGAGCAGTATTGGCACTTAGTGGTTGTCATAATTAATCCAATAGAACTGGCAACAGCAGAAAGTACTTCAATATTGTACGTAGCAGACACCTGGGATAAGTGGGGACACTCGTCCAAGCATAACGAACAGAACCCTTGAATGTTTCTCGACATATGGAAATCATATCCTGAATAAGATGAGTATGAAGCCACATGCTTTCTGCCATATTACAAAGAACCCCCCCAGGCCTCAGTGCTCTAGCAATTGTCTCAAAGAATGGTCTTTCTACAAGTTCTTGAGCAGGACCTGAGACAAATAAATAATAGAGAAATAATTGAAAGATTTTACCCAATCAAAAAACTCTCTGCTCTGTAGCTCGTCGAACCATTTCTGAGTGAAGATTTATAATATCATTGGTTAATCAGAAAGAAACAAACATGAAACAAATAAAGTTCTCCCAAACCTTCACCATCAACCCCTCCTCTATAAAATAAAACGCACAAAATAGCGGAACTTAGAGTAGGAAATTTACCTACTCTAAAACCTGTTAACAGGGAGACTATAATACTAATTTCTGCATGTTATCTACTTTGGTTTATTTTTTTTAATAGTTGGGGTGGGGGTTTGGTTGTTTTTTTTTTTTGGTGGGGGGGGGGGGCGGGATATACAATAATACAGTTAGATGTTCCATATGTCCATTCTGATAAACATGAAAGATGAAAACTTCATAGAGAAATATTTTGATGCCATAATCTTACTCCAAACTTGAAATTCATAAACGCGTGTTGTAGCAGAACCTACATACCTACAGGGTCTGAAGAATCAACGACGACTGCATCATACTTCCCAGCAGGTGCACACTTAAGAAACTCAACAGCTGTTCAAAACAAAAAGAAAGAAAAAATCCATAACATGTGATTTGATATAAAGGAGGACCGGAAACAAACTGTGGGACATATCTATTGATGCAGTGGACATTTCGAGTTTGATCTACCATAATATTAAGGGAAATGGACACTGAAACAAGAGCCCACTATGTTGAAGACAATAACAAAATAGGAAGTATGATCTACTTTTCACAAAGGACAGAAGCATTTTGCATACCATCACCGACATGAAGTCTTACTCGAGGGTCATCAAAACCAACAGCTAGCTGTGGAAAGAACCTCTTACTTACCTGCAAACCAAATTAGAACAAAATAGTACATCAAATATGTATACTAGAAAGCCATGGCATAAAATATGTATTACATCAAGGCTTACATCAATAACCATCTTGTCTATCTCACAGATATCAATCAACTCCACTGAATTATGGCGAGAAATCTCTGTAAGAACACCACCATCGCCTCCACCTACAACTAGAACCTGCAATTTACAGCTATATTAGAGGGGAAACAAATGTACAAAATATTCAGTAGAGAGAGCGGTTCTTCGTGAAGTAGCCGAAAACATCAAAATGCACGTGAATGATTTCTAACTACAAATTTCTTGATATGATATATAACTGATTTAGAGATGCTGCAAGACAAATCATGCAACATTAGTAACAAGCAGTGAGATTGAAATTTAAATTACAAGGTTACTATCATAGAACTTTAGCAACAACAATTTGAAAGAAACAAAACAAACCCCAGAAAAAGAAATCACTTAACTACTACATGAAATAACTGGCTACTGATTGGGCCAAAATGATACTAATTTGATGTTTATTGGGAAAGAGTGATGACAATTCCAGTCAAGAAGATTACATTTTTGGGGGATTTGATGGAACAAAGAGGAAGGTGAGCAATCATCTCCTGATAAGCACACTCATCTTTCTCAGTCAACTGGACAATGCCATCCAACACAAGAACTTTTCCATAGGTTGAGGACTGCAAGGTCAGAGAAAGTGGTGAACATGAAAGAAAAATACATTAATAAATAGCAGAGTCCAAAAGGACCTGCATAACTCTGAATTAATGGAAAAAATATACTGAACCTGAAAAACCAGGACCTCCTGGAACTCTGATCTCTCTTTAAACAAAATTTGCTCCACTCTCAGAGAATGTGCTTCTCCTATAGACAGGTATACAATGTTATCATTCCTAATTAGGCTAAACATCATGGGAACAGACTATGAAAACATAAGCCATCCTCAAAAAGCAAGTACATCCAACTTCTTCACTCAGTTTATGCGGTAAACTTATGTCCCAAATCATGAAGTATCCCAAAGTGGTGATATGCTTCACCCGATCTCAATCACTGTGCCCAGTAAATGGTAAAGCTAGCACATGTTCGTTAAATATCCTGACAATAATGATTTAAATTCGATCAACTATACATGCACATCAAACCAAGAAGTAACATTCAATTTTTTCCTTCAGTTTATGTCTAAACTTAATCTCCAAACAGTCTGGTAGGTATTTCAGATTGGTGATATTTTTCAACTATCCCAATAATAAGCATTCTGCCCACTAACATAGTAAAGCTACCATACATTAAGTTAAATATTCCGATAACTGTAAATAAAATTTGCGTACCTCCACGTGCACATCAATTTGACAACTTATGATTACAGAGTTAATAAAAACACCGAAACACTGCATGCATATATATCTTATTCATGCTTGTATTTGTGATTTATTATGCTTGTTTTCCTTTGTTTGACCTAGATACTATCGAGAAAATACCAATGTCATTCTTATAAAGTAATGACTTAAATGAATGATACTACGCAATAAATCCTTCTGTGCAATCAAGTTGCAAACTCTTAACGTTGGTAATAGGTAGATATTGTATACCAGATGTAAACAAACAGTAACAGTAGCCGGAAAATGAGGTAAAAACAGTCAAAATCCTCCGGAATAATATTGCTTGGCAAACGGGTGAAAAATAAAAGAGAGAGAAAAGAAACAAACATATAAAAGGATAGCAAGTGCATTTGTGTACCATAGGCATAGGAGAGGGAAAAAAGCAACACACACCTGGCCACATAGGATTGTTAAAGTATACCAGCTTGGGAGTTTTATCTGTGACAAGGACACAAAAAGGACCAGTCAAGAAACGAAACAAAATCAAAATTGCCCCCAAGAAAAGAGAGGCAAGCAAATAAGAGGGAGCACCATATTACCAGAGGATGGCTTAGGCTGTGAAAACCATCCAGAGACAACTGTTGAATGGCATTTAGCTTCACCCTCAGGGGCAGATGCTCTGGCTTTTAAGCAACAGGAAGGAATGACATCCTTGTCTTTTCCATTACTTGCATCATTCTTCCCATCCATAGTCCTCTGGCATTCCAAACCTCTTCCGACAACGTCCTCCATAAAATTTCTTTTTCTTCTTGGCCTCCAGTATCTACTTCCACATCCAATTCAATATCAGAACACAAGAAAGACAAATATCTGGACATTCCAAATTTCAGCAGAGTAATGACATGCGAAAAATACAACAAAAACACTAAATGCATTGATAACACAAGAGAAGAAAAGGAGAGAACACAACAAAGTTACCAACAAGCAAGGGCACAGAGAATCAATGAAAAAGAAATTTCGGTTGCTCATAAAATTAATACAAGTTGCAAAGGCTACCAGCCACGTAACCGCCATTGGAATGAAAAATAATTTATTAAATTAGAAAGATTCTTGAGAGCACGTCCTACTGGCTGGAGTCAAACTCAAAAAGATGCATAAACTAAATTATCTTTCTTTGTTCTGTAGCTAGAAAACACAAAACAGTAAGCTAAAATATAATTAGGCGAACCACCACTGAACTGGAGTACCCAAAAAAAATAAAAAAAAAACAAGGAAAATTAATCTGCAAAGCTATAAAAATTCAATAGAAGAATCAGAATCCTGCATCCTACACTTGATTTCATCATCTGCATAACAGCATCCATTACGGATAACCTCCATGCAACAACCAATAAAGAAAATTAAAAAGAAATCACCACCGTACGGCTCACGCTGAACTTTATAATTAAAAATTCCGGAAAGAAAAAGTAGAAAAATGAAGAGCTGGACATTTATACAAGAAATTTGAAGGAAAATTGTAATAAGTAATCGAGACCAAAACAAAATAAATTTGAAATTCCAAGTAAGGGGAAAAAAAAAATCAAATAAAAAAAAAGTACCTAAAACACGACTGGAAAAGATTTTGAGCTTAAATCCGAAGTCTCCACTGCGAGGCTAGGGTTCAAGTAAAACAGTAACGAAAACAAAGAGATACCGGAGAAATAATTCCAGGAAAAAAAAAAAGAAGAAGAAGAAATCGATTAGATAATCAAGAATGCCGGTTTGCGACCGCCAAGGAATTTTTTCCGTCTAAAAGCGAAAAAGGAGAAAGAGAGAGGGAAAAAGAAGAGCACCTGATTTCAATGGCCACCAAACACCGAGAAATTGCGTGCACCGACGGTTGAATAAGCGGGATACGGCAATGGAAAATCGCGGAAAGTTGAGTATTCCCCAGGCGGGAAAAATTAAGGGGAGATTAATTACTAATTTTTTTCTCCGGAAGAAGAACCAAAACACTGCGTTTTAAGCGAACTTCCGATTCCACAGTAGGGGGTTCTGCTCTAGAAGCGGGATATGGTAGAAAACTAGAAATGGCGCAACGCAGAAAATATGCAACTGGTACACTATTACACTGTACGTATTTATAGCGTTCATTCATTAATGACCCGCAAGCATCAAATATAATGTTACTTTTTACTTCTTTCTTCAGCTTTATTCTGGTGGGGAAAAAGGACTTGCCTTTATTATATTTAATAAATATTTTTTTAGTAGTACTGTATTATGGATGAATGTAGTTTTGGAAGTCCACGATTGGGTGGGAAAAAGGACGAATCATTTAAAGTGATAATTGTGGATTTGTGTGATTGCTACGTGATTTTTTGAGATCACATGTGAATTATAGAATATTTTTAGATTCATACGTTTTCTGAGATTGATCACGAAATATGAAAATAGAATTTCCCCTCTCTAACCAAAAAAAAAAAAAAAGGTAGGAATGATCATTCATTATATCGGGTGTTTAAAACGCTTCATAAACATGTATTAATTTTTTTTTTTTCTATTACAATGAAGGAGACCAAAGACCGAAAATACTAAATGGTCACATCATATAAAAGGAAGCTCACCATCAACTAAACTACTCCACATAAACATGTAATTTTAAATCTTTTAATTCCCTCTCAAGGTCCGGTAAACATTGAAAAAAATTCTCCTTTTTTTTTCCCTGTGAGTACATGAATGATCTTATGTTCCAATTTTAATGGATGTCCCGCGAGGATCATATAATTAATCTTATGTGTACATGGAAAATAAAAGGGAAAAAATAAGTCACTGTGGACTACGCACCGGCACTTAATTTTGATGTCAATCTAGGAGTAGTTTTTTTTTTTTTTTGTTTTCCTGACAAGTTGCCATTGAATCTTGGAACATTCGATAAGGCTGCCAAAACACTCATGAGCCAAGAAATGATAGCTGCAAAAACTCTGTAAACTAAAGTGTCTTATAATAAAAATCAAAGAAAATTACTATTTAAATCACACTTCAGTTCAGCATAGCCGCAACCCAACTAGCTTAGTACCAAGAAATGTCAACTACCACGAGTATTGAAAATTGGATTATGCGATCTTGTTGTTCTACTTCCCGCTTCCCAGGTTTATTATTGTCCTCCCTTTTTTTTTTTTTTCTGTTTCTTCTTTTTACTTTTTTAGTGATAGTGATGAAACACTGGAAAGTAGAGTGAGCACGTTAATTTAGCACGTTTTTTTAAGGTAGTTATGGCCCTGTCGGTTAATGGAGTTTAATGGAACTCTTGGGCCCAATCCTTCTAAGGGCCAAGAATTTTCAGAACATTGTACTTCTTGGGCCATCTCAGGGAAACAAAAAGGAAGCCAGGTTGTAATTCACAGTCCACAATTATACTGGTGTACGCTAGACGTAAATAATTGTAAAAAATCTGTGTTCTATTCCCCCCCTCCCCTTCTGGATTTTCTTTTTGTTTTTCTAACCTACTAGTATTGTACCTCGTGCGTTGCACGACAAGCATTTAATTATGAAATAATTATCTTTTAACGGGTCACATTTCATCTTCATTTTTATTTTTAATATCATGTTATTCTGCATTGCCTGACATAAAATGTTTGAGTCTTTAGAAGGTTAAAAATCTATAATTAATGATTTTAACTGCAATTTTAATATTGTTGACAGCCCGTTGAACCGAAAAAAGAAAAATTAGTGCATTTCATTTCTTCTTAATTTACACCTCTAAAAACATGTCACTCTACATTTTATTATTTAAAAGGTTCCGAGTCTTTGGTAGGTAAAAAATCTACAAAAATCTACAAAGAAAAAAGAAAAGAAGAAAAATCAGCGAGTCTCATTCCATCTTTATTTTTATTTGTAACTGGTTTTCACTTTACATCGTCGTGCTTAAAAAGTTACAAGTCTTTAGTTGGTTAAAAACTTATATTAGTTTTGGTTATTGTTTTAGTATTTTTGCCAGTACATTGAACTAAAAAAGAAAAAAGAAAGAAGAACTAAGTAATACTAACTTTTCCAAAGAGAAATTTTTCACTAACGTTATCTAATTATGAAAGGGACGTCTTACAGTAGACGTCATTCTATCTCATCATTGACAGCATGTCATTATAAATCGTTCTGTTAGTAATTTTAAAATCCCAAAATTATTACTTCTTGTTAGTAATGTCATTTTCTAAGCATTAACCAATATGTATTTATAACTATGAATATGATGTTTGGAATGATTCACGAAAGAATTTTATTTTTCTGTATACAAACTCATTTGGCATTCGGAAAAAAAAAATTGCACTAATTTATTTTTAGTTGAAATTTTTAATTGGCCTTTAGAAAAACAATAACATTACTTATATGGAGTCCAAACTTTAGGAAATCATGTTGATCGGTAAGTATTCTTTATGATAAATATCAAAGTCTTTATGATAAAATCATTAGTTGATGGACACAAAAAAGAAAAAAAAAATTGACGTAGAGAAAAAAAGACCTCGTGTGAAATAAAAGAAATGAAATTATGGGAGCTTTTGGAAGGGAAGCTGTTCTGGGGAAAAAAAAAAACCGCAACAAAAAATCATTTTAATTAGCCACATTTTAGAAGGTGAGGCGGCATACACCACTCAATTGAAACTCGTAACCCATCTTTGATGTGAGCTTCACCTTTGGCAATAGCAAAACAATTCTAAGCGAACCATTCACTATATAAAAAAAAAAAGATTTTAGGGATCAAACTTAGAATCTATAGCAGCATAACCATTGAATTTTTCTATTATTATTATTTTTTTAAATTGGATGGATTAGGATTTGTGTGAGTCAAAGTGATCTGCACAAACTATTTATAGAGATGGAGGAGATCGATTTTAATTATATGGATTATCTTTTGTTTAATGAGACCTATAAATTTCTTTTATGACCGTCAGAGCTCAGTATATTTTCCAAATGGAATAGTTAGTTTGAATTTCAAAAGAAATTTGGTTCGATTATATTATCATCGGATTTCCTGGTGAAGTAAAGGAAAATATACGTCGTTTGCAAGAACGAAAAGTTTACTAATGACAGCTTTACAATAAGAATCTATGGTTTAACTATTCATGGGAAATAACAAAATTAGATCGACAATCATTCAAGGTAATTGTAAAAGTTAAAAATTAGTGGAAATAAGTGATAAGTTTTGAAATGATGAGATGTTCCGCCAGTGGATTTGTATTAGTAATTAGAGATATCCTTTCTGTTTAGTAATTGGAAAGAAGTGATAAGTTATACAAATGGTAATAAAAATTTTTATTTATACAAAGATTAGGTACGTAGAACTAAAACAATAGAGAATATAAAATGTAAAAAAGAAAAAATGCTAATAGTTTTCAATCATCCCATGGAAAAAGGGTTTATATAGATAAATGAAAGATAATATTATCACCGAAAAAATGGAGATGATTTTGGAGGAGAAAGCAATGCAAAGTTGCGTATGAATTTAGGTAGCTAAAGATATATTTTCCGGCAGTTGATTTATATAAGTAACTGAAGATATATTTTAACTGAAGAAAATAAAAAAATTATTTCCTTATTGAAATGTAAAAGATACTTATTTGATAAAACCAATCATTTGTAATGTCAAGGATTTTTTTTTTTTTTTTTGGTGTAAACCCGGAATGATAATTACCTCAATATTAAAGTTTATTGCTTTATAAATTAAAATTTTGACACATATATAATAGTAACAAAATCAATGATTAAATTTGGTAGGATAGATACCAAAAAATCAGCGCACAATTCGGATGCTATTAATTAAAATTAATCATTTGAAATTCAAATCTGGTGATATTGTTGGGAAGTGAATCCCATCCCGAAATTTTGATTAATTCCATGAGCATACGGTCTTTGATTAGCTATGGAAGATCTACACTCATGTACACAGTTCATACAACGAATTCGTTTTTAGCTAAGGATCAACAACAAAGGAAATAGGGGGATTATTCACGATTGGAAAGATAAAAACAAACATGAGAATATGGTCAACAAAACGGATAGTAGAATACAAACAATAGAAGATCAGAAAGTACGATGCCGGGCATAGAAGAATCATATTGCAGTACAACAATCCCCGACGAGTATTTATCCTGGTCATAGACGGCGCTTCTTGCTTTAGTGGTAATTCTGGAGGACAAGTCGGCAACAACTACAATGAAAAAGTGTTGTAAGCGACGGGTCTGGAGATCTTTATGGCCGTAGAATTTTATCCGGTCAAATTGATGATTCGAAGATCATCGACGTTGACGTCTAATTCGAAGGAATTTTTTTACATAAAATAACTATTTAACTGTATTTAAATTAACCATATTACTTGGATGAAATACCTAGTGAAAAAATCCATGAATTAGAAGTAACCATATTACTTGGATGAAATACCTAGTGAAAAAATCCATGAATTAGAAGATGACATGTGGATTACATAAATTTCTCCACGAATGAGAAAATGACACGTGTAATTGAAAATTATCGATGACTTAATTAACTGACATGTGTCTTGTGAAAAAAATTTCCTTTAATATATAGTAAGATTGCGTGATTAGGTCATTGGTGTTGCAATACGAATATAAATATTAACCAAAAAATTAATACGAGCATAAATTCCATCTGTCCAAAAGAAAAAAATCAGTTTAAATTTTTATTTTTAAAACTGAAAATAATTACTGTTCAAGACCAAGATAGTATAAAATACACATGACCAACTACTTCAATTATCAAAGCAAATAGCAAAGCTATTTATCGGTTAGTCCACCAGCTAACATCTGAAAACGCATTTTATGCTTAAGAAAATATATTTCGGCAACGACTCCATTATATCACCTTCAAAAAGCAAGCTTGTGTTAGAATATAGTCGCGAGAAGAAAATGTATCGTTTATTTATATTTATGTAGCGATAGATGCGTAACGAGGAGGTTTCAACTAATCACTATCATTATAACTAATTATGTGTTTCAGTGTTTGGGTGATACTTGATAACGACCCACCATTTGTTAACTTTAACTGCACTTTCAAAGAAAAAAGAAAAACGTAATGCACCGCGTAACTCATTCAGAAAACAAAGAAACAGAAATGCAAAGCACGAATAGGCAATGAATCAAGGACCAATCGGCCTGACCCTAATGCAGGGGAGCATCTACTGTTCAGCAATATCCTCCAATACACTTCGCGAGTAATTACTTCAAATCACATTCGTTACGAACAATTAATCTCAAATCAAAATTTCGTTTTCTATGTACATTTTTATTTATTAAAGGAATAAAAAATAAAGAAAAAGAACCCAGAAACTCAGCAACTATACCGAGCGAAAATTTTAAGGAACTACAGAGAGCCAAGTTACTCTCAGCAAATTACATACACATCTTTTTCCCCTGAGAAAGGTCACATTGTCACACCGCGTCATGCCACCTTATCACTTCAATCACTACTGATGCCATTTTACCCAGATGAAGCTTTAGGTTTCTCCAATTGAACAACAATAACACTAATATTATCTCTGCTGCCGCGAGCAAGAGCTAACTCGGCCAATATTGACGCTGCTTCGGATGCAAGGCCTCCATTTTTCGACTCACTGGCACCCGCATGGCTTACACCGGAGGAGGGAATCTGCTGAGGAGAAGCAGCCCTTCTTCTTACGTTGCCGTCCAGGCATCTCCTTACAATCTGGCATGCTAGATCGTTAGGAATTACATCCCACAAACCGTCACTGGCTAATATCAAGAACTCGTCCAAGTCGGACCTTTGGTTCACCGTTACTTGGGGTACTGGTATCACGTAGGGCTTGAGGTACTCGTCACCTGCATGGCAAATCACCAGCAATACTCGTCAAAACTCAATACTGCTCAAATGACGTCTTATCATTTATGATATAAAGAGTAATTGAAAGAACCGCTAATTAATTACTAAAACAAACAACAAAATATTTGAAGCTACAACGTAACCACGTACAGTCTGATCTAGTTGCCTCTATACAATGATATTTAGGCACATGATGGTAGCATACTAGTCGCGTGAGACTGAGCTACATATAGGCTATACAGTGATTTAGGTTTCTAATTCTTTTTAATAACTTTCGCATACCCTTATAATTTCTATAAGTTAGTCACAATAATCATGATATTTTGAAAGATATGTAATTACTCTTTACCTAACAATTCTAGAGGATACTTCTTTTTCCAGAAAGTTAAAATGACCTCAAAACTTCAAAAGGTGACTTTGTACATGAGACAATAAAGTTTTTTTTTTTCTCTAACAAAAGAAAAAATCAAGAAAGAAAAAAACATAGTTGTTCACGTTAGTCGCCACGTGCATGGAATATGCACATTATACTCCCTCCATTCCAAAATAAGTGTCGTCCTACACTTTGCACATAGTTTAAAAAACTCTTAAATAGAGTAAAAAAATTACTTGAACATACTCAACCAACCCCATTATAAAATTGTCCACCAATAACATCAACTCTTCTGAGGATAATTTTGAAAACTTTTGACAAAAAGTGCATTGAAATGTGAGAACAACACTTATTTTAAAATTTCTTCATTTTGCTAAAACGACACTTATTTTAAAATTTCTTCATTTTGCTAAAACGACACTTATTTTGGAATAGAGGGAATACGTTCTTTGTACACAGTACACATTACAAGCGTTGTCACAGAATACTTTCGATACTTGTGAAGGTTTGCAAGCTCCTGAATTGGATATTATCTTTTAAGTAACTAATAAATCCACTATAATACACATAAAAAGTGGGAATTCAAGATATTTATTACGGACTCAAATAAGCATAAAAATTGGGAACTAACATAGCCATAAAAGTGAAAAAATATCTTGTAGATTTCTTAGCTCTGAAGGATTATACATACCTATGGATCTTGAGGTGGCAAGGACTCCGAGGACACGTTGGCCGTTCCAATTTATGACTTTGCCTCCACACAGCTCTATTCTTTCCAACTCATCAGCTCTATCTGGCTGTGATTGAGAGGACAAACCATGTAAAGCTTCATTCCATAATGGAAAAAAATACGACTGCGGATGATGCAGGAAAGTTCTAGCTCTACTTAAAAAAAGAAACGTGGCTTCAATTTACAACTTTCAATCAAATATGTTTACCGCCTCCCTATTAACATGAAACCGTTCATGTAGCCACTCACAGATTTAAGTTCTAATATCATATTTATTTTATTCCTAAAGGAAAATAAATTCATTAACAAAGATCTTAGGTGTGACTCAAAATCAAAATTCGCGAATTCTTATCTTTCCTATTAAAAGTTACATGTGACTCAAATTCAAAACAACGTTTATCTGATGATATATTTTTTTAAAAAGAATTAAAGAATTCACGAATTAAACAAGACGGAATATATTCTGTCCAAGGAACAAGCTTGGAAGTTGTCCGGTTGTCCGACATGCAAAATATTTAATGAAACGACAGTTAAAAATTAATTACGCCAGTACTGACCTTATGGTCGGAGGATAAGGGGACGGCAACACCCCCGCGGCGGAGAACAGCCCGAGAATCCCCACAGTTAGCAACCACAAGCTCCTGGTCACCCACCACCGCCACCACGGCGGTTGACCCCATCGTGGCAACCGCAGCCCCATTCCGGTTCACCTCTTCATCCATCTTTTCAAAGCATTCCAACATCACCTTTTCCCAATCCACCACCCCGCTCCCCCCACGCTCTTCTTGCGTCACAATTTCCGCCAACAGCCGATGCAGCCGGTCGCTGCAAGCGTGCGCCACGCGCGACCCTCCGTGGCCATCGTAAACGCCGAAAAAATCGTATTTGCCAGATCCTTCACCACCTTCACCCGCCGACGACAGCCCAAGCTCCACCGCCACCGCGTCCTCCATCTCTCTCCTCCGCCCGATCACCGATATACACCCGTACGATGAACACCAGCTTCGACTCCCCCTCTCATCTTGGCCGCAGGATAACGCTCCATCCTTCGTCGAGCTGGCGGAGCTACCTTTCAAGGAGGAGACGTCATCCTGATCTTCCATTTGTCTCTTCCTCTTGGACCGCTCTTGCATATCCCGCAACATCGTCTCGTGATCCATTTCCCTTTCCCATCTCCCGCCAGGCCGACCCGAATTCCTATCCATGATGCCGTGCGAGTGTGATAAGGCCGCCGTCCGGCAACCATTTTCCGACGAAGGGGTGGTTTGGTGGCAGATGTTAAAGTTGTCAATCATCCTGTTCTGGTCGTATGATCTCCGCAACATCATCAGATCGTTTCGAACTTTGAACGGACATTAAGGAATCCTTTTGGTTTTGGTTTCGTCTTAATGAGGGGCCGGGAAGAAACGTAAGGATGGGCCATTTATTGATGATGAAACTATGCCACCATTCTGGGGGATGGATTGACGTGTCCCTCGTCCTGGAGAGGGATGATGGGAGAAAATCGGCGGTTTAGTACTGGAAACCGCACCCTCTCCATAATGACTCGGACTCTACCACCGACTTACGTGTGGAGATTCCATTGATCTGCTTGAGCACGTGGCGGGAGAATTTTGGTTCGTAGGTTGTTGTTAGGCTGGTTTGGACCTAAAGGTGTAGTTACGTGGCGGGAAGAGCTGGGCGGTTTTGCCTGATTTTGATTCTTTTTTTTTTTTCCTTTTAAATTTCGCCCAAACTACGGAGTATCTTTCTTTGTGCGATTGGGTAAGACTGGAAGGAGTATTTGTTTTTATTTTTTGACTAATCTGGTTCGTTGTGGGGTTCTAAGTAGACGCGTGTCGACGGTCGTATCTTTTCGTGAGGTGGTACCTCGTACCACGTGTTAGATTTCTTTTGAACAGGGAATGATTTTCTTTCTTTCCATTTCCTTTTTCCTCTGGTTTTAAGTTTTCAGTTTTTAACTTTCAGCAAAAATTTTTACATTGAATACATCGGAAGATTTCCTCCTTAAAAGTTCGAATTCGGTCAAGTGTGTGCTAGTCGAGTTTGTGCCGAAAATGTTGTATGACTTTTTAATAGCTAATAGAATGCACGTCTGTGCGGGCCTTCCGGAAAAAAAAATATTTTAATACAAACTTTAAAATTCGATATAAATTATTTTTTTAGTCAGAAAGAGTACCAAAATATGTATATAATATATAGAAAATAATATGCACAACGATAAATATTTAATGAAAAATAATAACTGAATTGGCTATCTATTTTTTTGGTACTTTGAAGTGAAATCATTTTTTTCCTTCAAAAGTTATATTTTTACCTTTAATTTTGTTTATAAATCATCCATTATGAATTTATAAGCTATATTTTTTCATTGTTTTTGTCACTATTGTAAAAATAAATATTGGATGGGAGGAGGATAGGAGGTTATTATATGGTTCCAATAAATTTTATATCGACTGAAATGCAAATCGGTTCTTGTGATAGTAAAAACATATACTCTATCTGTCTTAAAAAATGGTCCAAATTTTGAAATTTGTATTTGGACATATGTAATATTAAATTATCATATATTAAAATGATTGATTTTGGCCAAAATGTTGATCCGATGTATATATATAGTAGTATGGACATTATAGCATGAAATCATCCTGCCGTTAGTAATGAGGATTCCATTCTTAATTATTCCATCTATGAATTATCTAATTAGTTCCCATATTTGATTATTTGGTGGTGGTATAATCTTTATAACTCTTTTTCCCATAAATTTTTTTTTTCTATTTAAATATTTTACTATTAGAACAAATTTATACCAGGAATAAAAATTAAAATTAACTAATAATTTTGGGGGACACAGAGAGTATAAAACAGAGAATGAATTGTCCCCTGGTCTCTACCAGATGGACCGATCGGAGTGCAAATAATTATTCGATATTTGCAGCAGAATTTTGGTTGGGATTTGGTTTTGATCTGTTTACTATCAGGATTGTTGAGTACTCCAGACTTGAATTGTTTGAAGCAGAAATGTAGAAACATCAGTAGAGAGGGGTGGAGTATGATTAAGAACGATGAGAATTTTATATCCCGCTTCAGCATTAGCTTCCATATCGGGCAAGGGTTTTGGTGCTAGTGCCCTAGTAGCAAAATTGTTTTCTCATTACTTTTGTTCACTATCTGGTGCAAGGTTATTGCAAAATTACTTGAAAGAGTTGCAACTGAATCAGGGCCTGACCTGCAGAAGCTCCTGCCAAGTGGATGAGGTGATATGTTTTAATCAATATAGTTTTATTGAATCAACGGAAACAAAACCGATAGGAATGTTAATGTTCTAAACTTCTAAATGTTTGGTACAGAACTCATACAGTACAGATGAGATTTACAGCGGTTTTCAAAAATAAAAAAATAGTACAGTGGGTTTCTTTCCAATATACAAATAGAAGGATTTGCCATTTCCTCTCTTTCTTTCTTTGTTTTCCTACTATTTTATTATACTTACACAAACAAAGATAATAAACATTCTGCCCTTTACCTCAACATACTACGTACAAGGAAAAAAAAAAAAACATGCTCAAATTCCCCGAGGCCGCGGGAGCCCGGCGAATCTAAGGGACATGTTAGTTAGCATTCACCCTCTTCTTGTTCAAGCATCTTAACAACGTCACTCATGGAAGGTCGATCAGCCGGTTTCATCTGGATACAGATGGAAGCTACTTCCATCAGCTTCTTAATCATCATTTTTTCCTCTGCAGTGGCATCTTTAATTTCTATCATGTCTCTGCCTTCAACCAATTGGTCATGAATCCTGGAAGAAGAATGATCATTTTGGCTTTCAGGGCTAGCCGTGGAATGTGTTTTCTTCTTCACTGTGTTAATCATACCAACCAACAACATTCCAAAACTATAAACATCTGAATTATGCTCAACTTCTCCAATACTTTTATAGTAAAACTCTGGAGCTGCATTACTCAATCCAGGGCACACTTTAGCGAGTCCGAAATCAGATATCTTTGGCACCATATTCTCATCAAGAAGTACATTATGAGGTTTAAAACCCAAATGTGGAGCTTGGATGTCGCAGTTTCGATGTAGATAATCAATCCCACGAGCCACTCCCAGAGAAATCTTATACAGATTTTCAATGCTCAATGAAACATAAGAATTCGGATCTCCTTCTTTAGGTGAGATGTACTTTTGAATCGAACCATTAGGCATCAAATCGTATACCAAAGCTCGGTTCTGCCCTTCAAAACAGAAGCCAATGAGTGGCATTACGTTTGCATGATCAACCCTTCCAATTGCAGCAACAAATCTCAGAAATTCTTGGGAACTGGCTGTAGTTTTGTCCATCATCTTCACTGCAACAGTTGGACCACTCCTAAGCTTTCCTCCGAATATAGACCCACAACTTCCCACACCCAATTTCACTTTGAAGTTATTTGTGATTTTCTTGATTTCGGAGTAGCTATAATGTATTGGCTTGAAGGAATTTTGACCCTTTTTTACTAAGTCTTGAACCATTTCATAGTCTGCCCATAGGTGTCTCCTTTTCCGTTTAGACACAATTAGTGGAATAAAACAACAAAGCCCACAGATTAGCCTTAATCCCAAAATTCCTCCTGCATTAATTGTTTGAGAAAGAAAGTTATTTTGACCGTGTAAATTCAGTAATCCTCACTAACATATGAAGCTATTGTGTAGTATGGCTTACCAATTGGAACGACACCAAAGAATATGATGAATGCTGTCAGTTAGCCAAAAAGAAAAATGAAGTCAGAAACAGAGGAAAAAAAATAAAAAATTGTATCTAATTCTAATTAGATATGATATAGAGCAAGCAGAAAGTCGACAGCACTCACGAGCATAATAGTCCAATTTGCCTGCAATATTCAAGAATAAACAGTATGAGCAAACCCATAAAAATTGAATCTTTGTAATGTAAAGCAACAAATACTAGGATAGTTAAACTCACAGAGGAAACTGCGGTCTTCAAAAGCGGTGTCTTCGTAACAAATCTTGTAAGGAGTGCACTTGACAGAATTTTCCTCAATGGTACACTCTTTGTCCCGACAAATCGAACACAAAGGATAGTGCCATGATAGCTCAATCCCAGAAGCCACTGCCTCGTGGATGCTTGACAGAGAAGTGTAATTCGTGGTATTCAAATTAAGAACTTGAATCACCTTCCCGATGCTGCAAGATGGTTCCAGATCTGACAAGGTAAGTCTATCTCCAGCAACAACGTAATTATGAACCCCAGAAGAAGAATTTAATGAAGTGCTACTGTTTCTGTTAGTACAGAAAGTAATGTCAACGTATGTAGAAGAATTTACAGGAACAAGACAGTTGATGAATGTTAAAGGGATGTTTAGATCTGAATAGGAAGAGTAACCATCCTCATAAGTATCATCAATTTGGTTGTAATTAAGAGGGAACCAACAGGGATTGTTAATCTCCACATTAGGATCGAGAAGCCTTATCGTGTAACTCTCGTAATCAATTGATTGGACAAGGTATTTTCTGGATTTCAAGCTCAGAATGAGCTGGTTATTTTGGCATTCAAGTTCATATTTTGGGTCACCACAATCTTTAGGATCGCCTTTCAAGCGAAAAGGGAAATGTATGTTAGCGATTTTCCCACAAGAAGAAGGAACGCAAGAGGAAGAAGAGAAAGAATAACGCTTAGCATGGCAGATTGTTAGGCAACCCAGAAGAAGAAGAAGAAGAAGAAAATTGATTGTGGGCATTGCAAAAAAATGGTTTCTTGGCAACAAAAAATCTCTGACTAAACAGAAAAGAGCTATTGAAATATTTTGAGAAGGGATTATGAATTTTTTATCCTTGGTCGTGTAAGGATATGGATAATGGATGAATGACAGTTGAGTTATATTTTAGTCTGAAACTCTGATTGGTGTAGCTTCGAAGTAATCCGTATTACGCAACTGACAATGAAACCTAATGATTTGAATGTTGACTGTAGAATAGAATACTAAAGTCAAGCAAATAAGAATTTTTACGCGCAGTAGAAGATTCAATATATTTATCCGTACTGTGCTAGTTGTACTGGAACCTTCCAGTGATGCTAACTTTCGTTGACTGTTGAATCAATCCGCACCCAACCACATGATTTGAGATTGCCCAAATTGTAATAGTTTGAAGAAACAGAATTTGTAAAGTATTATGCCTAATGGCCTAATTAATTAATGATGAATCCTGTGTTGGTTCAACTGAAAGATAAACATTCAACCCCAAAAGGAAAGGTTTTCCACTGAACTCAAAAGTAGAATTTACAGTAGAGGTCAGGGGAAGGAGAAAAGAAGGAAAAGATTGGATTTTGCTGGAGATTGGATTAGGCTTTTAGAAAGAACGGTGGTGATTCTACAAACCATTTGTGAATGGCTTTCTTTTTTGCTGAATTCTTGTTCCTGCTGATTCTTGCAGGATCTGGAATGGCAAATGAATGTGCACCAGTAAGGTGTGGGGAATCTGGACCTTGGATTCGGTTCCCTTTTTGGCTCAGAGATCATCAGCCCGAAACCTGCGGTTATCCAGGTTTTGAGCTGACCTGCCCTAGAATCAATGATACTAGGTTTGAGGTTCGGTTTTCTGTAAGAGCTTCAACCACGAATCTGAACAACATTTTACTTCCAATGTCAGTTCAGTCTTCTGTTTTAGAAATTGATTATAAGTCTCAGCTCATTCAAGTTAATGTCCTTAATGCTTCTTGTCCTCCAAAACAACTTCAACCAGATATGAGTGCATCTGATTTAACCTTTCCATTTGAGAAATATGACTCCTTCAGAGATAATTTTACTTTCTTCAACTGTTCTACAAATTACAGAAAACAAAACTCCAACTATGGAGCTTTGGTTACTTGCCTAAGCGGCCATGACTACGATGTTTTTGCTTTTCGGTCTTACTATAGTGTCTTTAACTTTCCTATTGCATCTTGCTGGAAGATGTACGACATTTCTGATGCGCTTTCAGAAATGACTAGTCCCTTTGAAATTAATGATTATACTCAAGTATGGCTCCACTGGTCTAAACCATCTTGTAGCGTTTGTGAAGCCAAAGGAAACTATTGTATGCTTAATAATAACATCACGACTGGTGAGGAAACTTATTGTCTTGCCATGCCTGGACAGCCTAGTCAAAAACGTGGTAGAGGTATTCTTCGATTTCTGATAATTGCCTCACTGTTGGGGATTGATTCTTTCATCACTGGGCTAACAAAGTCATGATAATTTTTTGACAGGTGTCTCAAAGTCCGCACTTGCTATAGGTATCCGACTTATATATTCAATCTATATTTCTGATCTATGGCTAAACTATTGTTCCTGACTTGATTTGATTGAATTTCAGGCTTCTCGATCAGTCTATCGCTGCTGCTTCTTATTGTTGTTTCATCAAGTGGTTTCATCTTGTTGAAGGAAAAGAAAGAGGATCGAAAGAGAGTTGGGAACTTTTTGGAGGACTATAAAGCTCATAGGCTTGCAAAATTCTCTTATTCAGATATAAAGAAAATGACAAGCCAGTTCAGGGAGATATTAGGCCAAGGAAGTTATGGGACAACATACAAAGGGAAGCTCATAAATGACCTCGTTGTTGCTGTGAAGGTGCTTAAGAGTTCCGGAGGTAGTAGTGAAGAATTTGTTGGCAAATTAGTGAAAATGGATGGGATCCAACACATGAATGTTGTTCGATTAATTGGATACAGCGCCGAGGGAAATAAACGAGCTCTAGTGTACGAGTTCTTGCCAAATGGTTCGCTTGAAAACTTCATAGCATCAGGAAAGCAGAATAAATCCCTGGAATGGAAGGAGTTGTCACAAATTGCTACTGGCCTAGCTCGAGGGATCGATTATCTCCATCAGGGATGCAACCAACAGATTCTTCATTTGGGCATACAACCACGTAATGTGCTGCTAGATCACAGCTATAACCCCAGGCTTACTGATTATGGCATTCCAAAACTATGTTCAAAGGAGCAGATTCTTCTGTCCATGGGTGCCGAACAATTTGCAGTGGCTTACAATGCTCCAGAGGTACTCTCGTCAAACTTTGAGAATGCAACGCCTAAATCTGATGTTTATAGTTTTGGCATCTTAATACTTGAGATAGTTGGAAGGAAGGATAGAAAGAAAAATGCAGCAGAGCCAAGGAGTCAACCTTATCTTCCAGAATGGATGTACAATCAAATGAATGCAAGTGAAGGTCAGCTAGCATTTCAAACAGATGGGGAGGAAGACAGTATGATAAAAACAAAGTTGATGGTTGTGGGCCTTTGGTGTACTAAGTGGTATCCATCGGATCGCCCCTCCATGGAAGCAGTTATTCGGATGCTAGAAGGCAAGGATATGCCTGTTGTTCCCCCAAATCTATTTGGTTCAACCAAACCGCTTGTATCAGCTTAATAGAGTTCATTAGCTCATGAATACGTTCATTAGCGCATGAATGCACTTTGTTGATGGTGTTCTTACACTTTTTCACTGTTATATAGTTTGGCGACACACTGTTGTATATAATACTGCACTCCTGCGGTTGTGATTGATTTAAAAATGTTTTCTATATCCTTCTATAATTTTTGCTTCTGTACATTCTGCATTTTTATGCGAGTCTTAAACTTTGGGGAGATTTCTCATCTTTTAGCATTGTTTCGATATGATGTACCTGCTTTGACTACTAAATTTCCCACTTTTGAGCCATAATGGACTTTAAGAGGCGAAAGATGATATTTTCAGAAAATAAAATACAATGATGAACAGATAATGTAGTAGCTAAAATATTGATCCAGTATATCTCCTATGCGGTACATGAAATGGGATGATATTTGAACCGATGAAAATAGAAGAGAACAAGGAACAACTGTTTATGAATGTCATGAACCAGTTATGTGGGGAAACTGCTCAAAAAATGGCAGATTAATTTTGAGAGTCGGCCTTCAGTATGTCATCGACTTACTTAAGTCGACAAGCTATGCCAATACTTGGGGTTTAGTTATGCAGTTTGCTTCAGTGCAGTATATAAAATATCCCAAAGAACTGTATGCAGGTAAGAACACTTCCAACTTGCAGAATTCTGATGGGAAAATATTAAGATGTATCAATTTACAAAGACCAGTAGACCACTGATAAAAAACTAACTACATTGTTGAAAAAATGAAGACACTAGTGGTTTCTCTGCGAACACGAAAGTCCAAACTCCTAACTTGTGCTATCTAGGATCAATGGATAATACTACTGATGATCCTTTCAATGTAGTTACTCCATCTTCATCAGCCATCTCCTGTGGAGCAACAAAAGGTTTTGGAGGCATATGCAGGAGATCAGCATCGCCTTCGAGCATCTCTACAATTTTGTTCATGGGAGGTCGATCAGCTGGCTTCATTTGTATGCACCACAAAGCCACTATAATCATCTTCTTTACTAATGTCCTTTCTGCGGCATTGACATTTCGCATATAATCTATGTCCCTTCCAGCTTGAAATTGGTCATAAGCCCAAGAAGGGAAATAAATCTGGCTAATATTCTCAGCTCCTGGACTTTTGTTTTCCCTTCTGCTAGCCATTTCCATCAACAACATTCCGAAACTATACACATCTGCCTTATATGAGACTCCTCCGATGTTTTTGTAGAACATTTCTGGAGCCATATAACCCATAGTTCCTCTTGCTGCTGGAAGGGATACGAAACTTTCATCTGTTGGGTACAGTTGCGCCAACCCAAAATCAGATATTTTTGGGTTGAATTTCTCATCAAGAAGAATGTTGTGAGGCTTAATATCAAAGTGTAGAATCCTCATGTCACAACCTCGATGCAGATAGTCAATCCCGCGAGCCACACCAAGCGAAATCTCAAACATTCTGTCATAGCTCAAGGAGACAGAATCTCCTCCTCTTGGGAATATATACTTATCAAGAGAACCATTAGGCATGTACTCATACAACAATGCACGTTTAGAACCTTCAGTGCAAAAACCAATAAGCCGCACCACATTAACATGGTGAATCCTTCCGATTGTAGCAACTTCACTTAAAAAATCTTGCTCGCTAGCCATCGTGTTTTCCATTATCTTCACGGCAACAAAAGGACCACTACGAAGTTTCCCTTTATAAACAGTTCCATGACCGCCTTCGCCCAACTTCTCCCTGAAGTTGTCTGTCATCTTCTTGATCTGAGAGTAACTGTACTTAATGGGAGATAAGTTGGTTTGATCTTGAAGAAACTGTTCAATGCTTTCATCAGCAGATAAGTGCCTCCTTTTCCATTTGTGCACCAGTAATCCAATCAAGCATGAAACCCCACAGAGGAATCTTAGTCCAAGAAGTCCTCCTGCACATAAGCGAAAAACATTGAGAATCAAGCAATCACCAACATACTGATGTTCTATATTATAATGAAAATAGCTCCAAATTGTGGCATAACCAAGTCTTGAAAGAATTATTCAACCTTCTGTAGGCGGTAAATGTTCATTCGAGGGTAGAGACATTAAGGAGTGAAGCTTTTACCTAATGCTATTAATCCAAAAATCAGAGTAAGCCCTCCATAGAACTGAAATTGACCTGCATTCATCACATAGCAATGTCAGCCAAAATGGCCAAACCTTTAACATTTTTGCCAAAACCAACTTAAGACAATAGGCAGACAAGGTCAATCTCATGATGAATCTCCGGGGTATCATAACAATTACTATAAACTTAATCCAACTTGCTTTTTCAATTTCCTTCAGTTGGATTTGGGGACTTGTAAGAAATGCATTCAAAATCCCCCAAGATTGTTAACAAATTGTGGAAGTAAAAACACTTACAATGAAATCCTAGTTGTGAAAGTGGGATGTCTTCGCGGCAATAATGTTTACAAGTAACAGCATTGTCCTGAAGGAGGCAAAATCCATTGCTGGCTTCACATTCATGACACAAAACACGGAACCAAGAAACCTCGAAACCATAAGCCAACATCGAATGAATCCCTGACAGAGAATTCCTGTCCTGAGTTGGCCCATAAATGGAGGCTCTAGACATCATATCAACCGTACAAGATTCCTCAATGTTATATAGCTTCAGCCCATCTCCCGCACCAACGTAACTAAACACCCTGGAAGAATTAAAAAATGTTGTCCCATTTCTGTTAGTATTTCTGCAGAAAGAGTTATCCACGAATCTGGAAGAAGAAGAAGAAGAAGTGATGGGTTTGAAGCATTTGAGGAATATGATGGGAACGTTGTAATCGAATATTCTGTTGTACACGAGGGACGGGAAATCATCGTAGTCAACAGAAGAGTAAGAAGGGAAAGAGCAGTTATTGTGGTTATCCAAAGCGGGATCAACGACTCGGATTGTGAAGTTATTGTAATTGATGGCCAAGACATGGAATTTCTTGGATTTGAAGGTTACAAATGTTTGATTGTTCTGGCAATCAAGCTCGAAGTTGCGGTTGCCACAGTTCTTTGGGTCGGTTTTTAAACGGAAAGGGAAGGAAATGTTGTGGAGATTCCCACAGGAAGATGGAACACAGGAAGTAGTGGCTGTATTCTGGGCTCTGCTGCGAATGCTTATGAGGGAAAAGATGAGTAGGTAAAACAGAACAGATTGGTGGATTCGGATCGACATAATCAAATTCAAGACTCAAGTTAACGGCTATGAAGTTTCAATCTTTGGACAGTAACGAAACCAAATTTTGATGTGAATATATCTTTATATAATAGTATAATACTGAAATTGTTGGGATGGGATTGGAGAAGTTTGATTCAGTTTGCAATATTATGTACAGTTTTTAGTAAAAGTTGGAAACGCGGTGTGAAATTTTCATGCTCTGAAGGACGTTTTGACCAACTTGGCAAACATGGCAGTACTTTTCTTGTGATCTGGATTCTGGATAATCATCATCCAATTGCTTGTTTTCTTTGACTCGCTGAATAAATAATTGAATGCTGAATTCTGCTATTTGCTTATCTCCACCCACTCGTATCCAATTATAATGGTTTTATAATAGCAACCCAAAAAAGGAAAAAACCAAGAAAAAAAGAAAAATAAAAAAAGGCATTGTCCACTTTCATCAAATCAAATTGACCAATTGAAACTTGAAAGTGACATTGTCTGAAAAGTCAAACAGTCAAATGAAAGGCCTAACAATTAACAAGAATTGCTCCATACGCGGATATTACTGTATCTTCCTGCACTTTGTTTCAAACAGTAGCCATTTCTCAGAAGCCAGCGCTATAAGCCTAATGCAAAAGTAATGAACCAATTTTCCTTTATCTATCTAAACTCAATTATCAACATCTGATTCTCACTTCTTATACTAAAACTGGAAACATCCAAAAGAGAGCAGAACCCACAGACTCCTTAAAAGTTCTCAACACAGTGGCTATGGCCAACTCAATCCTAAACTTCATTTACATGGCAACAGTAGTATTACTGTCCACCACTGCATCAGCCCAAGATGAATGCTCGCCAACAAGATGCAACAGCACCGGCCCAGAAATCCGATTTCCCTTCTTTCTAAAGGGTCGTCAGCCGGATTCCTGCGGCTTCCCCGGATTTGCCCTGTCTTGCTCTGCCGCCGGCGCCACCGAATTTGAGGTCCAGTACCCAATCATGGCATCCGGCTCCGGCGCCAACATTGTGATACCTTTTCGAGTTAAAGTAGAAATCTTAGAGATTGATTACAAGTCCCAATTAATTACCATGAACAGTATCACTTCCCTTAGTTGCCTTCCCCGGCAAATCCCTGCCGTTAACTCGTCGGCGTCTCCATTCTCGGTGGTCAGTAATTATGGATACAGCGGATACACTTTATTTAATTGTACAGCTTCTTCTAATGGCACTGTATCCGATACCGTGAATGGATATCCTGTGCCTTGCCTTAACTCCTCCACTGGCTACGAAGTTATTGCCTTTGATTCTCAGAGAGACATTTCTGAATTTATCCTCTCATCTTGTGCAAAGATGTACAGTGTTTCTTATGTTCCAATTGGCGTTTTTAGTGGAGGAGAGCGGTTTGAAGCCGGTTACAGTTATATTCATCTTAATTGGTCAGAGCCGATTTGTGGACATTGTGAAGTTATAGGGAAGTATTGTCGCCCGAAGATTAACGGCACAATTGGCGAAACAGAATGCATAGACAGTCCAATTCAGGCCGTGAAGAGTACGTCCTCTCCTTATTTTTGTGAAATGTGATCTTGTATAATCTTTGATTATATGTGTTTTTATGTATCAAAAACAGGTTTTCAGTGATTCTATAATCTTGTTTGCAGAATCACCTGTTAAAAAAGCAGTAGTTGCTGGTGTAACAGTCGCAGCAATAGTTGTTCTTGGAATTCTGGTGGCATTGTGTGTTATGTTGTTTAGAAGGGAAAGGAAGAAAAAAGAGCAGAAGAAGATTGAACGTTTTCTGGAGGATTACAAAGATTTGAGGCCTATAAGATTTTCTTATGCTGACATCAAGAAAATCACGGATCAATTCAAGCACAAATTAGGCCGGGGAGGTTATGGAACAGTGTTCAAAGGAAAGCTCTCTGAAGACATTCTTGTAGCTGTTAAAGTCCTGAACAATTCTAAAGGAGATGGGCAAGAATTCATCAATGAAGTCGGTACAATAGGGAAGATACATCACATAAATGTGGTTCGTCTGGTTGGATATTGTGCAGATGGATATAGAAGGGGTCTGGTGTATGAATTCTTACCGAATGATACACTTGAAAAGGTCATTTCTCCCGGGAAGCAGGGCAAGCCAGTATTAGGTTGGGAAAAGATGCGACAGATTGCCGTTGGGATAGCTAAAGGACTTGATTATCTTCACCAGGGATGCAACCAAACGATCCTTCATTTCGACATCAAACCGCAGAACATCCTGTTAGATCACAATTATAATCCCAAGGTTGCTGATTTCGGGCTGGCGAAGTTATGTTCCAAAGAACAAAGTGTAGTGGTCATGACTGCTGCTAGAGGCACAATAGGCTACATTGCACCTGAAGTTTTCTCCAGAAACTACGGCAACGTTTCGTATAAATCTGATGTCTATAGTTTCGGCATGTTGTTGCTTGATATGGTTGGAGGAAGGAAGAACTTCCATGCCGGAGGAGCCGGGGATAGCAGTCAAATCTACTATCCAGAATGGATGTACAATCAGTTGGAAAAAAGAGAAGACATTGCAATCCAAATTGAAGAAGAAGGAGACAGAAATATCTTCAAGAAAATGGCAATTGTTGGACTTTGGTGTATCCAGTGGTATCCAGCTGACAGGCCTTCAATGAAAGCTGTGATTCAAATGCTTGAAGGAGATAACCTGCCCATGATTCCACCAAATCCATTTTCTTCATCAAGTGGTGGAAATGTAAATGCCAACACACCAAGTTCAAATGGAAGCTTCCTCAGTAGTGAGATAGATAGCATTGTTGAAGCAAGTGATAGTTAATTAGTTATTAATACACTATCTAGCTACTAGTGGTATAGTAAGGTTAAAAAAAAATGTTGAAGAAATGTGTACATCCTTTTCAGTTTTTCATTAAACACCACAAAATCTGATTTTCTGGTTGCTGACATACAAACAATTCTTTTGCTGCATTTTCACCAGTTTAAAAATTTGAAATACGAAATTTACAAATGGAGATTCACCAATTTCCTAAGAACATCTGGATACATGCAAAATTGAGGAATTGTGTCCTTATCAAACATTACGGTCGGAGGCAGGAGCTGGCTCCGGCACCGGCGTGGACTGTTTCTGGTTTTTCCGACAAACGGGACAGGTGGCATTCAACCGAAGCCATTCATCAATGCAGTTAGAATGGAAGCAATGTTTGCAAGCAGGGATGGTCCTGAGTGACTCTTTGGGCTTGTACTCGCCTAAGCAAATTGAGCAGACATTGTCTTCTGGATTTGGGAGGCGCTTACTCTCACCCAACACCGTTTTGGGGAAGGTTTCTATAACGGCCTCATCCAGGCCCGATACAACAACAACCGGCTGCGGCACCACATGAGTGGTTGAGTATTCGATCACCGGCTGCCGGCGTCTGCCAAAGGCCTTGATCCTGCGGATGATGCAGAACAAAAGCCCAGTTAGGAATAGAAATCCGGGAATCCCTGCTCCGACAATGATGGCGTACCGAGCACCTCTTGGAAGCCCTGCAATTTTTAAGATTTTTCTTATCAGAAATGCCAACATAATTTATCACCTCCTGAATGGAAAACATGTATACTAAACACAGTGTTCACTGGGGATGGGAAATTTTTTTCTATAGGGATAACTATGGACAATTTTTATGGTGAAAAAAAAACCTCCGTAAGAGTGATTTATATGCATAATTGCACATTGCGGGGATTTCCAAATCCTAATAAAATCTGTTAAAAAATTTGGAAGTTATGCGACAAAAGTTCCTAAACACCTTTATTTTTTATAAAAAAAAAATGTACTCCCTCCGTCCCATAATTATTGTCCAGTTTGAGTTTTCATTTTTAGTTCAAATTGTATTAAAAGTGAAATCTTAAACTAGACAATAATTTTGGGACGGAGGGAGTATCATGTTCCATGTCATTCAATATCATGAGAATCTGGTACAAAAATGAGTGGACTGATATGGCAAAACCACAAATCAGTGAGACTTATAGACATCACCGTTTTTATTCGTTAAAAAAATGACTTTTTTTAAATTTTGTTTATGCATATGTTTTTAGAATAGGAGTGTAAATTTTCATTGCAAAATCATTTCAGAAATAATATTGGCATGTTGCCCCAGGAAAATAGAGAAGAACCTATCATAACCCTTAAAATTTTGTTGGTAAAATAAAAGATAATACTTAAGTAGTATGTGTTGTTTTCCTTTCTTTGAAAAAGGCATCTCTTCATTTATCGTGATGTAATCTTAAAACCCAGTCCAGTCAGAGTCAGACTCGATGATTTTATTCATCGGGAATTTGAGAACTGAGGGCGAGGAGACTCTATCATACTATATATGAGTATGACTGCACGAGTAGACGAAGATACAACAAAAGTGGTTGACAATTGGTTTCGGACGTTGACGAAGTCAGACTAGGGAAATTCAAAGTCAACTAGAGCAGACAATGATTGAATGAAGCACAAAACATAGAGCACAACCAATGGTAGAACTATATAAATTGACTTCTATCTGTTTTTTATTCTTTCTTTTTCCCCCTTTACGTTTCAGACCACCAAATACTGCTAAATGATACGCATCCAGTCCATAAATATAATTCAAATTATTTTAATCAGTAAACTAATACAGATGGGAAAAAAAGAAAACAAGAGTAAAGCAATTGATAAAACGCTCAAAGGGAAAAATAAGGGAAAGGGGAAAGAAGAAGTAAATAGTGGGATAAGGCAGGAGAAAAAACAAGCACCAATCTTGACAATTTGGATTTGCCATTGATTTGGAGATGGCCATGTCATCCATTGGGCCACCTCTTTTGGTTTGAGCTGAATGAAATATACTTACAAGTTACAAGTTGATGTGATTTATTTTTATTTTTTTTTGTTGGATTTGATGTTTCTTTAGATTTTGTCAGCAATTTTGAAATGGTTATGTGATACATTTTCAATCACTGAAGTCAGCCATTAACCTAAGTGGTTATTGTTCATATTAAGTTGATGGATCCGATCGTTTCAAAAAAAAAAAAAAAAAAATTGATGGATCCGATTTCCAGGAAACATCAACAGCGATAGAGGTAAAAAAGGAGAATCAGAAAGCAAATAACTTTTTACCACGTTGATTTCTGCACTCAATATCACGAGTGGAGTTGTTCTTGAGCCCACAAGTTCCACCCCTGGATTCACACTTGCTGCATTTGGGCGTATCCCAGGCAAGCCTTATATCATCACTAAGATTAAACGACCACGTATCATCATAATTTCTCGACTGAACAGGGACCAAAATGGAATTCACCCGCTTGCAATTCCAGACACTCTCTAAAACCACAGCTCCACTAACCGAAGAGGTGGCAACAACTTTGTAACCATAACCACTGATACAACTTATGGGGTTGAATTTACGGAAACCATCAAACATGTTAGGATTGGAGCAATTAAACAAAACGAAAGTTTGTTTGACAACTGCTCTGAAGGGAGTAGCAGAAAGGTTTAAGGTCAAAAGGCGTTTAGGAAGGCAATGGTTGGGATCATTGAGCCATATTTCTTGTGAAGAATAATCAATGGCTTCAACTTTGAAGGATGAATCTTGGAGCTGGATTGTTGTCATCCCTGAGGTACCACAGGCTAAGTCAAAGCCTGGATACCCACACTGTTCTTGTTGGTTGTCTTTTAATCGAAAAGGGAATCGAATCCAGGGTTCCCCTGGATGACATGCTGAAGTAAAGCAGATTTCTGAATTTGATGAAACCAGTAAGAAGGAGGAGAAGAAATTGCCCAAGATGATAAGAAGGAAAGCAGAGTTTAGTGTCTGGGATTTCATCGGAAGATTAGTATGAATGACAGATTTCAGGGTCAGTTGACAATACTACTCTTTTGGAGCATAAAAGATTGTGTGTGGATTTAATAAAAGTGAGTAGTAGTTGAAAACTAATTTTAGTAATATGAATTGAAAGGGTGTTATTTTTGGTATGTCAGCTTCGGGGGCATAGAAACGGTGTTGGTGTGGCCTACTACAAGTGCGTATTTTAACTATTGTCAACCCTCACAACCAAATTTGAAAAGTGAACAAAAATGCCTATTCAACTATTCCTGTTAGAACATGAGGCCTTAATTCAACTCTTTTAATCATCATTGTAATGATTGTATATCTTCTGGCCATTATACCATTTCTGGTTCTGGTTACTTGTTCATTCTTCTTAAACACTCAGCGGCCTTATTTTCGCAGTTCTCAAGAGTACATGAATCAGTTCGGATTGAGCCTCCTCCCACAATCCGGCTAGATTGCCAGATCTTACGTTATATGAAGGCTAATTGAGTTCTTCAAAGGGGTAGAAAGTGTACGTTATTAAGGAGCTCAAGTTCTGCCATTGATTGGAAACGCAAACAACATTTGTTTGCTGTATCCTCTATTTTGGCATCTCTTTTAGTTTGAGATGAATCAAACACAGTTGGTGTGGTGATTCTGTGGATATGGTGTTCTTAAATTAGTCAGCGTGTTTAAAAGGTTCTTAAGAGTTAGGATACAGGGCACTAATGGTTATTCTTCATATTTGATTGTGGATAAAAATGAAGGAAAAAGAAAAGAAACAGATGGAAGAGCAAAACAAAGAATTTATATCATGTACTAGGACAGTTTCGGTTATGCTTTTTGGCCTCAAGATGTAAAAACTGTAAATAGGCCAAAACCTGAAAGAATGCTTAAAAACTGGAATGCCATTGCCACCGACTCTAGTCTAGCAATGGAGTTAAGGAGCTCATTATGTGGTTAAAATCTTTTAACTAGTCATTTCAACATTTCAAACAGTAGCCAGATTTGCTACCATAGCTTCATACCAATCTCACTCGCTAGTGAACCTTTAACCAAGATGATACCAAATTTAAGCAATCCCCATGTCATATTTTGGCTAGAGATTGGCGAATATATAAAAAGGGATAATCAGAACACAAGAACTTACCGTGTTGAATTCTGCACTCAATGACATTAGTGGAGTTGTTCTTCAGGCCACATCGTCCACCCCTGTATTCACACTTTCTGCAGTTAGGTGTTTTCCAGGCAAGCCTTAAGTCTTCACCAAGATCATCATAATAGGACGGAACAGGGACCATAACCGATGTAACCCACTGGCACTTTGAAGCTCGAAACATACGAGCTCGACCACTTGAAGAGGTAGCAAAAACATTGTAACCAGGGCCACTGAGACAGCTTATGGGATACTCCAAATAAAATTTGGATTCTGAGGAGCAATTAAAGAAGATGAAATCCTGTTTAAGAACTGCTGTGAATGGGGTACCGGAAAGGTTTAAGGTCAAAAGGCGTTTAGGAAGACAATGTTCAGGATCATGGAGCCATATCTCTTGTGAATCATAATCTATGGTTTCAACATTGAAGGAAATATCATGGAGCTGGATTGTTGTCATCCTGGAGCTATCGCAGGTTAAATCGAAACCAGGATACCCACACTGTTCTGGTTGGCTGTCTTTTAATCGAAAAGGGAATCGAACCCATGGTTCGGTTGGATGACATGCTGCTGAAGTACTGCAGATTTCTGAGTTTGATGAGACTAGGACCAAGAAGAAGTAGCGCAGGGTGATGAGAATGAAAGCATAATCTAGTGAGCGAATTTTCATTGGGTGATTTGGAAAGATTGATAGATAGATTCAGTGCCAGCAGATGAAACTTTTGAGCAGAAGCTAATCAGCTTGAATGAATGAAGTGAAGGTTTGTATCATGCGGTTCCTAGCTTCCTAATGTACTAATAATTTTAGTCAAGCTCAAGGCATGGAACATTGCTGGAGTGGCCTACTAGTGAGGAATGAAGACTTTCAGACTTCTTTGATTTTTCCAATAATCAATCAACAGTCATTCTTATTCTTTAAAGAATAGTCAACCACGGACCAAAAATCCAAAGAATAAAAAATTCCCTAGCAGAAACTGCTCTTTATCTTACTCCCTCATCTATTATAGATTAATTTTTGAGATTTGTACTAAATACAGTACAAATCTTGAAATTCAAATTCAATAGGAAGGATTAATAAAAATTGCAAAGAGGAGTAATCCATCATCTTTGAAATGATTGAGAAGTTCTGGGCTTCTGGCCTGTGATACCATTTAATAAATTTCTTATCACCTTCCAGTCTATGCTCATGTAAATGTAAGTATTCAATTTAAAAGTCAATTCCACGGAGCCATGAAGTCATCAACTATGGCGATGCAGAAGGAATTGCTAAATTATTACTCCATTTCCTAGACCAAATGAATGACTAAGAAAACCCGGTATGACCAATACAGCGCCGAAGAAGAAGAACACTGAGACTTGTAATTTCATGAAATTTTGAAATTTTAATCCAATTAAACTCTCCGGTCAACCGTTTCATTCAATCATGACGATTCATAGGTTATATTCCTACCGATAAATACAAAAATCATACCATCAAGTGCCCAAAACAAACCGCAAACTCTGCATAAAATTATTCATCCACTATTTTTTTTTTTTTCCAAATTGCTGTTGAAACTGGAAATTGACATTGCAGTAAACATCAAATACTGGAAACCGAAATACGAAAAAAGAAAAAAAAAAAATCAAAAATCGGAGCAGCGGCCGTTACGTTCCCAATCGCCAAATCGAGTGGGCTCGGGGCCTCTGGGCCCGCCAATCTCGCCGGTCTTTTTATTCACGTACCCGTCGTCCTCCTCCTCTTCCTCTTCCCCTTCTCCAGCTTCGGCGACGTGATTCTTATTAACGGCCTCCGCAGCCGGAAGCTCATCTTTCCGGCGATTGTGATCTTGTGGCTGCGTTTGATTTTGGAGCAGCTGAGTCGAAGAGTGAAAAAGTCGACTTGCCGAGATCGAAGACAGCTCCGGCGATAATCCCAATCTAGGGGCGGATTGCTCGATAATCATCATCGTCGCAAATAGACGGCTCAATTTGGAAGAAGCCATATGAAATCACAAGATCAAAATTGAAAGATTACAAAATTTCAAGAAGCGTGTGATTAGTACTGAATGATTATAAGTTATAACGCTTAGGCTGTTAGGCGGCTAAGGCCTTTGAATAGGAAAGCAGGAATAAAAGAGGAACAGAAAAACGTGGAGGGTGGATTCTACGTTGGTTTGGGTGCTCCCGGAGTTTGACACGTCACCTGATAGAGAGGCTTGGACGGAGCCTAGTGGAGCTTTTTTCTATTTTGGTAGCCCATTGGATTACTTTCTTAATACCATATATTGGGCAAGAAGGGCCTGATATCCTTGGATAATTAAAGGAGCCCATTGGATTAAAGGGCCTGATATCCTTCCCCGTTCTATAATCATTTTCTTGAGAATTCCTTGAGATTATCTGTGTTCTATAATCTTTACATGCCATGATGGAGAGAGGTGGATGAGGGAGTAAAGCATCCGGAAAAACTCGGGATATGAAGCCTTTTTCATCTTTTCCATTGCGAACCGTGTGTCTAACAACTTCATCCGTTAAAAGATGATACACTCGGTGTGGTTATTTTTTTGGAAGGAATATGGCGAGTACAAATGCAAAACTTTTTACCAACGTCTTCGGCCATTCTATATCCTCTAAGCAAAATTTAGCATCTCCAATCATATGTATAAGTTTAAACAAAACTAGATGTTTGGCCAGGCAGATACCCGGGCGCCTCTTCTAAATTACTATTTTATTAAAATCTAATTGAATTACTATTTTTTGAGGAATTAATTTGGCGTATATATCATTTATGCTATGGTTTGGGGCTTAAAAAAATATACCTATAAATCTGAGGTTATAAGGGAATAATAAATAATTAGTTTATAATGCATTATTCTTAATTACTGGATTTAAATTTTTTTATTTTTTATTTATATTAAGCCTGCAAAACTGTACGATTGGACATTTGAATTTGAATTAATATATCCATTCGTTTGAAATGTAATTGATTCTTATTTGTAGAATTTTTTCATTGGATAAGTGTCACATCTAAAACATGTGTGTTTTTTTTTTAAAAAAAAGAATTATATAGCTTCTAATTAAAAGAGACTTACACGTGACAAAAAGACTCCTGAAATCTGAAATATGGTGCATTGGAGCCAAAACAAATGCATACATAATTTCCACATAAGTTTCATGTCTTCTACTTTAATAGGGTAAAAGGGATTTATTTACAATGCGTGCTTCATAAATGAAACTAGAGGTTACTAATTTATAATAGTCGGAGAGTTCTCATGTGTTTCTCTTTCTTTTTTTTTTTCTTTGGTTATTTCACAGAATTCGGTAACGATTAGGATAGTTAAATAATAATAAAGAACACAGTTGAGGAAAAGCCAGATTTATCACAGAGCCATTATGCGATGCATTGTAATGATATTGTTGGTTTTTCATATTAACTAATCGTCTCCAAAAAAGGAATGAATTTAGATTGGATTCTTAAGAGCAGCAGATCTGATCATCGGAATATGGGGAATGAGGAATGATTTAATTTCACCCCTAGAATATGAGGGGGAATCTTCTGCTGTAGATTTCAACCCTCAGAGTCGAGAACTCTTCTATATATATCTCTCTCTCTCTCTTTCTTCTTCTTCTTTTTTTTTCATTTTTGAATTTTTTTGTAGAGGAGGACTGAGGCCATACATATTACTAGTACGTAAGTAGTGAAGTAGTAATAATAATATCCCGCTCGAGCAGCAGATACATGAAACATGGGGTTTTTTTCATCAAAAGTTTCCAAGTCCCTACCCTCTAAGATACTAGAAGATAGAAGGAAACTTCACATATCAATTAGAACGAAACTTCGCATCTTTCTAGTCTTGAAGAAGGAATAACCATTCAAAAAGAACCCTTCTTGAGGTGGAGAGCAATTTTTTTCCCCTGAATAGGGGGTGGTGCACAAATCATGAGCCACCCCCTGGTTTGGCGAGCAAACCGCTCACCAAACCGATTGGGTGGCGGTCCAACCGGCTGCCAGCCTTTTTTTAATTTATTTTTTATATTTATTTAATTCTTTATTTTATTTTATTTATTTATTTAAGTATATTTATTTATTTGTTTGGCGGTTAAATAAATAATTTTAACTTCAATAAATAATTTTTTTGACTTAAATATTTAGAGAATGTTACTTAATTTTGCATAGTAAATTTATTATTTAATTATTTAAAATTTTTTAAACTTAAATAGAAAAAATTAACATTTAATAACAACTAGAACTTATGAATTTACTACCAAAAAAATTATTTATAAATAATTAATAAAAATACATTAATTATTTATATATTAATGAAAAATTATCATTTACTACCAACTAAAACATTATCATTCTCTAAATCTTTAAATTAAAAAAATATTTATTTATCATCGGTGCATCTAGCCGTCTTGAGAATTTTTTTTTGAAAAAATTTAAAATAGAAAATATGAAATATAAAATACGTTGAAATTTCATATTTTTATATTTGATATTTATCATAAAATAAATATAAAATACGTTGAAATTTCTTAGGATAATGGCTCGTTAAAACTTTTACTAGAAAAAATCCAGTTGAAGCCATGTCATCCAAAATTGGAAACCCCTCCTTATGCAATTTATTTATGTAGTTGTAGACTTGTTTGGAGGTAACATTTTCATCAGGAAATTGTATCCATATCGCTCGTAAAATGTGAACTGCCTTAGTCCCAACTTTAGAATACTCCTGAATGAGCTCTCTCACTTCTGCGCTCAGTCCGCTCCTAACCCGAGGCGGATCTGTCAAAGAATAGTTGTGTATTCCTCACGGACCGGGATATACACGAATCGTCCACATATCATATATTCTGTAGATAGTAATACGAAACTGGCATCCGGTCATCTGTGTCTTTGTATTGGCTTGGGCGCGCATGGTTTCATCTACATGTTGACCTTGGTACCGACGTCCTTTATGACAAAGGAGTATAGTATTACTATCCTTATGCGAGGATATACTTAACTCCATGCTGTACATATTTGCAATATCCTTCGTATATGCAATAGCGTCAGGCCTTTCGGCAAAAGTCTCCTTTGTAGCAAAAGCTGAACTATAATCAGTGTCATCCCACTGATCAAACTTATCCTACACACATTAAAAATGAATTATATCGTAACTTAAATTAATTACAATAATATTAAACCATAAATAATTCATTATAAATAAAAACATAATATATAATCTGATATAATGATGTTATACTTTAAAGATAATTAATTAACATAATAAATATTAATAACAAACTAAATATATTATTAACAATAACTTACCATTTTAATATAACAACTATAACTTCTTCTCTTTTTTTTTATAACAACTATAACTTATGAACATACTACCTAATAACCAATTCTTTCTAAACTAACAACAAACTAAACACATATTTAACAAAAAAAAAAAAACTATTTCATACGAACATACTACGTAATTAACATAATTTAAACATATAACAAACTAAACACATAATTTAGTCCCTTAATATTTCTATGAAACCATATATCATCCATGCCACCCCGCAAAAGGGTGGCGTTTTTCGACTTCAGTTAGTTACTTGAAATAGTTTAAATATTCTGTTTGATATTAACCATGATTTAAACATATAACAAACTAAACCATAATTTAAACATTCTATTTGATATTAACCCTACAAATTTTTACAGGGAGGCGAGATTATTCCACGGGGTGGCGTATTTCTCCTGCGCCAGTTTTCCCTCGCCCCCCCTTTTTAAAAAAAATAAAATAAAATTTAAGGGTAAAATTGTCTTTTATATCTTTTTAAGGCATTTAAAGAAAAAAATTAGGGCGCTCAGCAGCAACACCATTCTCTAAATGCTACAAATTATGTTTGTTTTGTGTTCTTAAGATTAAAAAAAAAAAAAAAACTGACTAGTTCTGATCATTCCCAACCAGGATACCTCGCAATGATGTTTGATCAACAGTGCTAATGAAAATCATTTTTTTTTCCTTTCCAAACATAGTTTTCAAAATCAAACCTTTTACCTTAAATTACACAAGACCGAGAAAAAATAGTTCAAACAGATAGCGGCCATCTCGACTTTAGTTAGTTACTTGAATGATTCAAAATTTAGTCCCTTAATATTTCTATGAAACCATATATCATCAGCAAAAATAGTGCAAAATGCAGATGATATTGAATTTATTAAATAAAATATAAGGTGTTTATACAACTCACGGATAATATATCCCTTTGCAATGCAAGCCAAAAGAAGTCGCTACCTCTTCCACAGCTGTCTGGAAATAGTTTTCAACTCACCTATCAGATCAGAAATTAGGGAGAAAAATGGTGTAAAAATTTGTAGCAAATCTTACCTCTATGACCTGGCTAATTATAGTTCCACC